TGAGTTACTTCACTTTACAAAGTTTGGAGGTTATTATTTCAAAAACAATAGTGTTGTGTAGTGGTCGTTTACAGTAAGCGCAGAGGAACAAAACAGGGCAACGCACGTCCTTGAATGACACTTTTTGATTTGTTTACTGCTTGTCCATAAGCTCACTTAGTGTTTCGTTGCAGGCTCAGCGGATCACTTTTTTTGATCTTGTCACTGCTCGTGTATTGACTAATAATTTATTTACTGCAGGCTCAGAGGATCACTTTTGAATCTTGGCACTGCTTGACTTTTTATTGCAGACTCAGAGGATCTACTTACGATCTTGGTACTGCTTAAGAATAATTTATACTGAATTTCAATGAACTCAACTCCACAACACTAACATTTCTGCTAGTGCGCAGTACGGTGCCGTTTTTCTGTGTACTTTTAGGATGGCTCGTGGTTGAATAATTTACTTGAATACTACGACTAATAACCACTCAAAGGATGTCTGATACATCCTGCCTCTTTCAAAGACTAGATACCGCAACACTTTCCTGAACATACACTATGTGTAGTCTGGGTGATTCATTGAGAAGGCTTCTTGGTCTTTGACCTCAGCCGAATTACTTTTGGTCTTACGCTTTCTTTTGCGGCCAAATTTGACTTGACTTTTACATTGGACTTACGCTTTCACTGGCTGCCAAGTTTAGAATTTACTTTCATATTGGGCTTACGCGTTCTTTGGCTGCCAATTTTTTGTACTTTTTCATTTGCATGGCCATAATTTACTTTTCAATTTTCAATGTTCAATTTTCAATGTCTGGACTTACATGCTCGTGAATGCCAGATAGACTTGTTTTAGACTTCGATCGGCTTGTGCACTCAGGACTACTAGGCTTTTTTTTGCCTTAAACTAACGGGTCCACTGCACTGATCTTCATTTGTTGCCGATCACTTCACTAATTGCTTATAGCAATTCACTACACTTCGCCTCACTACACTAATTACACTCGCCCCCTCTGAAGCTGTTGTCGTTTGTAGTCGCTGTAGTAGACGAGCTGTAGACGAGCAGGAACCGTAGTCGACCGCGCCATTGTTACGACCGGAGGTGTCCGAGGTTTAACTGAATGTTGACGTGCACAACAAGAACACTTTATCCGGTGTAGAAATACAAAGTGTAGGCGAAGGTGAACAGGGCTTGGAACAGACGAAGGGAAATCAGGGACTAGCAGCGCTAGTATGATTCCCGCTAGACTGACGCTTTCACTGGCTTTTATACTATAGCGATACCACTACACAACACCTCCCCCCTTGAAAAAAAGGTTCGGCTTCACTTAAAGCCGAAGCTTTCAATGGTTGTGACAATATCACTATAGTCTTTTAGACTATTATTCAATCTTTAAAGCCAGAGCGTCTGTCTCACTTAGCAAACACTCATTTTCAACAAAATACAAAGATGTGGGATGACAAAAGGGCAAAAGGACAAAACAACAAATTAATTTTACAATACAAAAAAATTTTTTTTTGAAATCACAAATTGTCATCTTTGATCCACATCTTTTTCTTTCTTCTTTAGTGGCAGTCATCGTTGTAACAGTGCTTTCGTTGTCGTTCTTGTTGACGTTTACCATAAGGATAACAATCGAAATTTGCATCTACAAATCCTTTGTCATAGATTGGTGTGTAGCGTCTAAATAATTTTCTATATTTTTCAGATAAAAACAAAATACCTTATTTGAGTTCGACTTGTAACTTGTCCTTTGCGCCAGTTAGGTTGAAAATGTGTTCTCTGCAATACCACAGGATCTTGTTCTTCTCCATATGCTTCTACCATTTTCTGTAAATAAATTATAAAATTATATTGTAGTTTTTAAATACCCGGAATTGATTAAAGTCCAGTGGTGTGTCAACTTGCTCCCAAAGTCCACGGCATTTTACAATATATTTTATTTCACCAGTTTCACGGTGCTTCATTTTCATTGCATACTAAGAAAAAATACAGTGAATAAAAGTGTTATTCAAAAACCTGTTTGCATCCTCCTGTATAAAAAGATATAATAGCCCATTCTTCATATTCGCGACTCATATCGGGGTGCACCTATTAATGATCCAACAAAATGATCTTTTTCGTATAAATATTTTTTCATAAATATTTTGTTTTTTGATTTGTTTATACAATATATCTTTTTAAATTCTAGTTTAGTTGTTTTAATATATTTTTAGCAATATGATCAATGATATCAATATAGGTTAATTTTTTAAATGAATTTAAATATAAAACAATTTAGATAATACAGCTTGGTTCCTAGAACGACTTAAAATAAAAATTACTGCGAACTCGCATCCACCAATAGAAATTATCGGCGAACAACATCAAAATATATTCATATTTCATTCTCAACGTTTTGGCTTTGACAACCGATTTAGAACAAGTTTCACATTACTTGGAAAAACATTTAGTTCAGTTGAACAATTTTTCATTTGGCAGAAAGCACGTTTCTTCGGGGATTTGGAGATTGCTTCAGAAATATTAATGCTAGATAATCCTATAGCTATTCGAAGAATTGGGAAACGTATCCGCGGATATAATCAAATAAAGTGGACCACTGTTCGCAACAAAGTAAAAAATATTATTTATAATTTCATCATAATATTTAGGTTATGTACACAGGACTATGGGCAAAATTTACCCAGAACATTCAGCTATTCAACCAGTTACGTGCCACAGGCGATGGACTTATTGCGCAGGCGTCCGCATCAGAACTTTATTGGAGCAACGGCGTATGTCCAAAAAGTGCAAGACTTAAAGATCCTAGCCAATGGGAAGGCGAAAATTATCTTGGAAAACTCTTGATGGAATTAAGAAGCGAGATCAACTCAAGTATTTATTGATACTTACAAAACATTAAAATCGAATTGTATATTTTATTTTGAACAATAAAAATTTCTTCTTCTGTTCGTGCTCCTGTAATAATACACTTTCCTGTTGTAAAGACCAAAACAACCGTGCGAAAATCAACAAGTCGTAAGCACATGCCCGGAAAAAATTCTGGGTTGTAAGAAATATGTTTAGCGAGCCACGTTGGAGGAGCAATTCTCATGGTGTCGTATAAGGCTTAAACAATAATTTTACCTTGTAAAAAAGTTACCTGGTAAATTAATATGTCCAGGAAAAGCAAATGAGGATACAACATTTTGTATCTTAAATCCTCGCATCCTTATTGGTAAGGAACTTGCAGATGATATGATGTCAACAAAATATCCAACCGCAATTTCCGAGTCCTTAACCGATTTTGTTCCAACACATACAATTCTTCCGTTAGAAAATACTAAAGCCGTTGATCTAATTGGTTGTTGAATTCTAATTATAAGTGCTGAGAATCGTTCAGGAGAATATTTAGAATTGTTAATAGTTGCCGCAAGATTATAAAGATCAAGTTTACTATTTTTATCAAGCAGTTGTGCTGTAGATACAACATTCTGAATAATTGCCTTGGGGATCATCTGTAATATATAAATGAAAACAAATTTTTCTACAGAGCAAAAAAATGTTTAAAGCTCCTTTCACTATGGTTATTTCCGGTGCCACAGGCAGCGGGAAAACCCAATGGCTAATGAAATTTATAGCAAATTGTGATAAATTAATTGACCCTCCGCCAAATAAAATATTATATTGCTTTGGCGAAATGAACGAAAATATATTTAAATTAAAGGAAATGGGAATTACAACTTATAATGGGGTTCCAGAAGTCGAGATGATTAAACAACACCAATTATTAGTCCTAGATGACCTAATGCTAAATATCCCTGTGGAATTTCTTGATTTATTATTCACTCGAGGATCGCATAATTGGGGTGTAAGCGTAATCTTTGTAACACAATCACTTTATGGACGAGATATCAAGACAGCTCGTGCAAACGCCCATTATATTCTTTTAACTAAAAATCCTCAAGGACTACTACAAGTACGCACACTAGGGTCTCAACTTTTTCCAAAAATGTTAAACTATTTTATTGAGGCCTATCGCGATGCTACTTCCGAACAATTTTCCTATTTACTAATTAATATGCATCCAAGTACAGAAGAAAATCTGCGTCTTTCCACTAAAATATTTCCAGGTGAAAAACAGACTATATATTTGCCTCTATAATATATAAGTGATCTTAAAACTATTATTTATAAAAAAATGTATGACTATAGTCCATACGTTAAAGAAAATTTTGAATTTTTACAGCGTTTAGCTAAAACATCTTCCGATAAAAAGAAGAACGCCTTAATTCTTTCAGCCAGTGCGGATCAAATATTAGCAATAGTTGAAATCTGTGCTAATATTTTAAAAAATAATTTTATATTAAATAGAAGACAGCGCAAGAAGTTAGCTCAATTTGCCGATTTCTATAGAGCTATCGCACGAACACGTACTGAAAAAAGCGCTAGAAATCGAATACAACAAGGAGGTAGTGCCGCTCTTGCTGCTATACTTGTACCTGTCCTAGGAGCCTTAGCTGAACATATCATTCATAGATTCACACAAGAATGAAACATACAAAGAAAATGATTATGGTTCCTGAAAGCGAATATCTTACACTATTAAGCATGATCAAAGGCGGAGATTTTCTTCAAAATGAAAAGGTGCAGACAGACTCAAAAATTAAACAGACTCTTAGTGATCCAAATTTAAGTGAAGATGTAAAAGCCCAAAAATATAACGTGTTATATAAAAAAAGGAGACAACTCAAGCATGAGTTAGAAAATAGGCCTCAAAAGGTGATAATCGATGAGGGTAATGTAGCTAGAGCTTCAGAAATTGCTCCTTACCTAAAGGAAACTGCCGCCCCTAAAGCACTGTTACAACCAGTACAATCAAGTTCAGAATATCAAACAGATTCAGAATTTACATCGACAAAACTAATGAAAAGAAGAAAAACAACACCTTTTAATGGAATTATTTCAAAGAGATATTCGAAAGATTTAGAAAATTATGTGAAAGATAATGCTGAAAAATTTAGAATACGTAAGAATGGAAGCTTCGAATCTAACGTCAAAGGAAGTATATCGTCACCTCCTAAAGGTTTTAGTTTTCTATTTAATCGATTATCCAAAGACCCATTAGTAAAAGAAATGATCAAAGAGACGCAAGTAGAAAGTAGTACAGAGGAAAGTTCTGGAAGTCAATCAGGTAGTGGGAAAAGTAAGAAAAGAGTTTTGGTAAAAGTCCTGCCTATAAAAAAGAAAAATAAATTTATTCCTCAAATATGGGAAAAGCTTTAGATAATTTTTTATCAAAAATATATTATTCGCTAAATTCTCCTGCTTCCTATGCAGGAATACATCGTGTTTATGAAGAAGCTAAGCTCAAATATCCAAAGTTAAAATATCAGGAAGTCTTTAATTTTTTGCATAAGCAAAGAGTGTATACGATGCATCGACCAATTAGAAAAAAATTTACCAGACTAGTTACAAGGCCAAGTGGTCTTCATACAGATTGGCAAGCAGATTTGGCCATATTTGATCAGATATCTAAACATAATGATAATAACAGATACCTTTTAGTATGTATTGATGTTCTAAGTCGGAAGCTTTTTGTAGCGCCCGTCAAAACTAAGAGATCAGAAGATATGATTGAAGCATTTGAAAAAGTTTTCAAACTTTCAGATGGTATCTTGCCTCATAAATTGTATACTGATTGAGGATTAGAATTTGAGGCTAAAAGAATGAGGGAATATTTTATATCCAAGGATATTGACAAGCGTGTAGTTTATAGTCCTGATGTTCATGCTTCAATGGCAGAAAGAGCAAATCGTACAATAAAAGCAAGATTATATCGATACTTCAGCGAAAAAAACACACTTCGGTGGGTTGAAGCCATTCAAAAAATTGTTTCTGGAATAAATTCAAGCGTAAACCGTGTTACAGGTGTTACACCTAATTCTGTTACTTTTAAAAATTCTCAAAATTTATTTGAAAGACTATATAAGGGCACTGATGATCCTATAAAAATAACTTCTAAACTCGAGCCTGGACAAGTTGTCCGTATATCAAAAGAAAAGGGTAAATTTGAAAAAGGTTATTTACCAAACTATACTGACGAGCTTTTTCTTATACATACAACTAACGACGCACGTACGCCTATAACATATAGGTTAAAAGATTTTGAAGACAACCTAATTGAAGGAATATTCTATAGAGAAGAGTTGGTGCCCACGCAAGAGGATACTACTCATCGTATTGCCGAAATTTTAAAGACTCGTACAACACGAACAGGGATAAAGCAACACTTTGTGCGTTGGGTTGGTTATAAAGATATTCATAACAGCTGGGTAAACGACAGCGACATAGTTCGACATTAACCATGGATTCGTTTTATGTTGTTTTACCTTCAAATTCTGAAGATGTTGAAGGAAATACTACCTCACAGTTTACAGTAAGGATCCCTGACACACTTGAGTTAGATTCAAGTTGGACTGTTGCACTTTCAAACATTATTTATCCGTTTTCATTCTCTTTACTTGGAGATTCCGAAGAACAAGAATCTATCACAATTTATCGCCGATATGGAAAGGAACTTCTATCTGTTCGAATCGAGATACCTGATTTGTCTTTTGCCTCAGAAGAGGCATTAGAAGAGGCCATAAATGCAGTTTTGCTTGATGCTTGGAAAAAAGAATTGGATCGCGAGGGAGAGGAAATGAGACTTGAAGAAAATAAAAAAAGAATCTATGGAAATTTTCGTAGAAGACGAGCTGTTGAGACTATAAGCGAACAATTAGTTAAAAATGGGTATTTTGATTTGTCAAAGGAATTTGCATATAATTTCATGAAATTTTTAGGGAAACAAGGAATTCGTTTACCTCCTATAAGACCTCTTGCAATAGATGGTATAGAAATGGTTCGTTTCACTCCAAATCAAGATCAAATAGAGCGGATAAAACAGGCAGTTGATGAATTTACTAATCCTGCCTCAGCCAACCAAACTGAAGAAGAACACTCAAATGTTACTCCTATGGAAGAAACCCGTGAATCTACTCCTCAAACACAACCTGAGCTTAAGCAAAAAGAAATATTGCCTGCTGCTGGGCATGAAAGTTTCATTCAACAATTGGAAACGGAAGGTTATTTCGATATGCCAAAGGATCGTGCTTATAAATTTATACAGTATTTAAATAAAAAAATTAAGGGGGCAAAACTTCCAGTTCTATCTTCGGTTCCGGACAGCTCTGTAGAAACTGTTCGATTAAAGCCGCAAACTGAGCAAAAAGATATAATAATAAATGCAATTAAAAGTTTTGCATCAACTTCCGCGCATAAACTTGCAAATCCTTTACAAGAAGCAAGTTTAGTGGAAAATGTTGATGAAAATCCTGAAACAGATACGCATGCTCCTTCTCAAGTTCAAGTTAAAAATCAAATTAATGAAAAAACAGAAAGTTTGCCTACATCTGATAGTTCTATAACTGATGATCCTCCTATTCCAAAGTCTCCAGTAACACCTGTATCAGAAGCTCCTACTGAAGCTCCAGTATCTTCTGAAGAAAAATCGGATGATATACAACAGGATACTGAAAAGCAAAATGACAAAACTCCTTTAGACGGAAAGATAACACCTCTTACTGATACACTAACAGGTGAACAAAAAACTTTGATAGATATGGCTGTTCGTGCGGCTACAAGGTCATTGACTAATAGTGTAGAATTGGCAAAGCAACAATCACAAATAAATAAAGATCTTAATCAGAAATATTGGAAAGATGCTCGTTATAAGTATGCACTACTAGATGAAGAACATTAAATGAGACGGGGGTAATTAAGAGAAAAGTACCTGCAACCATTCTAAAATTGGTTGTAACACAATTAAAATTATTGTTTAGTCGAAGAAATAAAATAGATAAATGGATACAAGAATGTTTAGATGCAAAAGATAGGGTTTCAGAAGCACAAATAGAAACTGTAGCGGCAGAATCACGAGGCGATGTTACTGAGGCACGAAAAGCTGCAGATCGTGCTAAGGCCGCAGAACAAAAGGTTAAAGAATTAGCCAGTCAAGTTGAAGAAGCTGTTGCGGGTCAGAAAATTTTATCTGAAGAAATTGTAGGCAAAGTTGAAGTTGAACTTTCGAAACAAGACTTTGAAACTTCATCAGCAAAAATAACAACTACTGATGATGAAGAGACTTCGACACATGAAGTGGAAAATAATGAAAGTCAAGTCGAACATGAAGAAGAGCCTAAAGGACCGACTGAAGATATGCAAGTAAATAGTAAACAGCCTTCTACACATGAAGAGGAAAATATTGAGGAAGAAGCTGAATCAACTGATGACATCGCTGAAGAGCCATCTGATGATACACAAGAAAAGGATGAAGAACCTTCGACAATTGTAGAAGATAAAAATATTGAACATCATGAAGAACTTGAACAAGAAGTCGCTGAAACGCCTGATGAAACTTCTGAAGAAATATTGGAAAATGTTCAAGAGTCTACGACACACGAAGATGAGAAAAATATTGAACATCGTGAGGAAATTGAACAAAAAGTCACTGAGGAGCATGTAGAATTTTCTAAAGAAAAGATTCAGGAATTTCCAGGAGTTGTTGATGAAGATGAAGAGCCTTGGACTCCCCCCTTAGAAGAGCCTCTACAACATTCAAGGCACAATCTTGAAGATAATGAGTCGCATGAATTAACAACAATAAGTGAAGAAGACGCTGTTGAACCATGGTCCCCTGAAAAAGAAGGCTTAGGAAAGCCACAGGAATCTCCAGCAATAAGTAATGAGGAAGTGGCTGAAAAAGTGAGTAATCTTCCCATTATTGAAGAAGAACCAGAGCAAGTAGCAATTCAACCTGAGGATCTAAGCTCGTTGCCTGAGCTCCCGCATCCTGAAATGTTAATTGCTGACCCTCCTGAACGTCCTTCCTTTTGGAAAAGCTTCTTTGGCGGTGGAGGTAGGCATGTTGAAGATAAAACCAAAGACAAAGAACTTCCACAACAAGAAAATGTTCATCAACAAAAAGTTCATCCGCAAAAAGAATCAGAAGAGTTAAATGACTCGGAGCCTAAGAAAATGCATCTAGCTGAATATGCTTATCCTCCTGAATATTTAAAAATGCTTCTTAGCTTCTCCAATATACAACTCGCTGATCCAAAATATCAATGGGTTTCCATACTATACGATAAAGTGCATAAGCGATTTCATGTCTTCTTGCAAGGAAACGTACAATTTATTAAATTAAGTCGTCAACTAGCTTATACTCTTGGTTTCGATTCAGAAAAAGTTCATAGTGGACAAGTCGCAAAGTATATGCCTGATATATCTGGAGGTGTGCGTCAATTTTTAGTTTATGCACCAAAACTTGTTGAAAATAGCATAATAGGTAACGTAACTGCACCTTTATTACGTGTTGCTAATGTATCTGGTGAACCTGGAGAAAGTGTTTCAGAAGTATATATGACCGAACATCATCATCGTTTATTAGGTAAACGCCATCCAGACATTACTATTGAAATTCGAACCTTAACTGGAAAGCTAGTAAAATTCCATTGGGGAACTTGTATATTAACATTACACTTTCAACGCTCACTATTTTAAAGCATGACACACGTTAGTTTAGACATAGATAAAATTGACTGGGAGCCATTTTTGAGTGCTCAAGACGGGGGAGGAAGATTACTTGAAGATAATCGTTATTTCCAAGGAACTAGGTATCAAAGAGGATTTGGTGTACTTGGGGCTGTAGGGCGTTTTTTAATGCCTATTGTTAAAAATATAGCCACAACTGCGGGAAATGAGGCTGTAAATGTAGGAAAAAATATTCTCGAAGATGTTTCACAAGGTCGCTCAGTAAGTGAAGCATTGAAACAGCATGGAAGCGAAGGTCTTCAAAAAGTAGGGAAAAAACTTGAACAATGTGGGAAAGGCAAAAGAAGCCGAAAGAAAAAACAAAATGTTATTATAGATAATTTAGGAAAGAAACGTAGACGATATAGAGACCAACTCAGCTTTGATGATTTCTGAGTATATAAGTATTAGTATATTGTTATTATTCTATAATTAAAATGACGACAATAAAGAAAATTGATAAAGACAGTACTGAAGGGGTTGATAATCGACTAACTTTCTTTAGTATACCATCAACAAATGTTGGTATACAACGGTCCGCATACAAAGAATTGCTTCCCCTCAATGCACTTAATCAATCTGCAGGTCCTTTTATTTTCCGGTATTTTGGTGACTCACTTTACTTAGATTTGAGTAAGACATATCTGAGTCTTGTATTATCTCTTGAACGTAAAGTTGATGCAACTGGCGAATGGGTGCCTATTGTTAAAGACTTGGCAGGGAATTTTGCAGGTGATAGTTTTACTAGCGTAGCTCAATATTTAGGTTTAACATGGATTCGTCGTTTAACTTTATCTATTAATGGTATTCAATGCTATGACTCAGGAATACATTACGCATACAGATGTCTACTTCTTCATGAACTTGGAGCAGATCGTGAGGTTAGCAAAGGTCTCTATGAGGCTGCACTTTATTTTAAAGATGCAGTTGACAAAAACGATTTTGAAGGTTCAGGGTTTAAATCACGAGCAGCAAGATTTGCCAAAGGTCAGACTTGCAGATTACTGTCGCATTTGGACTATGATATGGCCAGACAAAATCAGCTTTTAATACCTAATAGTGATGTGCTCTGGACATTTTACAGAAATAGCGATGAATTCCTTATTCATGCACCAAAATATCGTAAAAAAGCTGGTGAAGATTTATTAAATAATACAAGCACATACCGCCTACGACTTCATGATATGAGAATTTTTGTTAAACAAGTTGATTTAAGTATGTCGCTAAATAATGCTATTGCTAGACATTTAGAACAGACGCCTGCAAAATATGCATATAGAAGGATTGAAATTCGGAGTGTTTTTCTTGGAAAAGGTCGCCAGGAAATTACACATGCTGCGTTCACTAGTACATGTCCTAGACGGTTAGTGATTTGTTTTGTAAGCGCACCTGCATATACTGGAAATACTGCGTTGTCTCATTTCAATTTTGAGCATGCGAATTTGCGAACTGTTTCAGCAGAATTTGGTGGGTTCCAGTTTCCAGCTGTTCCTTATGAGCTTGATTTTTCCAACGACAGCTTTGTACGTGCTTTTGTTGATATGTATGTAGGTATGGACTTAGATGCTTGGCCAAATTCAGATCAAAGAACTTTAAGCATAGGAATGAAAGAATTTGCGCAATCGTCTTGTTTCTTTGTTATACCTATGACTTCGACGCTAGAAGACACTAATGGTTTGGAACTCATTAGACAAGGAACAACAACCGTCCGTTGTTGTTTTTTTTTTTCGCCTGTGGCGCTTCTCAATGGCAAACATTCAATGGACGAAAGAAAGAAACTCGCTTGAGGTTAAGACTGTCAGAGCTTTGCTTCATGTGACAGCAAATTTTGACATGTCATGCAATGAAATGCACAAAATGCTCAGTTGAAACAAGAAATTATTAGAAAAGATTAATTTAGGAGAGAAATATAAAAGATTTGATCACGAATAAATATTTTCAAATTTAATTTTGAGTGTACTTTTTATTTGCAAATTTTCTCCATATGTACTTTTTTTACAAGATTTTGATACTTTTGAGTGGCATTTTGTCGATCGGAGCCCTGAGTTAAAATATCTCTAAATGTTCTTTTACTAAATAATCAATATATCTTTTCACAAGACAAAGGGTCATACCATAAATAAGGAAAAAATGGAAGCCACTTCTTGCAGAAAACGCAAGAAAAAAATGCCCAGTTGACTCCTTGTGGGGAGTCAACTGGACATTTTTACCCCTGATGAAATAACAAATCTTAAACAATTCCTAATTCAAAATCATTTTTTTTATTATAATTTATCGACAAAAAAAATTATTTACGTAAAAAGTCAATTTGATAAAACACAAATTTGATTTATTAAATAAAAAAAATATTTTTTTATATTTATTCACTCAAAAACCCTCCAATTTATTATTTAAGCTCCCCATCATTTTCAATATCAAATCGTTTCGATTTACAATTTTCCAAACCTGGAGGAGCTGTCATCTTTTTAAATTCCATTTTTAAAGTTTCATAATGTTTCTAAATTTAATTTAAATTTTTTTTAAATAAAATTTAAAAATTACTTTAAGTCCAGCCAAATAATTAGGCAAAACTTTTCCGCTACTCGCATGTGTAGTTATATAATGTTGAATATCTTCAATCCAAGCTTCCACTTGAACACAAATTTCATCTCGTTTCATCCAAAAATGAGATTTTACAATTTCTGCAAAGGCTTTTGGAGGGTTCTAAAAAAGAAAATTTTTTTTGAGAAATATAAAAAAATTTTGGCGATAGTCTAGTGCGTCCAACAAACAAATATGCGTCCAATAAACAAAAAATTTGATTTTTTGGTGTTGCAGAGCTGGGATATGGTTTCAAAACATTTCTTCATGTACGGGACCTACGCCCACAGGGTCTTGGACCATTCCTTACCCTATTCCTCGAAATTTCTGACAGTTATAGCCAATTTTTAAAAATTTTAAAAATTTTTTCCAACTTTACAAAACCAAGAAAAATCAAATTTTTTGTTTATTGGACGCATAAACTACACCAGCGCCAAATTTTTAATTAAAAAAAATACCCGAATCTGTTCAACCATTGCCCATCTAACACACATTTGCATAATATTAGCATCATATTCACGCGATGCCTGTTGACCAGCAGGGGAATTTCTCCATCTTTCATAACCAGGTTCATTGAAATACTTTAAAAAATTAATTATTTAAATAAAAACAAAAAAAAAATCCAACCGGTTCATTAACAAGAATTAAAGATTGAATGGAGACAAGTACTTGTAAAAGAGAGGAAGTGTCAGCATTCCAACGTTCTTCTGGACGGCCACGCCAAGTATTCAAAATTGAGAGACAAACTTTTCCATCATCGTAAAGATTTGGATCTTTAAAGGAAAAAATTTTTTTTCGGTCTTTTCCGTTATCCTATGGATCCCTTTTTGCGGACATTTTTTTCCTTTTGCGGATTGAAAAAGGTAACATTTATTTTTCTTCAAACAATTTATGATAGAGAAAAAGGAAGAGAAATGATTGAAGGCCTCGACCTTCGGCCCGACTTTTCTGTCGCTATTGGACAAGCGACAGAAAAATTGAGTGAAATTGAGGAAGAAATCTTACCATTTTGTACATCTTAAGGAAGGGTTGCCAAAATGGACCTCGAGTGGGTCTAGTAGATGTTTGGCCCGAAAAAGACTCGTAGAGGCCAGACTCGATAGAAACAAGCACGAAAAAATGCCTCGACCTTCGGCCCGACTCGAAAACGGCAACCATAATCTTAAGGAAGACAAAATCCGCACAAAAAGAGTTCGAAAAAATCCGTTGGGATAACAGGAAAAGTACCAATTTTTCCCCAAAAATTAAAAAAATTTAAAAACAAAACAAAAAACCAACTAAATCGAACTGTTCGATTCCCTGTTGTCTCCAAATTCATTTGCATCGGAACATTTGGATAATCTGGAGGGAAGAAAACATCAAATTCAAAACATCCATTTGCATAGGGAGTATCTGATGGACCCGTTATTAAAACCTGAAAAAGATTTTTTGTTAAATAATTTTTACAAGAAAAACCTTCATAGCATCCAATCTTTCTTCACAAGTTCGAACAAAAACACCGCTGCTAAATGAAAGTGGCAATGAACTGCTCAAAGAAACAATTTCTTGTGCTAAACGACGAGTTCTTTTGCCTAAAGCTGAACCTCCAGCACTAGCCATTGAATTTAAAGATGTTGCATAATGGAAAGGAATACACATAACTGGAGTTGTGTTGTTGCTGTTACCCATAGGTTCATAGAAGGGAATTGTTTCTTTAAAAATTAAATAAAATTAAAGTACTTTTTTAATCAGAAACTACTGGGTGGAGAGAGGTGTCTAAACGATCCACAATAACTTCCATTTCCACAATACCTCCCAATACCTTCCTTCCATATAAAATTTTTAAATTCCAAGGGAATTGTTGAAGTAGGATTCGAAAAATTATCCCTATGGTGCATGTGAAAATACTTAAAAGCATTAGATGGAAAATTAAGGTTGTTTTGAATGCTTAACACGAATATAAAAAAAATTAAAAAAACCACCAACCAAATTGCAATCCTCTAAGTTTATCACAATAGAAACGTTCAACAGCATCAGACACTTTAGGCAAAGCATTAGATGAAGAAGCAACATTTTGATCAAGTTCAATATTATCGCTAATCATTACTTCCTCATTCTGTTGTCCCTCTTCGGGCTCATCAAAGTCCATTTCGATACAAGAATGACCTCGTTTCTCTTAAAAATAAATTTTAAAAAAAATAAAAAATTTTTTAAAGAATACTTTTATTAATAGCAGAACAAACACTGTGAACCAAATCTAAAAGTTTTCCAAGTTCTTCCTCTTCTTCCAAATCAGCCTGAGTTTTTGAAGAATTTATAGCTGTTGTTTTTCGTCTAAAAAATAAATTTTTTAAGAAAAAATCTAGAAAAAAAATAAAATTTTTCTTACAAAGCTTTTCTTTTCGTATTTCGTTGCCAAGGACTTTCTCCAGTTGTATTTGTTGTACGATGTCCAGTTTGTAGTTTACTCAAATAAATTTCAATATTTTTACCCAATTTATTTAAACGATCAAGCAATTCTGATTCAGCAACAGTTATTTGTTGTAATTTCTTTTTATGGCCAATTTGTTTTTGGATTTGTTTTTCACCACTCAAAAAAATAATATCAAAAATATCTCGAAAAAATCGAAATAAGAGATGCCCTTTTAGTTTTATTTCCCAGAATAAGTCTCTAAAACATTCAATTCAACAAAAATTCTCTCACTTAAAGTCTTTATGAGGCCATCGATAGAAAGAAAGACGTCTAGCAGATTCCACATTCATCACATCTTTTGATATTGAAGAAGTAACATGCATCAAATCACCAACTTCTTGTCCTAAATTTTCCAGAAAGACGACCGTCAAAGGGTGAATAAAGTTTAAGTGGACAAAGCAAAAGCTTTAAAAAGGAATTTTAATTTAAAAAGTAAAAAAAATACTCGAAGACGTTCTAGCAACGAATAGGCATAAGAAAATGAAACAAAATCATTATTTAAAGGTGGACGTTTCCGATCTGCAGCAATCAAAACGTTCAATTCAACAAACATTTGCATGATATTAATGTCTATGACAGCTGGTGCAAAGTCCTGTAAAAACAGAAAGAAATAAAAAATAAGTGTTTTAGGAGCAAGTAGCCCTGGATATCAGTCTTTAGAAAATCCCATGCTTTTCTTAAATGAAAAGGATGGAGTTTAATTTACGTCTTAAAATAATCTAAAAAATTTTAAGAGTTGTCTTTTCAATTCCACACTACTACATACTGGATCCGACCGGCATTTTTTGGAGTTCGGGTCCAAATGCGTGTTCGTTCTCGAGTTTAGGCTTATTTCCGGACCTGGTTAATCGGAAGAATCCAGCCAAACCCGGGAAACTCTAGTTACAAATTAAATAAGTACCGTTACAAATTCGGATCCGACCCCGGAAAAATCAATTCTGCCGCAAACTATTATCCATTACTCCCCAAAAGGAAATTAGAGTAAAATGGCGCCACGAAAGTCAACAATCCCCAACAACTTCTCCCCTTTCGAAATCAAAGCAAAAAAATAATTTAAAAAAATCCCAACCGATTTTCTACTTTCAGTACTTCACTGATTCAAAGACATGAGGAACTTTTTCATCTCCGGCGCCCGTTGCAAATCCTTTGAGGAAAGAAAGCAACGCAAATCATCTTTTCCCCAACTGCAAATTCAACAGGAAAAACATCTTCTAAATCGACAACTCTAGTAAGCATATTAGCCATATCGAATTGGCCGTTATATTCACGACTAAATTATATTTTTGGTGCAACATCGTGTTCACAATTTAGTTGAGACAAACACAATCAAAGGTGTTAAAAAGTCGAACAAGTACAAGAAAAAGGTACAAACTAAACGAAATATAAACGTTTGGACTAAAATTCAAACAAACTTCTCACAACAAAATTTATTCGGAAATCAATTTTTTTAATTTAACATTTAAATATTTCCAATTCTTCCGGAAAATTTTAATCCCATCTACTTCTTTGGAGCGTTATCCTTCTTCGCAACGTCGACTTTCTTAGCACCATCAACCTTCTTTGGCGAATCGAGCTTCTTAGGAGTCTCCGCCTTCTTTTCTGAATAAAAAAAACATTATTTTTTACATTCTTTGTTTACCTTTAGGAGCAAAAGCAGTCCCGAGAACAGCTTGCCCACTTCTTATAATTCCCTCAAGCTGAAATATAAAATGAGTAAAATTCAATCATTGAAAAATATACTTCAACATTGCGCTTTCGAAGTCTCGCATTTTCCTCACGTTCCATGCGAAGTTCCTCACGCTGTTGTTCAACCAAATTGGTAAGATAAATAGACGTAGCAGATCCACTAGGACTAGACTGCGTCCCAACAACATTGTCCAAACTGGAAGCATTTTCGTATAAATTGTCAGCCATTTTTTTAAATTACTGAAATAAAAAGTGTCAAAGTTAAGTAAATAAAAGATTAAAGGAATTAACAAAACAAAGAAAATCCGAAAAGATTGGTTTAAATAGTATATTTTTAGTATTTTAAACAGAATGCCAATAGCATTAAAATTCAAAATTCTCTATTTAAACTGACAGTTGAGTACTACCAGTTCCTTTTAAGCTTGTTTAATTAAATGTACAAACAACTAACCGAAAACGTTGGTTGATTAACCAATGCCAGCGTAGGGCATGGCTACATGCCAGCCTTTAAGCATGGCCAAGTACATGTAGTTGTTTAATTGAGGGTGTTGATCTAATTCGTGTTGTTGGAGGTAGTTAAAGAACTCCAGTAACTGAAGAAAGAACCTTTGCTGGAAAATCAAACATTGTCTAAAATTTAAAAATAAAATAAATAAAATTTCAATCGAAACCTCATCAAAAATAAATCCAGAAAGTCCATATTCTCGAGACAATTTGCTGTGTAAACTGTTTGTCCATAGTTTAGGCCAACATCAACCAATAAGTGTCAACACTTCAACACGTTTTTGCATCAATTTATCAGCAGAATCTGCCAACTGGGGGGAATTTAGCAGAAGAGATTGTACAATCCTATAAATTTTAAAAAATATAAAAGAACCTAAGGGCACCTTCCATTCACTCTCTATTTCCAATAATTTTAACGGGTATATAGAAAATAATGACAACGACAAAATGGGGAAAATTAGACAAGTGAATTTGAGTGACCAGTTGTGAAAAAAATAGAAGAGAGAATGGCCATTCGAGAGGTCAAAGTTGTAAAAACGAGACAATGTGTTTGCGCGTACAGCCCAAGTAGGCGCTACGCCATTACGGCGCAAATCGATAACTTGCTGGAAAATATCTGGCCTTTTTGGTACCAATCTCCTCACAGAACGGGATCCACTCCCGTGCCATTTTCTATTTTTCGTTTGTTTCCTTTTTTGTTTTTCAATTTAAATTTTTTTATTTTTTTATTTTTTAGAGAAAAAATGAATAATTTAACAAATGTAGAAGATTCTGATAGAATTTATACAGAAACAAATAATGAAACGGATAATGCAGAAACTGATTTAGATAGTGGAGATGAATGGTCTTCTCCTGAAACAAATAAAAGGTTTCTTTTTATTTTTTTCCTCAAGTGTTTTGAACTAATGTAGAAATTAAACGTGAATTTGCAGCAAAATTCATTCCCGGTACTTCATAACGAAATTTTTTTCAAAATTTTGTACGGGCCGGAATCCCCCAGGCTTAATCCCGTTTGTCGCTTAAACCTCTGGATTTCAGGGCGGGATCACTTAAATCCCGTATGGGGGCTCATCACGTGTCGCACTCTAATTGGTAATAGTTTGAAATTCGCCCCCCTTTTTTACTGTTTCCCTGACCATTTTGAGCTTTTTTGTTTGATAGATAATTTATATATCATTCGAAAGCGCTCTTCGAGCTTGGTCGAATGATACCATGATTGGCTAGATCTGATCATTCTTGCCAAAATTATGAAGCTAAATCCTTATTGGGAAGACTTTTTGTGACAATCCAAGGGGATAAAATTAAAGGTCACAACTTTGTTCACTTAAATCAGATTTCGTTGATTTTAATGTCATTCGACTCAGCTTAAAGAGATCTTTCGATTGATATATAATTTGCCATAAAATGAGAAAAAACTGGGAAAGAATAGAAAGGAAAAAAAGCGGGGCGAGTTCCAAACTATTACCCTCTATAGACGAAAAGATTTTTTGGGAAGATACTTTGTGGACAATTTTTTTAGAATTATCAAAATTTTATAGTCAAAATAAAAAAATTCTTTTATTTAAATTAAATTCTAGTTCTCGAAAGAAATTTAAACATCGAAATCCAACAGAAATTGAGCGACTTCATTTTCGTTTAATTAATGAAAGGGTTGTTAATGTAAGTTTTGTTTTAAATTTAATGGGTAAAATTATTAAAACAATTTTTCTTTCTTAAAGGATATTACTTTAGAGGCTTTATATAAACCTCACACTCTTACAGGTTTTTTTCTTAATTTTAATTTTTTATTTATTCTTTCAGTTCTTGGTCTCCTTTGTGCTTATTTAATTTATGATGTTGTTTTTACAAAGTTTTTTTGAATTTTTTAAATTATAAATTTTTATTTTTAAAGGCAATTGGGATCAACGGATATTAATGTTTTTAGAGGGCTTAAAGCTTTGTTCATTCTTTTTCTTATTATTAGGTATTTTTTAAATTTATTTTTATTAAAACATTAGTTTGATTCGAAATTTTTTTATTTTTTACACAATAGGTTTTGAGGTGTACAGCCCAAGTAGACGTGCGGCCAATAGGCGCGACTTGCTTCAAGATTTTCGAATTTTTTAAAATTTAGTATTGAGCGATTCAGAATTGATAACCAAATTGTAGAGCTGTCCGAGACTCTTGGTCTTGGTCTTGGAACCAAGACTTTTCTTGGGTTTTTTTCGGTCTTGGTCTTGGGGTGTTTGTCCTGGTCTTGTCTTGGTTTTATTTTTTGGTCTTGGTTTTTTGGCCTTTTTGGACCTAGTGCTTGGCCATCCAAAATCCTCAAAATTTTCGCCTGCGGCGCAGAAAATGGAGGAAATCTGGCTTCTTGAGTCCCAAAATTCAAAAAATTTTCGCCTGCGGCGCTGAAAAAGTGATTTTTTGGCATAAGGCCTTCCAAAATATTAAAATTTTTGCCTGCGGCGCAGGAAAAGGAAGATTTTTGGCTTCTCGGCCTTCATAATTCCCAAAATTTTCGCCTGCGGCGCTGGAAAATGAAGAATTCTGGCTTCTTGGCCTTCCAAAATTGTTCAAATTTTCGCATGCGCGCAAAAAGATAGGGATAAAATAAAGGATGGATATCAGCAGCCACCATCACCTAATCACCCAGGTCCCCCAACTTCATACTATTCCTTTTGATCCCTCATAATCTACTTAAATTCCCCTTTAAACCTTGATATCCTTCTTAATCCAAGGGCGTAGCTAGGGGGTCGATTTCGAATGGGGGGGGGGGCTAACGTTGGGTATCGCCAAAATTTTGGCCTTACCTTGGCGTTCCAGACGTAAAATCCCAAGACATCCCTCATAATTCACTAAATCCCACGGCAATCCCTCTTAATCCTTTGATATCACTAATATCCCGTTAATCCACCCAAATTCTCTGAAATAATAACCTATTTTATTGATTTTCCATACGAATAAATTCCCCGAAATTCTTTGAATTTCGCATAAATTTTTCGAAATTATATATAATTGTGCTGAAGTTGACTGATCGTATCAAAATAACAAAAAATAAACCAAAAATTTGATTTATGGGATTTAAAAATTTGGTCTTGATTTTTGGTCTTGAGTCTTGGAGTTTTGGTCTTGGTCTTGAGTCTTGGTCTTGGAAAAAATTTTGTCTTGGGTCTTGAGTCTTGAGTCTTGGAAAAATTTTGGTCTCGGACAGCTCTACAAAATTGGTACCAAAATTGATAAGGGCAAGAAATTTTCCGGCATGTTATGGCTTTGCGCCGTTATGGCCGCGCGACTACTTGGGCTTGTCACGGTTTTTAGAAAAAAATTTTTAGTTTTCTATACCAAAATAATCCCATCAAAAGAATTTTTGATTCTCCTAAGCCCCGCTCCACCCATTAATTATTAGTTGTGTGAATGAGAGATGGGTCGGATTGAGGAAAAAGTCTTGTTTTGGATAAGTCGAAACATCACTTATGTGAAACTGGTCAGGCTTTCCGTGTCCTAGTCTGTTAGAGCTCCATCCATTAAGTACTAGTAATGTTTGAATGAGAGATGGGTCGGATTGAGGAAAAAGTCTGATTCTGGATGAGCCGACCCATCTCTAATGATAAACTGGTCAGGCTTTCTGTGACCCAATCTGTCACAGGGCCATAAAAATGAAAATTTCCTGTCAAACTGATTTTGATATCATTAAACACATCTAGTCGTGATAGGTTGAATTATACCAAAACTTTCCAACGATCGACCTTTCTTTAATTAATTGGAGCTGTCATAGATTAAGTTGAGGTAGATTGGGGTTTTCTTTAATAATTTAATAATATTCATATTTTTTTCTTTTAAAGTGCAATGATTTTCCCTAATGGCCCATTTATTCGTCCACATCCAATTATTTGGAGAATTGTTTTTGGTTTAAGTGTTCTTTATGCTTTGTTATTACAATTTACTTTATATCAAAGTTATGATGATGTTAAAGCTGTTCTTTCTTGGATTGATCCTGTTGGGTTAAGTCTTCGAAATTTAACTGAAAAGGTTTGGGAGTTTTTTTAATTTTTGTTTGGGGGTTTTTTAAATCTACTATTTATAGTTTATTTATCCTCGCAAAAAAATTTTTGGCTCTATCCGTAAGGACTGCCGGCATCCAATTTTTCCATATTATTAAAGTGGTTAATTTCCTTATATTTTCTCTATACTTAACCTTTTTTAAAATATGGAAAAAATCGGATGCCGGCATTCCTTTCGGATAGAGCCAAAAATTTTATTTTGTGATTGCCTTCCACTCCTTTTGCAAAACATAATTAAGCCTGTCTACATTAACTTTTAAAATCAGATTTTAAATAGGACATACTTATTAGCTTTTATTTATACCTTAACTGTCATTAACAGAGTTGTAACTCAACCATCCTATAGAAAATTTTTTGTTTATAGTTCTTTGTTAGCCTTCAGTTTCTTAAAGCTTTTTAGCTTATACTCTGTTGTTTTCCTTCTTCATTTACTTCCAATCATCTAACAAAATTTTAAAAATTAATTTTTTAAAGGAATATGCAGTTAATTGTACAGATGTATCAATTTCACGAATTTGGGGTCATATGGATATTTTTGCTGTTGGCCATTTTCTTGGATGGGCAATGAAAGCGTTAATGATTAGGCATACAATTATTTGTTGGTATATAAGTATTTCTTGGGAACTTACTGAGGTTTTTTTTGAATTTTAGATTTTTCTTTAAAAGAAATTTTGTTTATTCAACATAATTTTAAAATTTCAATTTTTAGCTAATATTTTTTTATTATAATAGCTAATTGTAAGAGTAAAGTCCTTCAAGTTTGTTTGGATCTTTTTTCGATTCTCTCTAAAAATTTTTGGTTACTAGTGTTCTAGTATCTCCTTTACCTTGTTTTGCCACTAACTCACTCTTTCAGAATTGTTCGAATTTTGTTGTTTTTGTTTCAATTTTTGGTTAATATTAAGTAAGAGTTAAGTCCTCAAGCTTTTTTGTGTCTGTTTGGATCGTTTTTTTGATTCTCAAATTTGTTTATCCAATATACTTATTGGACAGCTAAACCTATTGGTAAAATGTGCTCGTAGTCGTAGCCTGTTCTCGATTTGTTAATAATGATTTTAATTTTTCTTCTTTTTAAGTTAGCTTTTGCCCATTTACTTCCGAATTTTCAAGAATGCTGGTGGGATGCAATACTTTTAGATATTTTAATTTGTAATGGATTTGGAATTCTTTTTGGTAATTGGGTTTGTAGATTTTTGGAAATGCGTCAATATCATTGGGAAAGTATAAAGTTTGTTTTTTATGTTAATTGGGGAATGTAGACATGTAAGGGAGAAAAGGGGATGTCTAGCTGGTTATATTTAAAACGTTTAAATGGTGTTTAGGATTTTTATAAGCGAAGCAAAGTCATCTGTAGCTTCAATAGTTTTAGAGCATCCCCACCTGTTAGTATCATTTGTCATCCTTTTGATCAGAGTTGCGTCATAATTACGATTACGAAAAAAAATTCGATTACGACGCAACTCTGCTTTTGATGCGTCGCGTCATATTCAAACTTTGAGTGCATTTGGTACAGCTATTGGAGATATAATTCGATTGGGACCCTTACACGTAATACATAAGCAAAGTTTCCTGACATTACTCAAAACTACCTGATGTTCACAGGTTCGCTTTCTGCCCTGTTACTTATTGTTGAAGGTTTTATTCTGCCCTTCCGAAAATTTTTTTTCAAATTCCCCATTACTTTTTCTAAACAATTTAAAAAAAAATGAATTTTTTCCTTTTCAAAGAAATATTCGAACAATTCATGGTAAACTTCGTCGAGCAGTTCTTCAATTTACTCCAGAAAGTTGGATTACAGTTAATTGGTTAAAAGGAAGTGATTTATCTTCAAACAAAAAAGAAGCCGATTTGAACACAGCAAAAAGTTTATCTCCAGAAAATGCCAACAACAAAACTTTAAAAACCCCAGAAAATATTAAAACACCAATTTTAACCCCAACATCAGCTTCTTCAATTAGATCTGTTGCAATGGTGGCTGCTGATGCTAGAGGGAAAGTTTCTACTTGGGCGTCTACTTGGGCGGGGTTAAAACGTTGTATTGCAATATATATGTTCATTATGATTTGGTTGGTAAGTTTTTCTGGGAATTTTTTTTGATTATCTAAATTTTAGTAAAGGGAAATGAATTGATTTATTGAATAATTTTATTTTAATTTAAGGATAAAGTATGGAATTTTTTAGGCAAATAAATAGCCCACTTCTAAATTTTAAGTAGGGTTTGGGGCCCGCTCCGGCCCATAAGATTTTGGCCCGAAAAAGACTCGGTCGGGAAGCCCGATAAAAAATGATTCAAACGTCGGCCCGAGTCGAAAATTCCAACCCTAGTTTTAAGACAGGCAGGGTTTTCCCCAATCCTGCTTGTTAAAATATGAATGAAAAGCATCAGTCGATAGATGCGTTTATTTGGCGTATACTAACTTCTCTGAAGGATCTGTTTCAATCTTTTATTTTTTATTTTTTGGGTTTTTTCATGCCCCGTCCTCCCTAAAAATCCTTTTTCCCTATAAAATTCTCTTTTATTTTTTTAATTAATTTATTTTAAATTTAATTTTTAAGGCAACAGAATTAAACGTTTTCTTTCTTAAACACGTCTTTGCTATTGACACTTCTCATCCTGTTGTTTTTTGGCATATAATTTTAATTTGTCTTATTTGCGCTCCAACAATTCGGTTTCATTTATTAAAATAATATTTCTATTTCTTTTTAAAGTCAATATTATATTTATGTGACTGATCCAAAAGTTAAAAGGATGGGAATGCAATGCTGGTTTATTTTCTTTTATTTTTTAAAATTCTTTTATTAAATATTTTCTTAGGCTCTATGCTGTTATTTGTGCTTTAGAAGCTTCTATTTGTATTAAATTTGGTCGTGAACAATTGCCTTCTGTTAAACTGTGGTTAATTGGCCTATGGATTGCTTTTTTGGTTTTTAAATATTTTTATTAAAAATTTAGTCAACTCTTGATATGACGTCGTCGGTTCTGAATTTAAGCCAGTGTAATTATGGAATGAATCTGACGTTTATCGAGAGTCAAATCTTGCTAATGTTTACGTTAACACAAAAATCGCAAACGTCTTTCGTCAGAAAAAATAAAGGAAAAAGAGGAGGAAATTCACGCGCGATTTTATTCTAAAAATTTTTTTCTGTCGCATGCCGCAGAGCGATTTTTATGTAATACATCCCTCTGGATTTAATAGAGCCAAATAAGGAAAAAAACGTTAGCGGGTCTTTTGTGCTATCAAGATTTTTTGCCCTCTCTGTTGCTCTAACTTTTTCGTTCTTCCTATCATCTAGGTAATATTTACTTTGTAATTAGAGTTGTCGGTTCCTGGAAATTCTTCGGATATCCTAACCGAACCGAAAAATCCTCGTTTCTTCGGTCTGGTCCAGAACCGACAACCCTATTCGTAATCCTTGTCTTTAAACCCCATTTGTTCAAAGCCTCCCCTCAATGTTTATTAAATAATGTGAGGACTAATTTATCTGTTAAAGATTGATTGACTTTCAATTTTTTTTAAAATATTTTTTAAGGCTGTTGGAACAATATTTTGTGTTTGGGTTTCAATTTGGTGGACAAAATATCAAATGCTTACTCGCGAAGTAGAAGTTCGTGGTGGGGGTATTCGTGATTGTTATTTGGATTCTTCTTGTGAAAATTTGGGTGCAATACAGGAAGATGTTCATAAACGAAGAAAAAAATTAAAAATTTGTTCTTCAAATGAAAATTTGGTTGTTGAGAATAATAATGGTGGTGATGAGAAAAACAAAAAGAATAAATAAAGGAAAGGTTTGATATTTTTTGGTAAATTAGAAAATACAGTCTAATCCTCGTTTCTAAACTCTGCCCAAAGTCATTTTGCAGATAGACGGCTATTACTTCGTAATATTAAATATGAGGTCCTTGGATGGTACCATAAATTAGCGGTTAGTTAATAATGATTGTTAGTAGGGTTGTCGGTTCCATGGAAAAACTTCAGATATTCGGAACCGAACCTCTCGGTTCTTGGTCCGGTTCCGAACCGACAACCTTAGTTGCTAGGGTTAAAAACTTGTCTTATAATTCGGGGTGTCTTGATCTTGGGCATCGCACTTCCTCTCCTTCCCCATTCCCTTTATGGCTACTTAAATTTAAAAATGTTATCTTAAATTTAATTAATTGATGAGTTTAGACTATATTTTAAAATAATTTTTTTCCCATATTCTCCTCCACTTCTCAAAAAATTTTGTTTCCAACAAGGTGTCATATTTTTGATTATTATACTATATTCTCTTTGTATTGTTGAGTTTTTTTTTGCTTTAATTCAACGAAAATGAGCTAAAATTTTTGGCTCTATCTTAGGACATGCGTCCCATGGACATTTATGCGTCCCATGAAAGTTTATGCGTCCCATGAACTTTTATGCGTCCCATGAAAGTATATGCGTCCCAAAAATAGTATAAGAGTCCCTTCAAAGTATATGCGTCCCAAAATTAATATAAACGTAAAACAATTGTAAAAACATTTTTTTAATTTTAGTAATGACAATTAAATATTTTATTATATTTATGTTTCCTTGCTCTAGCGACAACGAGCATTAAATTAATATTTAACATTCATATGGGTGAACTTCTTTTCCCATCTTGGGGGCTCTTAAAGCTAGCTTAAGCCACCGTCACGGAACAAATAAAAATATGCTACCTTCTTATCTATTTCAGTATGTGTTTAGAAGATACCATGCAAACAGTAAAATCCTTCAACATTTGATGGAAGATATTTTTTTTATATTAAAATAAAAATTTTATTTTTTCTTTAAAATTTGCTCGTTGTCCCTTGAGCAAGCAAACATATAATCAAATATTTAATTTTCATTAATACATTTAAAAGATGTTGTTTGCGCTTATCTTATTTTGGGACGCATATACAATTTTTGGGACGTATATACTTTCATGGGACGCATATACTATTTTTGGGACGCATAAACCTTCATGGGACGCATAAATGTTCATGGGACGCATAAATGTTCATGGGACGCATGTCCTAAGATAGAGCCAAATTTTTTTCTTTTCCCTTATTAAGTATTATTTTTGTGTTTTTTCGAATTCGGATATACTTTAGCCGGTGGCCCACTCAGAAACGGGTCAAAATATATACCATTCGATTTGTCTCGGCGAGCTGAGTCGAATGGTACCATTCTTTTTTTGCGGAAATTCCTATGAGCCGAGATATAGGTACTTGAAAATCGAAAAACCATAGGGGGGACCAAGCACTTTATTGGGGTGAAAAATTCGAATATGCAAATAATAGCTCATTCGAAAGAGCTCGTCGAGCTGAGTCGATTAACACCAAAATCAACGAAATCTGACTTGCTTGGACCGAGATATAGGCTTCTGAAAACTGTTAATCCAAAGGGGTGATTTTTGGAATTAAAAATTTTTTAAGCATATTATAGCTCATTTAAAAGAGCTCGACAAGCTGAGTCGAATGACACCAAAATCACCGGGATTAAACAAGTTTACACAAAGTTACAACACAAAAAACTAGCAACATAAACCTATGGGGCGTCGGCGAGGCGCTTGTGCAAAACTCCGCGCTTCGCGCGGAGTTTTGCGGCACGCGCCTCGCGGGGAGTCTACGGGCGCTGGGTCTGGGCTTGTAACATAACCCTATTCCTATCTCCCTTGCTCTGGACGTATTTGGGGCCTCCGTAGCAGCAAAAATCTCCAGATGCCATAGGTAAGGAGCTAAAACAAATGCTCATAACTTTGTCAAATCAAGTCGGATTTCGTTGATTTTGGTGTTAATCGACTCAGCTCGACGAGCTCTTTCGAATGAGCTATTATTTGCATATTCGAATTTTTCACCCCAAAAAAGTGCTTGGTCCCCCCTATGGTTTTTCTATATTTAAGTACTTATATCTCGGCTCGTAGAAATTTCAGCAAAAAAAGAATGGTACCATTCGACTCAGCTCGCCGGCACGAATCGAATGGTATATATTTTGACCCGTTTCTGAGTGGGCCACCGGCTAAAGTACAGCCTCGAATTCATTTTAGACAAAGTTAAATTTTTGGGGTTTAAAATTTATTTTTGAATAAATACTCTAAACTTAAAAAATTCAAAGGAGTTTAGTTTAGCTATACCAGTAGTATATACACGCTTTTTATTCCCTTTTTTAAAGGAAATAAAGCGTGAATTAATAATATTAACTAAATGTGAATATCGAGGGTAGGTATTTAGCTTAATTTTAGAGCTAATTAAAAATAAGCAGACAATTTTCCCCCAAAAAATACAAACAAAAAACAAAGATGATTCGAAATGTGAGCTAAGCTTTGTAAAAATCCATCTAGAGTTGGGAAAATTGATGCTGAAAATGATCAAGTAATCGGTCGAAAAAAATTGTTGACGATGATGGTTCAAAACGTAAGTCTGTTTGTACATTTGACAGTTTATATTTATCTTACTCAATATATTAGCTCGTCATCGTGAACTTTATGGTATTACTAGAGAATACATTTATCACGACAACATGCATCTGCAATTTTATTTCCAATTCAATGACTTCGAGCATGTCCATTATGACCTTGATCGTATGGAACAGATTCTTGCCTTGAACCCTTTTAATTTATCTTCTGATCAAAAGAGTGCTGTCCGCCGTGCCCTCCAACCGCATTCATGCAGTGTTATACAGGTTTTGTATCTTTCAAATATAAAGTGTGACATTTTTCCTTTAAGGGTATGCCTGGAACCGGCAAAACTCAAACTATGAATTCAACAATTCTTACTGCTCTATTGTGCCGGTTTTTAAAATTATATTATTTTTTTACGATACAAGAAATATAAATATACAATAAATATTTTTGCTGAACATCATATCCTTGTTTGTTAAGCTACTGGTGCCGATCTGAAATTGATCATTCAGGGTTACTAGTAGTATCTAAGATAAAATAAAATATAAAAATAGCTTACAGTCTACTTAAATAAGGAAGATAAAAAAATAAATTTATTAATTTATTCTATGAAAAAAAAATAATAAATTTCCTCAAATATAGTTAATTTATAATACATTGCTTCAACACGACGATGATCTTCACACATTGCGTCGTAATTATTAAATTATTTTTAACAAATTAATAACAATATAAACATTTGATTAAATAAAAGTTAAAAGTTTAAAATGTCGAATGTTTAAAAATATTTTGTAAGATATTAATACTAAGAATTTTTATACAAAAAGCGTCATGTAATAATATTTTTAAAATTAATTATTTTTTTACGATATAAGAAGTATAAATATATAAATAGATATTTTTGCTGAACCTCAGATCCTTGTTTGTTAAGCTACTGGTGCCGATCTGAAATTGATCATTCAGCGTTACTAGTAGTATCTAAGATAAAATAAAATATAAAAATAGCTTACACAGTCGACTTAAACAAACTAATTTCATTAAAATTAAAACTTTAAATAATTCTACCAGAAACTCATTTTCTATAACAAAATTGTTATAAAACTAAGAATATTTTATACAAAAAGCGTCATGTAATAATATTTTTAAAATTATATTATTTTTTTACGATATAAGAAATATAAATATATAAATAAATATTTTTGATGAACCTCAGATCCTTGCTTGTTAAGCTACTGGTGCCGATCTAAATCTGCCTTACATTTTTTATTATTTATATTTAAAATATTTAATTTTCATTTGAAATTGCAAAAAATCGTTTTAATATTTTTAATAATTTTATTTAATATTTTTAATATTTCATTTAGCTTTTATGATTTCAACCAATTGCAAATAGAAGGAATAAATTATTATTAAAAGAGTTTTACAAAGCTTAGCTCACATTTCGAATCATCTTTGTTTTTTGTTTGTATTTTTGGGGGGAAAATTGTCTGTTTATTTTTAATTACATCTAAAATTAAACTAAATACCTACCCTCGATATTCACATTTAGTTAATATTATTTATTCACGCTGCTTTATTTCCTTTAAAAAAGGGAATAAAAAGCGTGTATATACTACTTATACCGACTTTGTTCCTGTTTTGACGCACTTGATTAATTGTCCAAGTGGGATTTCTTCGATTCTGAACCGAAACGAGGATTTTTTCGGGTCCTCGGTTTCTGTTCCGGATATCCCAAGATTTTCCACTAACGGTTAATTTTAGTTTAGACAATTTATAAAAATTATGGGGGTTAATCAATTTCACTTTTAGTACTTTTTTGGAAGACGTCTCTTGGAATTATTTTTTTAAATTTAATTTTATCTTCCCTAAATAATTTTAAAATTTTCTTTTTTGTTAAGAATTTCCCCCTTAAATTTAGTAGAGTATTTTTTATATATTTTTTTAAATCCAACACGAAACAAACAAAATAAGCGCCATTTATACACATTCACTTTTTTTCTCGCTCAATTCTTCTTCCTCTTTAATTGTTAAAACAACATTTTTAATGTTTTTTGTTCATTATTTTGTTATTATTAAAAGACTAGACGAAAAAATGTATATTTTTTTGAATTAAATAGATAATGTTTGAACTTTTTTCTAATTAAAAAAAATAAATAATAATTTTTTAAAAAAGAATTTTTAAAAAATTTTTTCGAACAAAATTTAGAAAATTAAAAAAATTTATTTTGAAAATTTTTTTGAACAAAAATAAAAATTTTTTTCAATTTTTGAACAAAATTAAGAGAATTTTTAAAAATTTTTTTGAACAAAATCAAATATATTTTTAAATTTTTGAACAAAAATAAATTAAAAAATTTTTTTATTTGCTTATAAACTAAAAGAGAAAATTAGGTATACATACATATTTATGTAATTTTGAGAATCCTCTCAAATTTTCTCTACTTTTAATCTTTCATTTTTATTTTATTTCCTCATTTATTTTTTTTAAATTTTTTTTAATATGTATTACTCAAACGAATAAATTTATGAATTATATTTTGAATTTTTTTAAAATTTTTTATTAATAAATTTTTAAATATTTTTAAATAAAAAGTAATTGATTTTTAAAAAATAGACAATTAATTATTTTAGAATTTTCTAAAGATTTGGGAAATATGCAGAGAACTTTGATGCGGTTGATTATGGCCCCAAGAAAAAGGTTAATTTATTTTATATTTTTATTTGAAGAATATCAGAATTCTTAAAAATTAAATTTGAAATCAGACTTTTTGGAAATATAATTAAATCAGAATTTTTTTAATTTTCAAAATTTTTTAAATTATTATTCTTCTGGTTTTTAAATTCTGATTTTTTAATTCTGATTTTTTACTTCCGATTTTTCTAAATTCTGATTTTAAATTCTGATTTTTCAATTCTAGATTTTAAATTCTGGTTTTTAATTCTGATTTTTAAAATTCTGATGTTTAATTCTGATTTTTAAAATTCTGGTATTTTTAAAATTCTGATTTTTAATTCTGGTTTTTAAATTCTGATTTTTTAATTCTGATTTTTAATTCTGATTTTTTAATTCTGATTTTTAAAATTCTGACTTTTAATTCTGGTTCTTAAATTCTGGTTTTTTGATTATGATTTTTAAATTCTGGTTTTTAAATTCTGATTTTTAAATTCTGATTTTCAAAATTCTGATTTTTAAAATTCTGATTTTTAAATTCTGATAAATTCTGATTTTTAAAATTCTGATTTTTTAATTCTGATCTTTAAAATTCTGATTTTTAAATTTTGATTTTTAATTCTGGTTTTTAAATTCTGGTTTTTAAATTCTGATTTTAAATTTTGATTTTTAATTCTGATTTTTAATTCTGGTTCTGATTTTAAAATTCTGGTTTTTGATTTTTAATTGAGGTTTTTAGTTCTGATTTTTAATTCTGATTTTTAAATTCTGATTTTTAAATTATGATTTTTAAATAAATTTTTAAAATTCTGATTATTCTATTTTCAGAATATCAACACTTAATTTATTACTCTCTTTAATTCTGATTTCAATGATTTGTTTTATTTTAATTCGTGATTGGTTAACTACAATAGAAGAACTTCCACCGGGTGAAGGGAGGACTTGGGCACCACAAAATAAAAGTTTATTAAATAAAAAGAAAGAAATTGTTGGGAAAAGTTTAAATAAAAAGGTTTATGCGGCTGTTTTGCCTATGAGGAATAAAAATGGTTTTCTTTTTGTTTTTTTAATTAAAAAATTTATTTTTTATAGGTCCAGGTGAAATGGGCGCTGCTGTGTTTTTAACGGGCAAAGAAGCAGTTCAGGGCACTGCTGACATGAAAAAATGGTTTATGAATGTTGCTGCTAGGTTTTTTTAATTTTTTAAAATTGGTGGGGACTTCTTCCAGCTTTTTAAACTTTTTTTAATTTTTTAATCAGTTTTGGGGTTTCTATTTTAGCTTTTTTATGATTTATTTTTGTTATAATTTATGGTTCTCAAGCTTTTTAAACCGTCTGTTATCTTTTTATAGAGTCCGGTTCGAATCGATTTTTTGTCGATTTTTTCATCGACCCTTCCTGCCGGGTTTTCTTGAATAAAATTACAAATAAGCCTAAAAGATTACCAAAACCCGGTAAGTAATCCCAGTCCACTGGAATTATGTTAGGTTTTAATCCCAAATAATGTGACTAAATCCAAAATTCACCATTATAACTAGGGATAAGTTAAGTTGAAAAAGAGGTTTATTAAAAAATTTTTTTCAGTGACAAAATTTCTTTGGATCGTTCATTGCCAGATGTCCGTATTAAAGAATGTAAAACAAAAATTTATGATTTGAATAAATTACCAAAAACTTCGGTTGTTATTATTTTTACTGATGAAGCTTGGTCTCCATTATTACGAACTGTCCATTCTGTGATTAATAGAACACCAGATAAATTGTTGGAAGAAGTTTTGTTGGTTGATGATTTTAGTCAAAGAGGTTTTTTTTTATTTTTGGGGGAATGGTTCGAAATTAATTTTAAAAATTTTTCAAAAAAAAAATTATTAAAGAATTAATTTCTAAAGGAATCTCAATTATATCTCATCCTTATTTTAGACACTTTCCGAAAAATTTTAATTAGATATAACCTTCTATAGTAAAATTTAAGCAAAATTTAACTTTCCAATTTAACCCTCCTCCTTCCCTCCATTTATTTGGAATTTATTTTCAAGATACACTACTAGGTTGGGTATTAGATGTTTAATGGTACTTCCTCAATAAAAGTTAGACTATTTTTTAGCTCCAAAAAGGTATCTAAAAGTAATGTTTGATTGTTCCGTTCAATACTATCCAAATTTATTCTTAATCAAAATTAGCTAACCTCTTTTCGAAAAATTTTGATTTGAGCTACTTATACGCATTTTTGGATCAAAATTTAAGCAAAATTTAACTTTCCAATTCAATTTAAATTCAAAAAAAAAACTTTTAAAATTTAGACGATCTCCACCAGAATCTTGACAATTACATTAAACGATTTAATGGAAAAGTGCGCATTCACAGATTTAAAGAAAGGAATGGTTTGATTCGTGCAAAGTTAAATGGAGCAAAATTGGCACGTGGTGAAGTTGTTGTGTTTTTGGATTCACATTGTGAGGCAAATATTGGATGGTTTGGATTTTTTTAATTTTTAATAAAAAAATTTTGGGAGCTTTTCTCTGGGTTGTATCTTCATTAAAATTTATTTTGGTTTTCAAAGATATGGGTTTTCTTTGAGGCTTTTGGCCAGTTTGCTTGGGCAAAATTTTTGCCAGTTTGGCTTTTGTTTATATTAATTTTGGGTTTCTTAATTTTTTAAAATTGTCTTTAGCCAAACAAAATTATTTTAAATAAATATTTAAGTAGTTTGATGCTCATAGATTTCACCCTTCGAAACGTTAAGGAACGAAAATAAATCCAGCTTTGAAAACCAAAAAAATCCAAAACTTTTTGAGGATACATAAAAACTAAAAAAATTCCCTTTAATTTTCTAAACAAAATTTTAAGGCTTGAGCCAATGCTCGAAAGAATAAAAGAAAAGAAAACAGCAATTGTATGTCCTTCAATAGATAATATAAATGCTGAAACTATGGGTATTTTTTTAAATAAATTATTTTAATTTAAATTTATTTTTTAGCATATACAAGTGGAGGAGAAATTAATTCTATTGGAACGTTTTTTTGGTCTTTGCATTTTCGTTGGGATCCAATTCCTGAAAGAATTCGAAAAACTCTGAAATCGGCTGCTGATCCAATTCCGTAAATTTTTTTTAATTTTTTAAAATTAAAAAAATTTTTTTTTTAGTTCCCCAACAATGGCTGGAGGTTTATTAGCTGCTAACAGAGAATATTTCCTTCAAGTTGGTGGTTATGACCCTGGAATGGATATTTGGGGTGGAGAAAATTTGGAAATATCTTTTAGAGTAAATCAGAATTTTTTTTATTTTTTAATTAACTTCTGGGAAAGTTTTTAAAAATTTATTCTGATTTTCCCGGAAAGTTTTGGGTATTCAAAGTTTCTGGGAATATTAGAATTTTCTTGTAGAGACATATAAATTATTTTATTTTACGGAATATTAAAATAGGGCACATCCCGATATACCGGCAGCCCAGTATGCCGCCGATCTATAACATCGTTCAAAATTTTTGAATCCGGGATGCCCTGGTATAGTTTGTTTCAGCTTCTCGAGCCGCATTGAACCATACCAGGATGTCCTGGATTCGACAAATTTGAACAAAGTTATACATAACTCGGCGGTTATAACTTTGTTAAAAAATTAATTTGAATCATTTTAAACTTTCCGGAAAGCAAGTTTTAAGAGAATTATTCTGAAATTATCAGAATTAATTTAAAAATATTTCTGAAACATTCATTTAATTTAAATAAACTTTCCTGAATTTAATTCTGATTTTATTTTTCAATTCTGATTTTAATTTTAAAAAATTCTGAAATCAGAATTATTTTATAAAAACTTTCCGAAAAATCAGAATTAATTGAAAGGAAATAAATATAAATCAGAATCAATTAAAACTTTCCTGAAAACAAAAAAAACTTACCGGAATTTATATTAATTCTGATTTTATTTTTAAAGAATTCTGAAATCAGAATTATTTTATAAAACTTTTCGAAAAATCAGAATTTTAATAATTGAAAGGAAATAAATATAACTCATTGTCAGAATTAATTAAAACCTTTCCTGAAAACAAAAAAAACTTTCCGGAATTAAAATTAATTCTGATTTTAATTTAAATTCTGATTTTAACAGGTTTGGATGTGTGGAGGTTCTATAGAATTTATTCCCTGTTCCCACGTCGGTCACATCTTTAGAAGCGGCCATCCCTACAACATGACAGGTCCAGGCAACAATAAAGACGTTCACGGGACAAATTCTAAAAGACTGGCAGAAGTTTGGATGGATGATTATAAAAGATTATATTATTTACATAGAAGGGATTTAATTGGGAAGGATGTTGGGGATTTAAATGAAAGGAAAAAATTGAAAGAAAAATTAAAATGTAAAGATTTTAAGGTAAATTTTGATTTTTTTTTGATAATTTTTAAAAAAATTATTTTTTTGTAGTGGTACTTGGATAATGTAATTCCGGAAAAATTCATTCCAGATGAAGGTAAATTAAATTAAAAAAAAATTTTTTTAATTTTAAAAAATTATTTTTCTGATTATTACTTATTAATCAGTCAAAAAAAACCCCTCATTTTTAAATACCTCCCAAAATTAGGTACTCTTCCTTTGAATACTTTTTTTGGCTTTGATTATCCGATGGTTTTGGGGAAAACTTTGTTTAAATGTCTCAAGTGCAAAATTCATTCAATTCAAGGGGTTTCCCCAAGACTTCTCGGACTTTTACAAACATAGTAGGGGTTCCCCAAGACTTCTGAGACCTCCAAAAACGAAGGAAAGTTCACTATTAGGTTATAATATTTTTTCACCCCGAAAAGGGTATATTATAATACTGGGGTTTTGACTGGTTTTATTTTTAAAAATATTTTTTTTATTTAATTTTTTTTCTTTTTTAGAAGTACATGGGTTTGGAGCGGTTAGTTTTTATTAAATAAATAAAAATTTTATTATTTTCTTCCTTTTTTTATTTTATTTTTAGCTTCAAAACGTGGCAAGTCAGTTATGTTTAGACACATTACAGAAGGAAGAAAAGACAACAACACCTTTATTTGTTTTTTCTGTTTGTTTTAAATTCTGATTTAATTTAAATAATTGTTTTTCCGGAAAGTTTTAAATTAATTCTGATTAATCAGAATTAATTTAAATAAACTTTCCGGAATTCTGATTTTTCCGGAAAATTAATTCTGATTTTTCCGGAAAATTAATTCTGATTTTTCCGGAAAATTAATTCTGATTTTTCCGGAAAATTAATTCTGATTTTTCCGGAAAATTAATTCTGATTTTTCCGGAAAATTAATTCTGATTTTTCCGGAAAATTAATTCTGATTTTTCCGGAAAATTAATTCTGATTTTTCCGGAAAATTAATTCTGATTTTTCCGGAAAATTAATTCTGATTTTTCCGGAAAATTAATTCTGATCTTTCCGGAAAATTAATTCTGATCTTTCCGGAAAATTAATTCTGATCTTTCCGGAAAATTAATTCTGATTTTTCCTTGAATTAATTCTGAAAAAAATTAATTCTGATTTCCCCAGAAAATTAATTCTGCTCCTTCCGGAAAATTAATTCTGATTTTTTTCAGTGTCAAGGAGGCGCCTCCTCAGCCCAAGTATTTTCTTTAAGCAAGAAAAACCAACTTAGAAGAGAAATTACTTGTGCAGAAGCTAGAGAATCAGAAAAAGTAGTTTATTTAGTGCCTAATTGTGATTTGGGGAATAAAAACCAATTGTGGGAACAAACAAAAGTAAAAATTAAATTTTTTTTTAAATTAAAAAAAAATTTTTAATTAAAAAAAGGATGGTTTAATGAAGAATTTGGGGACTAATTTGTGTTTAGAATCTTTAAATGCCAAAAATGGAGATCAAGTGCCTTTGGAAATTTGTGACAAGGATAAATTGACTCAAAAATGGGAATTTATTTATTGGGATTAAGGGGGAATTTTTAAAAATTATTTTTTTTGCCTGCCAAATTAAACAAAATTTCTAAAAATTGTACCCAAATCTTTTTTTCTTTGCTCGTTTCTTTCCCAGTAATTATTTTTAAAAAATTATTTTTTTCCCTAAAAAATTATTTTTTTCCTTTAATATAGCCAAAAATATTTTGAAAAATTTTATTTTATTTATTAAACTAGTCTTTAAATTATAAAAATATTTTTTTTAATTTTTCCCTGTGATATTTTTTATTTGCATCAATATTGTGTGTGTTTGAATGGCTATTTTTTTAATTAAAAATAAATTTTTTTATAAAAAAATTTATTTTATTGACACGTAATTTTAAATACACGTTTATTTTATTGATTTAAAAAAATTAAAAATTAAATTAAAAAAAGTAGCCATTAAAATAAAATATTTAAATAAAACGTGTTACGATTTATAAGTCTTTAATTTATTTTCTTTTTGTATTTAGGAGATATTTAGGAGATAGTTTATTTTAAAATTAATTCTGATTTTTGTAAAATAATTCTGATTTATATTCATTCCAGAATTTTTTTAAAATTAATTCTGATTTTTCCGGAAAGTTTATTTAATTTAATTCTGATTTTTAAGTTTTTATAATTCTGATTTTAAAATAAATTCTGATTTTTAAATAAATAAGCTTATTTTAGCAAATTATGTTCTTAAAGTTTATTTATTTTCTAATTTTTCCGGAAACTTTATTTAAATTAATTCTGGTTTTTATAAAATAATTCTGATTTATATTTAATATAAATTTTCAGAATTTTTTTTATTAATTCTGATTTTTCTTTCCTCTATTTAATATTAATTTTTTTATTTGTTTATTGTTGCCTTTCTGTTTTTAATGTGTCAATAATCTGATTTGCATTAAAATTTATTTTTATTTTTTAAATTAAAAAAATATTTTTTTAAATAATATTTAATATTTTTTAAATATTTAAAATTAATTTTTAAATAATTTATTTTAGAAAAAAATAAAATTTTTTTGAAATGTCAACAGAAAACGAACAGAATGAGGGTGGGGAAGAAGTTAAAAAAGAAATTGTTTATCCCTTAAGTGTGACTTATTGTGGAGGTATTTTGGAAGGGGAATTAATGTTGAATTAAAATTTTATTTTTAAGCCTGTACAATGCCTATAGAATATTGCGAATTTAGTGGAATGTCTGAAAAGTGTAAACAGTGGTTAATTACCAACCTTCCTGAGGTTGCAACAGAACAGTTAAAAATTGATGAGAGTGGGGAAGGGGAACAACAAACGGAGAAGAAACATCAGGTAGAAATTTAGTTAATTAAAATAAATTCTGATCTATCCGGAAAGTTTGTTTAAATTCTGATCTTTCCTGAAAGTTTATTAAAATTCTGATTTTTCCGGAAAGCTTTGTATAAATTCTGGTCCTTCCAGAAAGCTTACTTAAATTAATTCTGGTCCTCCCGAATGTTTATTTATTTTCTGATTTTTCAATAAAGTTTATTAAAATTAATTCTGAATTTTAAGTTTTAATAATTTTGATTTTATGATGTGTTTATTTAGTAGGAAAATTCTGTTCTGAAGTTTATTTATTTTCTGTTCTTTCCGGAAAGTTTATTAAAATTCTGATTTTTATATTCTGATTTTTCTTAATCTTAATTCTGATTTATCCGGAAAGTTTTAAAATTCTGGTCTTTCCGGGAAGCTTTTTTAAATTAATTCTGATTTTTCCTGGATATTTCTGATTTTTAAATTCTGATTTTTTCGTAATCTTAATTCTGATTTTTCCGGAAAGTTTATTAAAATTAATTCTGATTATTAATTCTGATTTATTTTTCCCTTCTAATTAATTAATTAATAGAAAAGAGGCGGTAAAGGTTCTACTTCATCAACATTATCGTCAAAACAAGGCAAAAAAGGACAAAAAGAAATTAAACAAAAAATTACTTTAAAAACAGAAACGCGAAGCAAAAATAAATCTGTGACAATAGTTAAAGGGCTTTTAACTTGCAATATTGATTTAAAAACGGCCTCCAAATTATTTTCTAATAAATTTGCTTGTGGTTGTTCTGTTGCGGGTACTGATGAATTGGTTATTCAAGGAGATTTTAAGGTGGGAGAGAATTTTTTTTAATAAAAATATTTTTAAAATTGATTTTTTAATTTTTAAATCAATTTAAAATTTTTTTTAATTTTTGAAAATATTTTTTAATTCAGGCGGCCCCCGTTTATCCCTTTTTATATTAGTATATTTGGAGGAATATTTAAATTACCTTATAACCTCTACCAATGGCCCTCCCTCAAATAATTGTTCCACCTCGATTAATTACCCGAAAGAATATTTTTTTTAAACAAAAAAATATTTTTAAATTGATTTTTTAATTACTAGATCGATTTTTAAAATTTTTTGAATTTTTGAAAATAATTTTTTAATGTGGTAGGATATCGTTTATCCCCTTTTAGAGATTTAAAGTCGGACGGAGTATAAATCGAAGGACACTTATTTCTCCCCTATCCTCTAGAGATGTGCGAGACCGAAATTTTTCCAAGACTCAAGACCCAAGACAAAATTTTTTCCAAGACCAAGACAAAAACTCCAAGACTCAAGACCAAAAATAATACAAAACTCGAGACAATTTTTAGGTCCCATAGGTCAAATTTTTGGTTTATTTTTTGTTATTTTGATACGATCACAGTCAACTTCAGCACAATTATCTATAATTTCGAAAAATTTATGCGAAATTCAAAGAATTTCGGAGAATTTAACTGTGGAAAATCAATAAAATAGGTTATTATTTCAGAGGGTTTGGGTGGATTAACGGGATATTAGTGATATCAAAAGATTAAAAGGGATAGCCGTGGGATATAGCGCCGCAGGCGAAAATTTTGGGAATTATGAAAGCAAAGAAGCCAAAAATCTTCCTTTTCCTGCGCCGCAGGCAAAAATTTTTTGAATTTTGGTGTGCAAGAAGCCAGATTTCTTCCATTTTCTGCGCCGCAGGCGAAAATTTTGAGGATTTTGGATGGCCAAGCACTAGATCCAAAAAGGCCAAAAAACCAAGACCAAAAAATAAAACCAAGACAAGACCAAGACAAACACCCCAAGACCAAGACCAAGACCGAAAAAAAACCAAGAAAAGTCTTGGTTCCAAGACCAAGACCAAGAGTCTCGCACATCTCTACTATCCTCCCTTTCAGAGGCGTTTTTTCCTTCCTATTTTTTGTTTTGATTTCCGATTTCCAATTTCGACTTTTGAGTCAGTTCCGATTTTTGGCTCTTCCGATTTTTGACACCTCTAATTGTTCCGACCCACCTCTCCTCCCTCCCAAACCACCTTTAAAAATTAATTGAGTACCCGAATAATCCTAACTTTACTTTTTTCTAGGACGAACTTTTCGAATTAATACCTGAAAAATGGGGTATAGACGAGGATGCTATAGAGGATTTGGGTGGTGAACCACAACAAAAGAAATAAATTTTTTGTTAAAAATTGGATTGTTTTTTGGTTAAATATTTTTTTGGAATAAAAATTTTGTTTTTTAAATTTAATTAATTTAAAGTTTTTTAATGACTAAAAACATTTCTTTTAATTTTTCAAACATTTTTTAGCCTCTCTATATTAATCTAAATTAATTGGAATTAATTCTTGAATTAATTTTCGAAATTTTATGGGCTTTTAGAAAGCTTTTTTTAATTTATTAAACGTTTTTTCTGGTATGTGATCAAGGATCCTATCGATTCGATTCCCAAAATCGGTAATTTATTTTTTTGTCGGTAGTATACTTGGTACTTACGTATTATAGTGGATCGGCTGAGAAAAAAATTGGTTCGGGTTTTGGATTGAAAAAAGTCTGGATTTTAGGTAACCCTACCCATCCCTAGTATTTAATATATATAGAGAGAGATTAATTTTAATTTATGACGCTGATTATAATTATGTGTCCTATGAACCTTTATTGAACTATAAACTTTTGTTCGGACACGTAAACTTTCATTGTACTCGTAAAGGTTCATTGGGCGTAAACTAGACTAGTGCCGTTTTTGTTTACTTAAACTGCCATTTATTAGAATTTTAAAAGAATTCCTTCAAAAATATCATCTATTATATAGAGGGTATTTACTAAATAGAATGTATTTTTAAAATTAAAAAAATACAAATTTTCAGTTAAAATGTCCCCAACAATTTTACAAAAAATATTTTTTCCCTACAAACACTCAACAGAACTTCAACAAAAAAGGAAAAGGCGCAAGTTTACACGTGTCCGATGGGCTTTAACTTTAATTATTGGAATTTGTTTTTTTGTTATTTATGTAATGTTTTATGCTTGGATTGATACTAATTTAATTCAACAAAGGGAGGGAGTCTTTCCTGATGGGTAAATTTAAATTAAATTAATTGGGAGGTAATAAAAATAGGAATATTTCTTTGTGGGGGTGGAAGTGAGAATTCTTTGGTTAGTTGACCAAAATTCTTTGGTTAGTTGACCAAAATTCTTTGGTTAGTTGAATCAAACAACCTTCTTTCCATTTTTTGTTTAAATCCCTAAACTCTCCCCATCACAAAAAAAAGAATATTTAATTGGGGAAAGTTGATGAGGAGATATACATAATATCCTCTATCAGCACTTCATGGTGCACTACTTAATTTGGAACCCCCGGAATGGGACTACAATAATTCCAATAAATACCTCCTATGAATATTTTGGGATCCGTTTATTGTATCCTTCAAATAAAAACCTCTCGGCAGTTATTGCTATGGCGCTTCGTTCACCACCTACAGACCAGGAGTGTGCCATTTCGTCTTCCGTCTTTCGCCTTTTAAAATCTTTTCGGCACCTCCCTGTACAGATATATGTACTTATAGCTATCGACGCTTAAAGTTCTCTCATCTTAAATTTGCTAGAGTTAACCTTTCCTTCCTTAAAATTAATTAATTTTTCAATTTTTTCAAAATAGGCACGCAATTCCAGCAGAATTTCTCAATTTAAATTTCAACATAACAGAAGAACAAATTTCAGAATTATCCTTTTTTGGTCATTCCCAACAACACAAAATTCCTTCAAAAAATATAAAAAGGACTGGAATTGGAGAAAATGGTTCTCCTGTTATTTTAAGTGGAGAACAAAAAATTAAAGCTGAAAAACTTAAAAAGGAGTGGTTTATGAATGTCGTGGCTAGGTAGGTAATTGAAGGGAGGGGAATGGTTTTTAAAGGGAAGGACTGTGATTAGGACTGTGATTAGCGCTTGGTGGTTCATGGAAAATCTTTGGGTATTCCGAACCGCCTGAACCTGAAAAAACCTGAACTGCCAACCCCTTACCCATGACTTGCTGACTGGCTTTACAGGCCTATAGGTCAAAATAGGAATTTAATTAATGTAAAGGTAATTGAGGGAGGGAGGAGGAGGGAAGTGTTTTTAGAGGGACGGCGATTAGGACTGTGAGCAGCGCTTGTGGCTTATGGAAAATCTTCGGGTACACGGAACCGCCAACCTCTTACCCATGACTGGCTTGACAGCACGGGGGGAAGGGAGGGAGGGAGTGGGGGGGTTCGTCTTTCACTTTTTAAAATCACTTTCTGCACTCCCCTGCTTCACAGGCCTATACTAGGTCAGAATAAGAATTTCTAAAATAGAATCCAGTTTTTTGAGGGTAACTCTGAAAACTCGTTCCGGGTCATTTTAAAAGAACAGAACAAAATAAAGCAAAATACTTGTCTCAGAGATATTAAAAATTTATTTTTTAAGTGATTTAATCTCCCTGGACCGTTCAATTCCTGATTCTAGAACAAGTTTGTGTCATTCACAAATTTATGATAAAGATTTGCCTAGAGCTTCGGTTATTATTGGTAAATTAATTAAATTAATTTTTGAAAGTAGGGTTGTCGGTTCTGGACCGAACTGAAAAAACAATGATTTTTCGGTTCGGTTTCGGATATCCGAAGAATTTCAAGGTACCGACAACCCTACTTGAAAGGGGAGAGAAGGGAATTTTTTCGATTCATCATTTCTGTAAAAATTAAAAAAATTAAATCGAAATCAGACTAAAATTGGGAAAGATTGGAACTCGAAAATTATCCGGTTTTACACAAAAAAATCGGTCCAAGTCCGAATTCAAAGTATTCGAAATTATTTGATCGAATACTTAGTCTTAACCAGTGCCCAGCGCCAGACAGGATCCGGCCGGATTATCCGGAGTCCGGATCCCAAATCCGGGTTTTTTCACGATCTTCGGATTTTTTCCGGAGCGGATTAATCCGGAAAAATCCGGTCCGGCTCTACTTGCAAATCCGGAATCTGGGTCTGGCAAGATTGATTTTGCCGGGCACTTTGAACTCGAGACTGTCACCTTTTTGATTTTTAATTTACCCTCAAGTCATAAATGTCGAATTAATTCCCTTCTTAAAGCCTTGAATGTATTCCACAAAATAATTTTTTAAAAATCTTTAAGTATTTACTGATGAATACCCTTCTGTTTTGCTTCGAACTGTACATTCTATAATTAATAGAACTCCAGATAATTTACTTAGAGAAGTGGTAAATTTATAAAAATAAATTTAAAAATTAATGAAAAAATTTTATTTAGGTTCTAGTGGATGACTTTAGCCAGCACGGTAAAAAATACATTCGAATATACATATACTCGTGGGTTGTAAAAATCTTGTATTAAAATAAATGATATAGTGGGGGAATTGTTTTTCATTTCAAAAAAAAAGTTTGGAGGAGGGATTAGGGGGAGGGCTAACAACTATATTCAACACATGATATTGAATAGTGTTTCACCGGAACCGAAATTTTGACTTGAACCGGATCCAATTTGAGTTCCGCTTCCCGGAACCGGAACCCGAACTTCCGGTTAAACTCTAATATTGAATCGAATCTGGATAATGTTAAAATTTTTTTGAGATATTCATCTCAATTCTGGTTTAATCCTCAAGTCAATTCCTTTTTCTTTTTCCTCTCTAAATATTTTGGGGATGGATAGACTTTGATTAATTTTTATTTTCTTTTATTTTTTAAAGAAAATCTTGGCTTTCCATTAATTGAACATTTACGCCGTTTTGGCAAAAAAGTTCGTCTTTTACGAGCCCATACCAGATTAGGGTTGATTAGAGCAAAACTGGCTGGTGCTAAATATGCTAGAGGGGATGTTGTTGTCTTTTTAGATTCTCATTGTGAGGCTAATGAAGGATGGTAATTTGGAAGGGAATTAAAAAAATTTTTTTGAAAAAATTTTTAGGTTAGAACCTTTACTTCAAAGAATTAAAAAACAACGTTCAGCTGTTGTTTGCCCCGTTATTGATATTATTTCTGTAAATTTTTTTTGAATTTTTATTTTATTATTGAATTAATAGTTTAGGAGAGGAGGGTTGTTTACGACTTTTCTGGGCTTTTTTTTATTAGTTGCTTTAGTAGTCAGAGACAAGGTGACTACCCTTACCAAACCACCAAAAGGGGGCATGACTTCACAAAAGGGGCGAAATCGGCCAGAAAGGTGTCAAAATCGGCCAAAAAGGGCCCAGAAGCCAATATCTTTCTCTTTTTTGCGCCACAGGGAAATTTTTTGAGAATTTTGGAAGACAGAAGACAAAGTATCTAGCAAACAACTTCCGGGATTGATGTCTTTCCGGGGCTAAACTTTTACTTTCTCTTAGTATAATAAAATCTCAGCTATATATTTAGTTTTAATTAGAGGGGCCAACCCTAATTAAGAGAGAAAATGTTGATAGTAATTCGTGCAATGAATAGAGTCCCAGAGGTAACGCAAGCGAGCGGGGTGAATGATATTGGTATATCACTTGGTCAGGCTCAAAGCCGACCGAACACTAGGCCATTTATTAACAGAGAACTAAGTTGGAATGAACATCAACTAAGCTGCTTTCCTTCCCTATTTTCCTTAAGCTTAAATGCACCTTCTCTCTAGGCTAGGTTTTTGCTCAGTTCTCAAGGATTACACCTTTCAGTCTTACAATTTCCATGAATTTCGCTGATATTTAATTTAAGCTCGACTAAATAAATCCCCAAAATTTCAATTTAATCAGAATTTTAGTAAATTAATTAATTTAAAGGATCACACAATGGAATATCAAAGTGGGGGTGCTGGTGGAATTGGAACCTTTTGGTTGGTACAAAAAAATAATTTAAATTAAAAAAATATTTTTTAATTAAAAAAGGTGGAGTTTGCACTATAGTATGTCTGAAATACCTGAAAGAGAAAAGAAAAGAAGGAAAAATCCGGAAGTAGACCCTTTATTAACCCCTACAATGGCTGGAGGGTTATTTGCTGTTAACAGAGAATATTTTTTTGAAGTTGGTGGTTATGACCCTGGAATGGATATTTGGGGTGGAGAGAATTTGGAAATATCTTTTAGAGTAAGGAGGAAATTAATTAATTAAAATTAAAGTCGAACCTCACTATTTTATAATGAAGGGGGTATCTTAATTAAGGGAAGGGAGTAGGTTTGGAAAGAGCCATAGGTCGATAGGAATTTTGATTTCCGTTGTTTTTTCCTTCCGATTTCCGGCATCTTCGTCATTTCCGATCGACCTCTAGAGAGAGCCTACAAAGGCTTAGGCGCTCTCTTTCTCTCTCAGATCCGAAAAGCTCAGATATCCGAAAATTTTCAATCGAATGATCCTTCGGATGTCTAGAGATTTCTTGGGATTGACGAACCCTTTAATGCCGTGGTTACATAAAAAGCGTCTTGCGACAAAAAATATCATTGGGAATGAAGAGATGCGATTTTGTCTCTCCTTCTTTTAAATGCTATTTTTGTCGCAAAACGCAAGGCGCTTTTTATGTAACTACGGCATAAGGGAGGTATCGTGCATTTAATTTAAATACTTTTTTCTATTGGAGAGGAGGGGGGGGGGTGTCTAAGCAATACATCTAAATTTAAGGTAGGTGTATCGGTGTAAATTTCTTAGACACAAGGTATATCGACTACCTTTTTTCAAACAAAAATTTTTTTCTAACTTTAAAAAAGGTTTGGATGTGTGGCGGATCATTAGAAATAATTCCCTGTTCACATGTTGGGCATATTTACCGAAATGGCCATCCCTACAACATGACAGGTCCGGGCAACAATAAAGACGTTCACGGGACAAATTCTAAAAGGCTGGCAGAAGTTTGGATGGATGATTATAAAAGGCTATTTTATGTGCACAGAATGGGGTTAAAAGTAGGGGAAATTGAAATTTTTTGGAAAATTTTTTAAAAATTATTTGAGTGACTTTTCTTAATCTCTAGTGTTTAGAAAAGTGAGTTCTCGAACAAAAATCTGGCGTATCGAACTAGAGATTTTTCGAGATATCTCGCTCGTACTCCATCAGGTCTTCACTCTGGTTTTCCTTTTCACGATTCTAAAAATTCACGGTTCTTAGATCCAACGTGTCCTAGAAACGAAAAAATACAAACAAATTAATTTATTCATTAGATAGTTATGATTAGGGTTGTCAGTTCTCTTTAGATATCCGGAACTGAACTAAAGAACTGAAATGAAAAATCATCGGTTCTTCGGTTCGGTTCAGAACCGACAACACTAGTAATTAGAGCTAGGAATTTTGAAAAAACCGGGACCGGGTCCGGGAAAACCCGTTCCCGGTTTCAACCCGGTTGCTTCAAAAAAAAACCGGGAAAAGGGACCCGGAAACCGGGAAACGGGTCCGGGTCCCGGACCCGTTCCTAGCTCTACTAGTAATTATTATTTTTTCCCTTTCTGCCGAGCTTGGCGGATTAGTCTATATTGGATACTATTATTCTCAAATTAGAGAGATTATCTCCATATTTTTTTTTAATTTAGAATGTTGATGTTGGCGATTTAAGTGAAAGAATATTACTTAGAAAAAGATTAAATTGCAAATCTTTTAAATGGTTTTTGGATAATATTATTCCAGAAAAGTTTGTACCAGACGAAGATGTTAAGGTGAGAAAATATATTCTTTGACCTCACTATAAAATAGCTTCAAAAACTAGATATACCTCCAGCTAATCTATGGATCAGTTAAAGTTGGAGGAAAGTGATATACCCCTTATTTCAAGCCTCATCATAAAATAGAATTGTAAGGAAAAAAGGAGAAAAAACTGGAAATCTTTTAGTCGGAGATAAAGCTGGCTAACTCGGGGTTAAAAAAAGAGAAAAGGTGAAAACAGCCCTACTTGTAGCTCAGTCGGTAAAGTACAAGGTATGTATCAGGGATGTCACGGGTTGAGCAAAAAGTCGGGTCGGGTTTCGGATCGGGTTTTCGAAATTTTCTTCGGATCGGGTTTCGGGTATCGGGTCGAAAAAAAGGCCGGGTTTCGAGTAACCCGTGACATCCCTGGTATGTATATGGTCAACTAAAGTATCTAGCAATAACTGTCATCGTTCGCAGGTCTCAGGATCAATCCTTGTTCGGAAATATATAGACTTTTACTCCTTTTTCTTCTTAAATCTTTTGTTCTTAAGGGAGTAATCTTTTGTTCTTGAGTGAGTGAGTGACTATTTTACAGTGAGTTTATTCTCAAAGGGGGTGTATTTTATAGTGAGATCCAAAAATTATTTTAAATTCGAAAAAAATGTCTTCCTTTTTTCAGGCTTATGGCTTGGTTAGTTGTATAAATATTTTTTTTAATTAAAAAATTTAAAACCAAAAAAAGGTTCAAAATTTAAATGGAAAACTTTGTTTGGATACTTTACAAAGATTAGAAAATAAAGGGATTGTTAATTTGGGTGTGTGGGAATGCCAAATTGAGGGAAGTTCTTCACAGGTAGAATTGTTATTTTTAAATAGGGAAGGAGCTATTGAGGGAAATTGTTTGAAAGGGAATTGCTTTCCAAATACTTTTTTGGTGTCGGAAATTGGAACTAGCCCAATCTGTCTAAATTTTGAAATTAAAAAAATTTTCAAGGGAAAAGTGGGAAAAGATCAATGTTTGTTTTTGTGTGGGGGGCGTGTTACAGGGATATCCAGCTGAACTAAAAATAATTTTAAAATCAAAAATCGGGTCTTTATTTGTGCTAAACTTGATTGTATATGTGTATCAAGATTTGTGCCTCACGTATATATATACGGACATGGGTAGCAAAATCCGTATCAGTCTGTGTGTATTAGGGATCTAGCCAACGTAAAAATTAAATTCCCGATTTTCGAAAATTTTTATATATTTTTTTGGCAGAAGTAAAGTCAGTATATTCTCTTAGAAATGATTAAGAGGGAATTTGGGGGATTAATAGGGATACCGAGAAATTTGTAACGAACAAAATAGCCATTTAAAACGAACATGGGGGGACTGGGCCGTTTTGGCGCGGGGCCGTTTTGGCGCGAGCTTATAAGATAGCGAGTTCGTTATCAAAAACGATAAAATATTGCAATAATAACTCTCGTACCTTTATCTAAGTTCTCCAGAAATTTCAGAATTTTTGATCAAGAATTTCGGAAATTCTGGCCAAAAATGTTGATTTTCTGAAAAATGCCTAATTTTTCGAGGTCTATCGACTATAACTTCAGAAATATTTGATAAAAAATTCTGAAATTTCTGGAACAGGTAGTCAAAGATGTTAAAGAAATTTGAGAAAATTTTTATGAACTTTGGTCTCACCTAAGTGTCACTTTTTGTTCTCGCGCCAAAACGGCCCGGCGCCAAAACGACCCCAACCCAACATGGGGGTTAATTGAAGAGGTGTTGCTTTTTGAAAATATTAATTAGAATTAAAAAAAAATTATTCCTCTTTTCTTTTAAAGTTTTATTCTATCGAAAAAAGCTAATAGAATTCAACAAAAAATTAAAACTTTTGTAAAAAATGAGGCAATAATTGATTTAAAAAATGAAAAAATAAATTAATTAATTAAAAATGAGTCTCGAATAATTAAATAAAAATTACTTTTAAGTGAAAAAGTCAACAACAAAAAATCTGGGTACACCCCAATTTAGGGCCCAACTTGCCGCAGAGTTATAACTTCGTTAAAAATGGTTGAATCTGGGACGACCTGGTATGGTTCGATTCAGCTCGTCGAGGCGCATCAAACCATATCAGGTCGTCCCGGATTCGACAATTCTGAATGAAGTTATAGCTCTGCGGGGTAAGTTGGCCTGCTCCCAAAAAATTTCTTTTTCTTCAAAACTCTCTTTATCCTCTATAAAATTGCATTACATTTTCAATCATATTTCCACCTTTAATTAAAAAAATTTTTTTTTAATCCTTATATCCTTACAATTTACACATCTCAAACTCATTTTTGACTCTTGCTTTTCCAATGCTTTTTTAAAACCGTCAAAGCAGCCTAAAGCACAGCCTTTAAAATTATTTTTATTTAAAAAAAGATTTAATATTTGAGAGTAATTTTGGGGGGTTCTGAAAGGGAACTGGGACTTTTGGTAATCCCTGAAAATTCTAAAATTCCGTCGCTATCAACTTGAATTATTTTGGAAAATATTTTAAACTCAAAAATATAAAAAAAATCAGCCCCGGACAGTAGTGATGTTCAAGAATCCCTATCCCGACTTGGAAGATTTCTTGGACTTGGGAAGATTTCTCGAGCTTTTGGCCTCCCTATCCTGACTCCCGGGGTCATTTCCCGATACGACTCTCGTTTCCCAGGGTTTTTCTTCTCCCGAACATCACTACTGGACATCTTGCCACCTTCTGGCGATTATTGCCAGTCACCTTCAAATACTCTACGCTAGTGATCGAGATTTTTGAAAAGCTTGGGCCTGTTCCTGGATTTGATTTATTGACATGGACCAGATGGGCCTGTAATCCAGTAAAAAACCAAGATCCAGGAAAATCCCAGGAAGGTCTTAAAATGCCTAGGCCTGGACTCTGGGTAAAGGAAAAACCCCAGGCCTTGTTCCAGACCCAGCTCGATCTCTACTCCACACCAATTAAGTTATCGGGTCTTTGCTTTAACCTATTTTTTAAACCTCAACTAGTTTCCAGCTCTTCCGATTTCCAGCACCTATGACTGTTCCGACCCACCTAAATGATAGTCAACAGGATCCCCCCTAATTCCCTACAATTCCTATAAAAATTTTTTAAAAATTAATTACCACAAGGGTAATAATAACAATCAAATTTTTGGCATTTTCCATATTCACAAAATAGACATTCCATTGAATTTTTATTGTTAATTTGTTGGGGAAATTTTAATTTAATTAATTTTTCACCTAAAAAATTAAATTTTAATTTAGAATTTAATTTAAAAAATTTAATACATTTTGTATCACAAAAATAGCATTTATCTACTTTCTTTCCAACTAAACATTTTTCATGGACTTTGCAATGATTACCTTTAAAAAAATAAAAAATTAAAGTCAACCCTTACATTTCCCTATTAGAGATCGGCCTGGGTCTAGACCAAGGCCTGGGTTCTTCCTGTACCCAGGGTCCAGGCCAGGGCTGCACGCAATCGAAAAAAAATTTACGCAATCCGCAACTCGCAATTGCGTGCAGCCCTGGTCCAGGGTCCAGGCATTTTTGACCTTCCTGGATTTTTCCTGGACTACAGGCCCAGGATCCGGGCCCAGACAATAAATCAAACCTAGGAATATGCCCAAGCTTTTCAAAAATTCCGATCTCTAATCCTTATTGAGTATATTGGGTACTGGAGCTGGTCAGTTCACAAAATCGCAGGATCGATCAGAAGAACCGAGGATTTTTCAGCTTGTTGTGGATATCCAGAAATTTTCAAATCAATTGAAGGAGGGGAGGGAGTGCTCGCAAAAATACTTTTAAAATAAACTTTTAAATAAAACCACTATAAAATATAGAGGTAAATGTTAGGGTTGTTCCCCTCCGGGGGGAGGACCACAGGGATCCTCGGGGAGGCAGCGCCACGGGAGCAGGACAATCTTAGTAAAAGGCGAGGTTCTTGACGAGGACCGAGGCCGGTCAATCCGAGATTGATTGCAAATGAATGAGGACCTCGGCATCGGCGGGGCCTCGACCTTGTGCCACGCCAGAGTTTAAAGTTGAGGATGAACAACTTCCTGAGAAGTTTGGGGAGTGTTTAAAATTCTTCTCAGTTCCCCCTTTCTAATTAAAAAACTTACAAGGATAAAATAAAATATTAGATCCTTTTCTAAAACAAAAAATACATTCTTCTTTTTGTTTCCCCTCTTCTTCCTCCTCATCCAAATTAAATTTAATTATATTTTCTTCATTTTCATCATTATTTTCTTCTCTTTTTTTCTTTTCTTGATCATATAATGCATTTAATAAACCAAAAGTTGTCAAAATTTGTAAAGAACCTTCCTAAAATTTTTTTAAAATTTTTCCATAGAAATTTTATAAGATTAACCCCCAACTATTTTTAAAATGAGGGAGGGATATTGGGAAAAATTATTTGGGAGGGGGGATGAATTTTGAAAAAAGAGGTTTTTTGGAATACAACCCTAAATAATAGTGAAGAATTGGAAAAACACTTAAAAATTATTTTTTTTCTGAAAATTATTTCATATAGGTAAAATCGACAATGTTGATCACAAATCTGATATCAGATTTTGTCATATGATTTTTTATCTGATTTTTTTATTTATGATTTTTTCCAGATAAATCAATTATTGACTGGGTTTTTTGAACAATTGATAACCAGATTTGAAATAGTTATGGTTAAAGAAATGTTAATAACATCTTAATCCAGATTTCAATTTATTACTCAGTCATTAATTGATATGTCTAGAAAAAATCATAGATAAAAAATCATAGATAAAATTTCATATCTGACAAAATCTAATATTAGATTCCTTCCCCAATTCTTCAATATTACCCAACCCGAATTCGAAAATTAAAAAAAAATAAAAAATAAACTAACAAAAACAATTTCTCCTTTGAAAATACATCTCCTCAATAATTCCTTTTTTTCAATTCCAATAACCAAAGAAAAATCATTAACCAAAACTGGGTATTTTATCCAAAACCAACTTGAAGGGGGCTCTTGCATTATTGAAAAACGAATCTTTAAAAAAAATTTTTTTTAATTTAAATTTAATACTTTTTCTACCGGAATATAATTTTGCTTGATCCTAGACCCTTAGAAAACCCTTAACTTAAAATTCGAAAAAATTAAAAAATAATTTTAGAAGGGGTAGGAAAAATAATTATTTTGTTGAAAATTGGTTTTTTACTCCAATTTAAAAAAAATTAATAGAGAAATTCTTTTTTCTAAAATTCTAAAAAATTTTAACGCCTATTAGCCTATTTTTTCGGATTTTTCGGGTTTCCTATTTTTTCGGATTTTGCTGTCTAATTTTTATAAAAAAATCAAAAATTAAACGAAAAAATCCGGAACTCATAACTCTCAATTTTAAAAAATAGAAAAATTCTTTTCCCAAAATTCTAACAATTTTAATGCCTATTAGCCCTCTTTTGGACCCCCCTTCTCCTTAAAATTAAAAAAAATTTTTGAGGACAAAATTTGCGGACATATTTTTAAAATAATTTTTCCAAGGTTTTTACTCCAATTCAAAAAGAGAATTTAATAGAGAAGTTCTTTTCCTAAAATTCTAACAATTTTAATGCCTATTAGCCCCCCCCTTGGACCCACCCTTCTCTTTAAAATTAAAAAAATATTTTTGCGGACAAGATTTGCGGACATTTTTTAAAAAAAACCTTCCCCATAAAATTTCCAAAAAAAACCTTTAATCCTTTTTTGTCAGCACAATCCAAAGAAATTGTCAATATTTGAGAAGGTAAAGGTTCAATATCCACCCAATGCCTTGTATTTTCTTTGTAATTAATTAATTTAATAAAAGACAAATTTTCTGGTCTAGTTTCCTCTCCTTGCATTTCTGCCTGTTCACTCCATAAATCGTTTAAAGAAAGACAAGAAACTCCAATTTCGGGAAGTTGAGTAAAATTTTCCTGAAAAAAAAATAATTTTTGAAAAAAAAATTTTTTGCGGACAAAATTTGCGGACATTAAAAAAAATTTTTTTTTTGAATTTTAAAAATTATTTTTAATTTTTCCGAAAAAATACAAAAAAAAATTTTTTTGTAATTTCCGCAAATTTTGTCCGCAAAAAAAATTAAATTTACATAAAAATAAATATGAACATCGCAGGCAGTCCCAGGCAGGCACATTTCTTTAATTGTAGCTCTAGACAAAGCAAAATGTTCGTAGGCCATAAAATAATAATATTCAAAATATTCTTTAGGTAAGTTTATTTTGTTGTTTTTGTGTTGTTTGGAAGTGTTGTTGTTGTTTATGTCACTAAAAATAGGGAATAAGGTTTCCGGAAAGTTTTGAATTAATTCTGATTTTTAATGACTGAAAATTACAATTCTGAAAATCAGAATTTATTTAAAATAACTTTCCGGAAAAATCAGAATTTATTTAAAATAACTTTCCTGAAAAATCAGAATTTATTTAAAATAACTTTCCGGAAAAATCAGAATTAATTTAAAATAACCTTCCGGAAAAATCAGAATTAATTTAAAATAACTTTCCGGAAAAATCAGAATTTATTTAAAATAACTTTCCGGAAAAATCAGAATTAATTTAAAATAACTTTCCGGAAAAATCAGAATTAATTTAAAATAACTTTCCGGAAAAATCAGAATTAATTTAAAATAACTTTCCGGAAAAATCAGAATTTATTTAAAATAACTTTCCGGAAAAATCAGAATTAATTTAAAATAACTTTCCGGAAAAATCAGAATTAATTTAAAATAACTTTCCGGAAAAATCAGAATTATTTTTTCCCCAAGTTTTAAATAATTCTGATTTTAATAAAACATTTCTGTTTTTACTTGTTTTCATCATTTTGTGTTGTTTCTGAAGTTGAGGGTGTAGGGGATGTTTGTATAGGTTGTTGTGATGATTTATTTAATATTGGAATATAATCTTTTGGGTCAATTTCATTTTCCTGTATATCAAAAAACATTTTTTCTCTTAAATTTTTTTAAGAATTATTTTTGTAAAAATGTCAAAATATATTTTAACCTCCCCCTCAATTTAAGGGTCGCTTTTTTAAAATTTAGAAGGTAGGGAGGGGTGTTACGGGTTGAGAAAAAAAGTTAGGGCAGATTTCAAAATTTCTTCGGATCGGTTGGAAGCAGAGGTGAATCGGAAATGACGAAGTTACCGGAAATCGGAACTGTTGGAAATTGGAAATGGCTCAAAAGTCGGAACTCGGAATTCCGATTCACCTCTGGTTGGAAGGATATTGGGTAAGAAAAGCTGCCTAATACGATGTTTTCTATTTAAGATACTTCTCACTATAAGACACGATTTTTCAGACATGAAGGGAGAGGGCAGAGGTGGGTCGGAATTCCGATTTCCGGCGTTTTTTTCCTTCCGATTTCCGAAAAAAATTTCCGAGTTCCGAGTTCCGAAAAAAATTTTGATTTCCGAGTTCCGACTTTTGACCCATTTCCAATTTCCGACAGTTCCGATTTCCGACACCTCTGACTTTTCCGACACACCTCTGGGAGAGGGGGGAGGGTATTTAAAAATGGTGTTCGAATATAATAAATTTTTTAAAAATAAAATAAGTGGAGGGGAGAGGGGGGAGGGGTGGCTGAGAAATAAAAAAAATTAATTTTAAAAATAATTTTAAAAAATTCTTTTTTCTTCAAGGCTTTTAGTTGGAGTAAAGACAAGCAATTAAGACGAGAAACAACTTGTGTTGATATTGATCCAATAAATAAAAAATTTGAAAGGAAAACAAAAAGTTGTATTAAAGGATTGTGTAAAAAGTCAATTAATACAATTTGAACATTTTAAAGTTTTTTTAAAAAATTTTTTGAAAAAAAAAATTTTTTTTTTAATTTATAGGGAGGACTTTTACGACATTTAAATAGCGGCCTATGTTTGGATATTGAAGGGCTAAATTCTGGGGATGATATTTATTTTAATGTTTGTGATGAAACGGTGGAAAGTCAAAAATGGATATTTTATGGAAATTATTTTTAAAAAATTATTTTTTTTTATATTTTTTTAATTAGAGGGTTTGTTCACGATCGGTTTTAAACCCAAAAATTTTTTTGAAAATAAGTAATTTCGGCTCTAGTTTAGTACATGCGTCCCATGAGCTTTTATGCGTCCCATCAGAGAATATGCGTCCTTCAACTAGTGTGGGACGTATATTGTCTGATGGGACGCATAAAAGAACATGGGTAAAGCTCAAGCTTAAAAGCTCAAGCTTCACGATCGATTTGAAACTAGAGGTCGGTAAAATCACATTTGCAGGATTCATCAGGATTGGGTTTTAAAATTTCGAACAGGACAGGATCTTGCAGGATTAAGCCTGAAAATCCTGAAAACTGAAAAAAGGCAATATTTCGGACGGGATCCTGAAAAATCCTGTGCAGAATCCTGTCCTGTGCCGACCTCTATTTAAAACCCAAAAATTTTTTTGAAAATAAGTAATTTCGGCTCTAGTTTAGTACATGCGTCCCATGAGCTTTTATGCGTCCCATCAGAGAATATGCGTCCTTCAACTAGTGTGGGACGTATATTGTCTGATGGGACGCATAAAAGAACATGGGTAAAGCTCAAGCTTAAAAGCTCAAGCTTCACGATCGATTTGAAACTAGAGGTCGGTAAAATTACACTTGCAGGGCATCAGGATTGGGTTCTAAAATTTCGAACAGGACAGGATCCGACCCTATACGCAAATCGTGCCGGCTTGATATTTTTCCTTGCTTTTTTTCCTTAACTAAAAATATAAATAATGGTCATTCTTTTCTTCCTCGTTCAATTCCACTCTTTTTACCTGTGGCATATTCAATTGAGGACAGACAAAACACACACAAGGACAGACATAACCGATGGACTCGGACTGACAAAAGTCGGACGAAGACGGACTGACAAAACACGGACGGACTCGGACTGACAAAACACGGACGAAGACGGACTGACAAAACACGGACGGACTCGGACTGACAAACCAGGACGGACACGGACTGACAAAACACGGACGAAGACGAACAGACAAACCAGGACGGACACGGGCAGACATCAATTTTTAAAGCATTTCTAAAAAAATAAAAGAACAATCTCTCTGTTTTTCCTTATGACAACCATCACAAACATAAAAACTTGGGAAAATTACCAAGTAGAAAAAGTAAGGAAAAAATATCAAGCCGGCACGATCTGCGTATAGAGCCCAGGATCCTATAGGGTCTGTAGGATTAAGCCTAAAAATTCTGAAAATCCTGAAAACTGAAAAAAAGGCAGAATTTCGGACGGGATCCTAAAAAATCCTGTGCAGAATCCTGTCCTGCGCCGACCTCTATTTAAACCCCAAGATTTTTTGAAAATAAGTAATTTCGGCTCTATTTTAGGACATGCGTCCCATGAGCTTTTATGCGTCCCATCAAAGTATATGCGTCCCTCAACTAGATGTGGGACGCATAAAAGGTCATGGGATGGGACGCATAAATGATGGGACGCATGTACTAAAATAGAGCCGTTTCTTAAGAAAATCCCTCCAAAAAAGCTTATATTTACCTTAAGCTTTAGACCAACTGTGATTTTTTAAAATTTGGATTAACCGAAACCCGTGGGTACCTGATTAATAATGAGTAGTGAACATAATTGTTTAATTTTTGCCTTTGAATTATTGAAATTTAAGAGGGTTTTTGTGATAACTAAAAGAAAATCTGTCCGAAAAAATTTTTTTAATTTATTTGTGTACAAGGTTGTTAAATAAATTATTTTTTATAAAGAAAAGAAATTATTTTGTGAAGATTTGGAAAAAAAAATAAAAGTTAAAATAATAATTGAGTTCCTTCCCCTTTCCTTTTTTTCCTTCCTCAAAAGGGCATAAACTAATTCGCTTTGTGCCCACCGTTGTGGAAGTGACGCCGCTTTCTTTTTAGTTTTTAATATTTTTTATAAGTCAGATTTTGAATCCTTTTTTGTATTGATTGGGAAATAAATTGAAATTAAAAAATGAAAGAAAAACTGGTAATTCCAAGGCTGGTCCCCCCCCTTTTTTTTCTGTTCCCCTGACCATTTTGAGCTTTTTTGCTTGGCATATAATTTTCAATATATCATTCGAAAGAGCTGTTCAAGCTGAGTAAAATGATACTATGATCGGTTAGATTTGGCGAATCTGAACAGATTTATGAAGCTAAATCCTCGAAGGACGTGCTTTTTGTGATGCTGAAAGGGATTAAAACAAATGCTCATAGCTATGTTTATTTAAGTCGGATTTCGATGAATCTAGTACCGTTCGACTCAGCTCGAAGAGCTCTTTCGAATGATATGTAATTTGCCATAAAAAGTTTAGATAATCGAAAAAAATAGAAAGGAAAAAAAGGGGGGGGGGACCAGCCTTGGAATTACCGAAAAACTTAAAGAAAGGGAAGGGAGGAAAAAAATAAAGAAATTTTTCCGAAAAATATGTTTAAAAAAATCGCCTTAAAAATAACCTTCGGAATTAAAACAAAAAAAGATAGGGCGTAGAGCAATTTTTTTGATTATTATTTTGGACTGACTACCAGAAACTAAATAATCAGATTTACAAAAAATCCGAATGTTCAGATTGCCGACGAAAAATAAACACAAAAGAAAATTTATATTTTGTCCATTACTTTTTAAATAGCTGCAATTTTTGGCGTTATGTTTTAAAATAAATAAGAGAAATATTGTGTAGATTAGAGAAAAAAAGAAAAGAGAATTTTTGATGAGTAATTTTTTTTTAAAATTTTCTTTATTTGTTTTGATTGAGTTTGTAAATTAATTTTTTATTTTCCCGACATTCCTTCTCGGTTCAATATCGTCGGTTCAGAATGGTCCTGGGATTTAAAAAAATTTTTTAAGTCAAAGCTTGCTCCATTTTAAATTTTCATTAGAATGTGGAACGTAAGAAAATAACAAGGAAAGAAGCTTTTTCAAGTTAAAAGATTTACGGGCTCTATTTGAAAGGGGGTGCGGGATTGCATTTTTTCGTCCTTCCTTACATAGTCAGTCTACCTTCCATTTTTCCTTAATATTAAAAAAAGGTCAGCCTTTGCCTCACCTTAATTTTCCCTGTAGCATATTCAAATTAGAACTGACTAGTGTAAGGAAGGAGGAAAAAATATGATCCCGCACCTCCTTTAAGATAGAGCCGATTTACGTATTCTGAATCCTTTGTAGCTTGAATCTGCTATAATCCTTTCCTACCCTTCATACCATTCTCCTATTTTTGGGCAGTTTGTTTTGACTTTAATCTAAAATTTAGAGAGAAAATGATGATTCATATTCAACGTTTAATTTTGACTATTGAAACTCGAGCTCATAAAGGACTTCTTCGGATTGCAATAAATGGACTTAAAGATGATGATGGGAAGCCAGTAACTGAAGGACAGAGAATTGGCAGTCAACACAAAGCTTTGGACATTTTGATTTGGATCTTAGAGGAATGGAAGTCTAATGTGCACTCTTCCGAACTTCAAAAGCTTACACGGTATACATATACATTTTTTGGGTACTACTATTGGTTTAGCCTTTCCACCGGTTCTTCACTTTAATTCTTTTTAAGTCTTGGTAGGAACATTGGGGTTTCATTACTTATCCAGGGTACTGTGTGTTATAGGTGGATCATTTTTGTTTCCGAAGGCTATGTCATTCGAAAGATCCCTGAAACATGAGTCAAACTTGCAGCGGAATCTTGGCCTGCAATCAGGGACTGAGTTACTGACTTGAATACCTAAAAACCTTAGAAGGACCAAGCGGTTCGCTGAGGGCCTCTCGCCATATCTCTTATGTTTATTGCCTAATTACGTCTCAAGAGTATTTACCTAAAAAGTTCTATTTACCTGAAACGGTTCTAAAAATAGATATATAGTGGAAAAGCCACAAAAAGAAACCACTATCTACTCGTGCCATGTTTTACCAATAATTTCCATATAAAATTTGACACTTTTCAGAAACGCTATCGATCTCTTCTCTGATTTGTTGTTAGACTCAATTCCTTCTATTTTACAAAATGTTTATGTCAATTCGTCTTCACGAACAATTTCTCATAAATGGACTATTCTTTTGTGTGACTTTATTCAAATAATTCAGTGGCTACCGACTGGACTTTCTTTAAACAAAGCTTTTCAATTCATGAACACTTTATTTGTTGAATTAACTAAATTATTGGAAAATTTGTTCAAGGTTCAACCTGCTAATTCTCTGCATTGGCTTTTTGTTTTAATTGGTTGTGTTGTTGAGGTTGTTTGGAATTTTGAATTTTAAAGGGCCCATTTTCATTTCTCTATTTTCCCTTTTATTTTTTCAGTCCGAATTTTTTTTCAACAGGTTCGAGCCCTGAGCGACGAAAACTTATGGTTATTTGGGCCTATTTTTTTCTTTCATTTGTTTGTAGGATAGTACAATCACTCTTTTTCTGTTAAATTTCCTCACAAGGAACCATCGTTTACTGTGACTGCGAATTTCATATATTTTTTGGTACCATTCGATAGTGGACCCTCGATTTACTACTATTGTTGTATGCGGGTTTTCTTGCAAAAATTAGTTTGGGCCGAGTTATGGCCGTTCAAAGTTTCAGTCCTTGGGATTAGTTGAGTACAAGGAAAAGAGCTCTCTTTGCCTTCTTCACATTGTTTTACAAAGAGGAAAAAAGAATGCAAGAGGCACGAGGGAAAAAACGGGAGAAAAATGTCAAACACGATAAACAAATACAAGAGGGGTGGTTGGGCTTTTTGAGGATGAAAAAGAAGAGAGAAGTTTTTCATTTTCCCTATAACTCCAGACTCTAGTGGTTTAACATTTAACGGCCATAACTCGGCCCAAACTAATTTTGCAAGAAAACCCGCATACAGCAATAGTAGTAAATCGAGAGTCCTCTATCGGATGGTACCAAAAAATATATCAAATTCGCAGTCGCAGTAAACGATGGTTTTCCTTATTATTAGGTTGTAACATATTTAGTTGCCGTTTTTTTCGAGAAGGCATAATGGCATAACATGCATGTCATAATTGCATGTTCTATATACCATTTTGAAGCCCAGGATCTGCTCTTTAATCTAACATATGGTGTTTCCAAGTTTCATGTTTTATACTCGCTTCAGGACCTCTAGAATACCCCTAACTCGGAAAGCATTTTTTGAGCTTTAGCGGAAAATCTCATAATATAAACAAAAATAAACCAATCCAAGTGAAATTTTTCATATACGTTCAACATGGGGTTGTCTATCAAATTATTAAATCTGAGATTTTTTGGTTAGGTATTTCAAAAGTTATGGTCGAAAAAGTCGAATCTGGCATATTTTACAAATTTCAAATTTTCTTGAAAAATTTTTGGATTTAATATACTTTGTAATATACCATTCGAAAGCCCTTTCTGAGTTACACAAGATAGTATTAACAAAATTTTATAAAATTTTTAGATTGAGAATTAAATTTACAAAAAACCATTGTGTCAAGTAATGGAAAAAACGAGTAGACATCCCCCCAAAAACTCAAAATTTTGAACTTTGCGTAAAGTTATCCGATTTGGATAATTTGAACGTTATTCAGAAGCCCTCGCAGATCTATATGAGAAACTAAACCGAAAAAACTTTTTTGGTCGAAACAAGGGTCGAAATTTCAGGGGTCGAAATTTCGACTTTCTTTCTCGTTCGAATTTTTAAAATTTTCTTTTTTTCGCTAGTTAGAGCATTTGAAGAGCTTTCGATTGGTATATCGCATGCCAACCATTTACCAATAATTTTCGAGATATTTCGATATATTTGCTAAAAATCGGTAATTTGACTACCCCGAATTTTTCGACCATAACTCTTACTATGCTTAACAAAAAATTTTAAAATTTTAGAGGCTGTTAGAGGAATGTTTAATTAGTATATGTACAAAAATTCATGACCATAGACTAAAAATCTATAAAAATTCAGACCCCGAAACTTTTAATAAAAACGGCAACTAAATATGTTACAACCTAATAGTTGGCAGATTCTGCTGATAAATTGATGCAAAAATGCGTTGAAATATTGACACTTATTTGTCGAAGTTGGTCTAAACAATGGACAAACAGTTTACACAGCAAATTGTCGAGAGAATATGGACCTTCTGGATTTATTTTTGAAGAGGTTTTGATTGAGATTTTGACCTATTTTTTTTTTCAATTTTAGACAATATTTGATTTTCCTCTAAAAGTCTCCTCGGCAGTCTCTGGAGTTCTTCAACCTCCTTCTACAACACATTTAGATCAACAACAATCGAATTTGAAGAAGGGATGTCTCAGCAAACATAAAGCGTCAAAAGGTTCAACATCTTTTACTTCCCAACACCCAAAACTTGTTTATGCTTCACTTAAGCCTTCATTTGATGAAATATATACTGAGGACAAGCAACAGGTTTTTTCAATGGCTTAAAATTGTAAAAGTTATTAAATTTTCTTTTTTTTTAAGAGCTCACCTTGGTTTGCTGCTCCGGGTATTTTTTTAATTTTTTATGAAAAATTATTGTTGTTTTCTCAGGTTCCCCTTATATTCCTCCTCCAAGTTTTACTGGCGGAAATTTTTCTGTAGATCAAGGTTATTTTATTTGTGTTTTATATTCTTTATTTATTTTTAGATCTTTGGAAAACAACTCCCTCAGCAAACACTTTCCAGCAATGGACAAATTCTCCAATTTATGACTTTGGCAATTCTAATTTGATTAGTGATTTAATTGAAGATTCTAAATTTGCAATTGAGCAGACAAAATTAGCTCTTGAACAGTCTAAACTTTGTAGTCAAATGGTTTGGAAATTTTTTTTTTGAAAATTTTTATTTTGTACTTTAAAATAATGTCAAGGTTTTAGGGGGCTAAAATGGGGTGTGCGAACGCAATTTTTTGTATACATATTTTTATTTTGCACCGCCGCAGGCGAAAATATTGAGAATTTTGTGGGTTGAATGCGTAAAAAATGTACTTTTCTGATAATTTTTCTCTTAAAATTTTTTCACTTTTTCCATTTCAAGGGGGGTGGGGGGATTCTAAATTTGCAAACCCCACCGACCTTCTGGCTGCGCTCTTGAATAGTGTTACACTTCTATTTTGTCGGGGTACATGGGTTTCAAGTTGTTTTTGGAGTTTGGTTCGAATTGAGGTAATTTGTGAGAAAATTGTTTGGAACGGCAGGCCGAAACTTGCGAACCGACTTTTGCGGACCGAAACTTGCGGACTCGACGAATTTCTCAAAACATAGCTCATTCGAAAGAACTGACGAGCTGAGTCGAATGACATCAAAATCATCGTGATTGTACAAGCTTGGACAAAGTTACGATAGAAAAACAAAAACCTAGACCTATTGTCCGCAAAAGTCGGTCCGCAAGTTTCGCACTACCTCGGAAACGTGGTTTTATGTTAGTGCAACTCGAATTAAGCCCCCAGTCGTATTAGTTTTGGTAATTTTAATTATTTTCTTCATTCTCCAATATTTTTGTTAAAATTTATTTTAATCCACATTTATTTAGGTGGAAAATCAAGCATCATCGGTCGCTAATACATTGGAAAATTTTTCGGAAAATAATAAAAATCCGTTAACTTTTTGCTCAACAGCTTCAATTCCTTCTGACTCTGTAATTGTAAATTTTAAAATTTTTATTTTTTTTTGTTGTTTTAGGATGAAATGGATGGGATGGATATGTTTTCTATTGATGACAATGATAATGGCCAAGGCTCTAATAATGCCAAAAATCCTCACAAAAATATTTTTCCTAGGTTTTTTCTTTTTAATTTGAAAATTTTTTTATTCTTCAAGTGCTGGATTATCTTCTGAATGGCCTAAAAATCTGCCAGTAAATACACCTCCATCAGCTTGTGGAGATTTTAGCGGTTATCAAACTGCTTGGAAGGATGGAAATGACACAACGAATAAAAATGGTTTGTAAAAATATTTTTTAACCCTTTTAACAAATTCGGGAGATCCTTCTCTTCATCGGATCATTTATTAATATGAATCATTTGCCAGGATTATTGGAAACTGAGCCATCAGTTTGTTCTTGTCTTTGTGGCAAAGACCACATTCGAGTTTTGAATGAACAGGAAAAGGAGAATTTTGATCTTCCTACTACGGTTTCAACTGATTCGAACAAGAAGAGTGATCAAAAGGTTTTTTTTATTTTCTTATCCTTTTTGAGGGAGTTTAACTTATTTTATGAAGAGGGACGCCTTAAAGAGAGGCATTTAGCCATTCTCCTTCCCCCTCCGTTATATGGTGTACGTCTTGATTATTAAATAACTTTTTCATGATAAAGTTGCTTTTAACCCCTAGGCTTCCCGCCAGCCTCAGCCTCTCTCTTTTCTCACAAGACCTGAACCTCTAAAATTTAAAGTATGGCGTAGGAAAGCTTTCCATATAGGATCTCACTGGTACAATCCTCTTCTTCAACTTGTAAACCCTAACTCTTATTTCAAAAAATATTTTTTTATAATTTTTTAGTTACCATTTCCTCAAACACAACCACCTGGTATGTATTCAAATGCTATTCCTAATATTCCAATGACACCATTATTTAACAATAATAATGAATGGCCTCCTCTTCAACCTGTTGGATTGGGAAATAATTTAGGCGGAGGATGGAATACTTTTGGTACTTCAAATGTTTCTGGAAATATTAATAGTGGAAAGATGGTAAAACTTAATTTTATTTACTTTAAATAAAAAAACTCTGCATTATTAGAAAAGTCTTCACTCACCTCTATTGTAGTTTGGGCGGCGTCACCATTATTTCTCCGCTTTCAACCCCTCGGCTCACAATCAATAGGTGCCGCCAGCTGGCACCTATTGGATCTCTGTGAATGGACCTTTCTCTCTCTTCTCACTTGACCGGGATCTCTAGAATATAAGGTATGGCGTAAGAACACTCCATAGGATCCCACTGCCACTTATATGTAAGTGGCAATGGGATCTCTGGATCTTTGTCGATGGATCTGCAGTGGATGATGATCTGATGTGGATAGATCATCTGCAGTGGATCTCTCTTTAGCTCCTCTCCAACTTGTAAACCCTAACTCTTATTTCAAAAAATATTTTTTTATAATTTTTTAGTTACCATTTCCTCAAGCACAACCACCTGGTTTTATTTCTAATATTCCAATGACTCAATTATTTAACACATATAATGAATGGCCTCCTCTTCAACCTGTTGGATTGGGAACTAATTTAGGTGTTGGATGGAATACTTTTGGTACTTCATATGTTTCTGGAAATATTAATAGCGGAAAAAATGTAAAGCTTAATTTTATTTACTTTAAATTAAAAAAAATTTTTCCACTGTTAGACCTATACTCGTCCACCATCAATGCCAATTGATCAATTTTTCCATAATTCTGCTCATGTTATTGTTTTACTTGGACTATTTCTTCGTTTAGAACAATATGGAGAATTACTTATTGAAATGGATCGGGAAAAGACAAAGCAATTACTTCGAATGATTTTGGACATACATTCATGGATTACATGTAAAGTTTTAAATTTATTTTTTTTAAATTGTTAAAATTACCTGTTTGGAATCAAACCGAAAACCCTGATGATTTGTTGGGTTGTTTCTCCGTTTCGGTTTTAGGGTTTTAAAAATTTTCGGAGTTCCAAAGGCCAGATTTATAATGTTTTGATAATCGGTAGTTGCGGACTGAAATTTGCGGACATCCAATAAACCATTAAATATCGACCATAAATTGAGTTTATGTGAAGTGAATAATAGTCAATTATAGGCCAATTTATTAAAAAATAACCCTTTTTATTTTAGCTCCAAGCTCTAGAGTTGCCTTTTTACGTCCTCGTACAGGTGGTGACTCAAAAATTCGTAGTAATGTTAAATCAACCTCTGTAACTCCCAAAAATCTATTACAACAACAACAAAAGAATATCAACCCTTCATACTACAATTACCATTATTACACTCAAAAGCCACCAACTTCTTCAACAAATTTATTAGCAACATCTCTACCTGCTTCCTATAATACAAATATTAAATCGTCATCACAACGTTTGGGTCGTTATGTTTCTCATGAACAACAAGGTTTTATTTTTTTCTAATAATTCAAAAAATTATAATTTTTCAAAGCTCATCAAGAAGAGCTTCTTCTATTCCCTTTTGTTGTACTTGCTCGACTTTTCAACACTTTTGATCCTGCTGATGTTGGTATTGAACGTGCTCAAGCACTTCGTGATAAAGCTTTAAAAATGGGAATTGTTGATGTTTTGTTGACAAGTTTGGCTCATTTTTCTAGACAACCAAATCGTTTGGAGCCTTTACATCCTGCTATTGCTGAAGAACAACCAATGGTTTATTCAAATGTTTTTAGCTTTTTAAAAATATTTTTTAAAGGTTGAATTATTAAGTTATGTTTTGAACGCTGCTTTGCGTACGGAACGTTCATTCAAGCTTTCTGGGACATTACAACAACAGACAATGGGTTTACAATTTATTGGTGTCAGTGGAGTTGTTGGTTGTGGACAAACTGATTATATTGAAAATCCATCACTTACAACAACGTTATCTTCAGCAACAATTGATTCGACAACAACGAAATCTCATGTCCCAGTATCAATAACACAATCTAGTACTTCGTTAGCCACAGCTGAGGATAAAAAAACTCCAGTTGTTATCACCCTGGGCGATGATCTTGAATTGTCTGGACCAACTGAAACAGGCAAAACTCCAGTTGTAAAAACACCAACTACTGAAGGAGGAGGAACGTCAAATATTCCACCCACCAAAACAACACCGACACAAACAAGTGCTCTTACTCCGGCAACACCTCCAACTTGTATACCTCAACAGACAACCACTACTGCAACAACACAAACCCAAAATGATGGAAATTATTGGGCAAAAGGAACAGGTTTTGGTAGTGGAACTACTCAACAGCAATGGAGTCTTAGTCAACATGTTGCAAAAAGAAGGCAAGATGAAAATAATGTTGCAGCATTGTTACATGTATGAATTTTTGTTTAGGAGTTGAAATAAAAAAATATTTTTTAAAGATTCTTATCGCCTTTATTAGTCCTCAATCACAACAATTACAAGAAAATCAATCAACATTTTCAAATAAAAAGGAAGAAGAGAAACAAGAAACAACAAATTCTGGAGATGGAATAGAATTAGTTTTGCCAATAGAGGAAATAACAACTTCAAAGGAAGATGAAAAGACAAATAAAAGGACTGATAAGAATGAAGAGGAGAAGAGGAAAGAATTGGATATTCCGAGTATTAAGCTTTCTGAAGAGTTTGTTGAACTTCTTTTCCGCTCCTGTCTCTTTTCTACGCTCAATTCTTATTTGATGAATGATTCTGGTAATTTTGAAAGATTTTTTAAAATTCTTGTCTTGCGAGACAAAGGGGTGTCTTATTTAGAGAATTACAACTAGACAAGATCTCGAACAAAAATCCCGGTTATTGACACCATATTTTTCGAGATATCGATTCTCGTACGCCCTCCTAGTCATTTCTCTAGTAGAGGTCGACAAAATCGTGTTTTTTCTAAATAATAAATCGCAAAATTATTTAGAAAAAAAAACAAAAAAATTTTTCAGTTTTGGACATTTCAAAACGTGTACACGCCGTTGAGGCTGTTATTTTGTTGGTTGATACAATCGCTAATGCTTTGCCAATTCCAATTAATAATTTATCAAAATTTCCAAATGCTGCCATTTTTGATCAACAAGGAAATCAAGATATTTTTGATATTATTTTTTTGAGCGGAGAAAAACAAATCCAAAAACAAATTGGCCATAAAAAGAAATTACAACAAATAACTGTTGCTGAATCAGAATTGCTTGATCGTTTAAATAAATTGGGTAAAAATATTGAAATTTATCTGAGTAAACTACAAACTGGACATCGTACAACAAATACAGCAACAGGGGAAAGTCTTTGGCAACGAAATGCCAAAAGAAAAGCTTTGTAAGTAAATTTTTGGCGCTGGTCTAGTTTATGCGTCCAATGGACTTTTATGCGTCCAATCAAAAGAAATTGGATTTTTCTTGGTGTTGCAAAGTTGGGGTATGGTTCCAAAACATTTCTTCATGATTGGGACCTACGCCCACTGGGTCTGGGACCATTCCTTACCCTATTCTTTGTTATTTCTGAAAGAAAATAGTTTTTCTGTAATTTTTAAAAATTGGCTGTAACTTTCAGAAATTTCGAAGGATAGAGTAAGGGACGGGCCCAGACACGGGCGCAGGTCCTGAACACGAAGGAATGTTTTGGAACCATACCTAAACTTTGCAAAATCAAGAAAAATCCAATTTTTTTTGATTGGACGCATAAAAGCTCATTGGACGCATAAACTAGACCAGCGCCGAAAATTTAACTTTTTTTTTTAAAAAAAATTTTTAGACGAAAAACAACAGTTATAAATTCTTCAAAAAGTCAGGCTGATTTGGAAGAAGAGGAAGAACTTGGAAAACTTTTAGATTTGGTTCACAGTGTTTGTTCTGCTATTAATAAAAGTATTTTCTTTTAGAAAATTTTATTTTTTTTAAATTTATTTTTAAGAGAAACGAATTCATTCTTGTATCGAAATGGACTTTGATGAAGTCGAAGAGGAACAAACTAATGAGGAAGTAATGATTAGCGATCAAAATGTTGCTTCTTCCTCGAATGCTTTGCCTAAAGTGTCTGATGCTGTTGAACGTTTCTATTGCGATAAACTTAGAGGATTGCAATTTGGTTGGGGGGTTTTTTTAATTATTTTTTTTTCCAAAAACATTTATTAGACATTCGTGTTAAGCATTCAAAAATGACCTTATTTTTAATGTAACGGGTTTTGAGTAATTTTTGAAAATATTATGGGTATCGGGGGTTTAGGGCGTAGCCAGGGTAGTCTCTGGGGCTAAAGCCCCCCCCCCCCCCCCCCCCCCCCGAAATCGACCCCCTGACTACGCCCTTGTCGGGGGTGTACCCAATATTATGTATGTCTGTCCATGTTTGTTTTTGCTGATTGTTGATTTTACTTTTTATATAGACCTCCCTTTCACTTGCACCATAGGGATAATTTTTTAAATTTTACTTCAACAATTCCTTTGAAATTTAAAAATTTTATACAAAAATGGGAGGTATTGGGGATAGTTTAGACACCTCTCTCCACCCATTAATTTAATTTTTAATTTTTTAAAGAAACAATTCCCTTCTACGAACCTATGGGTAACAACAACACAACTCCAGTTATGTGTATTCCTTTCCATTATGCAACATCCTTAAATTCAATGGCTAGTGCTGGAGGTTCAGCTTTAGGCAAAAGAACTCGTCGATTAGCACAAGAAATTGTTTCTTTGAGCAGTTCATTGCCTCTTTCATTTAGTAGCGGTGTTTTTGTTCGAACTTGTGAAGAAAGATTGGATGCTATGAAGGTTTTTTGTAAAAATTAAAACAAAAAATCTTTTTCAGGTTTTAATAACGGGTCCATTAGATACTCCTTATGCAAATGGATGTTTTGAATTTGATGTTTTCTTCCCTCCAGATTATCCAAATGTTCCAATGCAACTGAATTTGGAGACAACAGGGAATCGGACAGTTCGATTTAGTTTGTTTTTTTATTTAAATTTTTTTGTTTTTAAATTTTTGTGAAAATTTGATACTTTTCCTGTTATCCCAACGGATTTTTTTCGAACTCTTTTTGCGGATATTGTCTTCCTTAAGATGTAAAAATGGTAAGATTTCTTTCTCATGTAAGTAAGAGAAAGATCCAGCTGGCTAGGCACGGGTTTAGGATCTACTAAAAGAGAAGGTAAAGCAGCGTCCCGGTAGCTCAGTTGGTAGAGCACACGCACGTGGTGAGCGAAAGCCAGGAGGATCAATAACTCGCAGGATCAATAACTGCCAGGAGGTCGAGGATCTAAGCCTGTCTGCCCGGGATTTCACTCAATTTTTCTGTCGTCGCTTGTCCAATAGAGATCATTCGTTCAATCATTTCTTGCCTTTTTTCTCCGCAAAAGGGAAAAAATGTCCGCAAAAATCCGTAAGGATAACGGAAATGTACCGAAATTTTAATTTTTTTTCTTTAAAGATCCAAATCTTTACGATGATGGAAATGTTTGTCTATCAATTTTGAACACTTGGCGTGGTCGGCCAGAAGAACGTTGGAATGCTGACACTTCCTCTCTTTTGCAAGTACTTGTCTCCATTCAATCTTTAATTCTTGTTAATGAACCGGTTAATTTTTTTTATTTTTATTTAAAAAAAATTTGAATTTTTAAGTATTTCAATGAACCTGGTTATGAAAGATGGCGAAATTCCCCTGCTGGCCAACAGGCATCGCGGGAATATGATGCTAATATTATGCAAATGTGTGTTAGATGGGCAATGGTTGAACAAATTCGGGTATTTTTTTAAGTTAAAAAATTTTTGTATTATATTCTAACCCTTTTTTAAATGCCGTTAGTCGGCGTTTTGGGCTCCAAGGTTTGAAAAAACCCTCTTTTGGGGCGAGCCGAATCCACCAATTAATTTATAAAATAAAAGGGAGGGAGAACCGGCGCCCACTTTTTGTCGGTATTAAAAAACGAGAGCTTACTTAGGCGGCCGGTTCTCGCTCGCCTTTTATTGGCCATTAAGAATGGAGAAGGTAAATAATAATTATTCATGTAAGGGTTAAAGGTGTAATCCTTTAGAAACTATTGAAAACCCCGTCTAGGTAGAAGGTGCTTATAGGCTAAAGGAAAATAAGGGAAAGCGGCTTAGTTGATGTTCATTCCAACTTAGTTCTCTACCAATCAATGGCCTAGTGTTCGGCCGGCCTAGAGCCTGACCAAGTGGTATACCAACCAACAATCATTCACCCCGCTCGCTAGCGCTACCTTCTGGCAATTCTATTCACCACACGCATCACCATCAACATCTTCTCTCTTAACTAGGGCGGGCCCCTCTAATTAAATAATTTACTTTCATAATTATAATAATTTTTTTAGAATCCTCCAAAAGCCTTTGCAGAAATTGTCAAATCTCATTTTTGGATGAAACGAGATGAAATTTGTGTTCAAGTGGAAGCTTGGATTGAAGATATTCAACATTATATAACAACACATGCAAGTAGTGGAAAAGTTTTGCCTAATTATTTGGCTGGACTTAAAGTATTTTTTTAAACATTTTATTTTTAAAATTTTCTAAATTAAATTTAGAAACATTATGAAACTTTAAAAATGGAATTTAATAAAATGACAGCTCCTCCAGGTTTGGAAAATTGTAAATCGAAACGATTTGATATTGAGAATGAGGGAGGGGAGCTTAAATAAATAAATTGTTGGGGTTTTTTGAGTGAATAAAAAATAAAAAAAAATAATTTTTTAAATAAAATTTGTGTTTTATCAAATTGACTTTTATTTAAATATTTTTTTGTCGATAAATTATAATGAAAATTTTTTGGAATTGTTTAAGGTTTTTTATTTCGTTAATGTTTAAAGTGGGTACAGCCCATAAAGACGCAGGCCGAAAACGACGCAGACCCAAAAAAGGCGCAAAATTCTAATATACCTAATTTTAATTTCTCAAGAAACACAAAACTTCTTGCGTGTTTTCGGCCTTAGTGTGACATATATATATTGGGGGACAGGAGTAACTCGGGTAAAATTGAATTTCGTATACCCCCTCCTTTTTCCAGCCTCAAAATATTTAAAAATGGTCCGTCTGTTATCAATTTATAGAACTCGTCGAGCTGTGTTGAATGACACCAAAATCAATCCCGGGTCTTAACTCTGGGCCGAGATAAAGACAAAAACCCTGCGCAAAGCAAGGGTTTTGCACAAGCGTCTCGCCGACACAAAAGGATTACTTTATGTCATAACTTTGTCAAATCCTTTTCAAGTCATTCGAATCAGCTCGACAAGCTCTTTCGAATGAGCTATTGTTTGTTTAATCGAATTTTTAGCCTAAAAAATTAGCTTGGTCACCTTTCTATTTTTCAATTTTCGTGGGTCTGTATCTCGGCCCAAAGTTAAGACCGGAGGTTGATTTTGGTGTCATTCGATACAGGTCGACGAGTTCTATAAATTGATAATAGACTGACCATTTTTAGACATTTTGAGGCTGGAAAAAGGAGGGGGTATTGTTATGTACGTGACTTGGATGTCGACGTACTAACAAGAATAAACACAAGATAAGACAGTAACTAACAAACTGTGCTTTATCTACAATACTAAATACAATAGGTTGCGAACAATAGAATATGGCTAAACGCCGAATAGGTGGAGACAGAATAGAATAACACTGCGACAATAAGACTAAGACCAAGACTGAATAATAGGAAGGCTTTTATACTAAGCCAATACCCAACAGGTATACGAAATTCAATTTTTCCATAACTCGTATTAATTAATTAATTTTCAATATTTGTTTAATTTAGTAGAAGAACATTTTTTATTTAAAGATATTTGGATGAACTAGTACATATTAAAATATTTTTTAAAAATTAAATATCAATTTTCTTCATCTTTTTTTTATTTCTTACTCCATCCCCACCACCGTCTTCTCCATCCCCAGCCATAACCACCATATCCATAACCTCCCCACCCACCCCAACAACATCCATATCCACCCCATCCATAGCCCCAACGCCTTTTTCGTTCTCTGAAATATTTTTTTAATAATGAGCAGATATTAAGCTTAGCATAATTTCCTCAAACTTAATAATTTGGGTGGGAAATTTATGGTAAAAAATAATAAACTAGAATTACTTTCAGAAAATTAATGTTAGACCCATTATGCCACAGTTTCTTATGTAAAATAATATTTTTTAATTTTTTTTGGAAAGGAATATTCCCCTTATGCTGTGGTTACATAAAAGTCGCTTTGCGTCTTGCGACAGAAAATAACATTGAAAAGAAGGAGAGACAAAATCGCGCGACTTTTCCCTCCTTATTTCCCATTACTTTTCCCTCCACAAATAGAAAAACTCACATATTTTTTTCTTCTCCATCATTTGTAAAAGATTCTAATTTTTTAGAATCTTTCGATGGATCTTCAACTTCATCTAAAATGTCTGCTTTGCTGTAATAAACAGAACAAATTAACAAAAATATAAATAAATTAATTAAAATATAATTCTTAAACATTTTTCTAAAATTTAATTAATTTTAAATAAATTCCTTTTAATTTCTTTAGTAAATGTAAATTTCCCCCCACCCTGAAAGTGAACTAAAAAGGGTAACGAAATTTGATCTTCGAATTATTCTGAATTTATATAGAGGGTTTAAGAGGAAAAGGCTCTAAAATCAGTTATTTTTATATTTTTGAGGCTCGTGAAATTTCAATTCCATTTTTTAATAGTTGATTCGTGCTTTTTGATATAAGGACGAATTTTGGTACACGTGTTCTAACAGTTTTACTGACCTACGGCCACACAGCAGATTAAAATAGGTAAAGGTTGTTACTCGCCTTTAACTGCGGTACTTGTAGCTTAGTTGGTTAGTGCGCGGGGTTTAAATCGAAATCCAAAGAATTATGAGTGAGGTTCGAATCCCTTTTGGTGGGTCTAGGATATATGTACATTTCTTATTGAAAAAAAAAGTTTTTATGTAGAACCGAAGTAAACACACCTTTTTATTTTACCCAAATTTAGAAAGTTTAAATAAATTTTCTTTCAAATAAAAATAAATATTTACCTAAATTCTATTTTTTAACACTATTTAAATATTAATTTATTTGGTTAAAAATCTCTCTTCTATTTTAACAAAAAAATTATTATTTACTAAATTAATTTAAAAGTTGTCTAAATTTTGATTTAAAATTTAAAAAATTAATTTGGCGAATTTATTTATTTTTTAATGTTTTTTTAAATTAATTTGACGAATTTGTACCTTGTATTTTCAACAAAATTGTTTTAGAAAAAAAGTTCTTATTTTAAAAATTGTGTTAAAATAATTAAATATTTGATAGACTACCAGTCAAGAAAAGACAAAACTCAAAACGGTTAATTTAAAAAATTGAAAAGAAAAATTATTCTTCCCACGCAAGTTCACATCAGAGAACAGGCAGGAAGAGAATTGTGTAAAAAAGAATCAGACGAGGTCTCTAAAATTTCGATTATCGAGATTTTAGAGAGAGGGAATAGAGAGATGGGAGTAGAGAGCAAACCAGAATTAAGGTATAAAAGGTGTATTTACTAGTGATGTTCGGGAGAAGAAAAAACTCGGGAGTCGGGTCGGGAAATGACCTCGGAAGTCGGGAATTTACAACAAAAAAATTTTTGGCATCTTCGGCGCCAAAAATTCCGATTTTTTGCAATCCGATTTTTTCTCAACCCGGCTCATCCCTGGGATACACCCTATATCCCTGTGGAACGTTGGGTTATTTATATTTATGGCCTTGCACTGGTACTATCACGTCAACTACTCCATTTCCCCGTCCTTTACTCTAAAGGATAAGTGTTCGAAAGATAGTTTTACCAAATTAAACAAATAGTGAAAATTAATTCTCATTTTCTATATCTTATGTGGGCTAAACAGATTTTCAAATATATATTGTAAAGCATATAGCTATTTATTTCCTAAGGCTATGCAGTAGGCGGCGTGGTGTAATGGATAACACAGTCCGGTCTACTGAAGATGCTGGTTCGCTCCCAGCCGCCGAATAACCTTTTGCACTAGCTAAAGGAGAGAAATAGCTATAGCCCAGCTGCTTTACTATATTATTTATGTGGTCATTTTATTGTGATCGGCTTACTCGAAGAGTTGGAAAAATAGGCAACTATAATGTAAATATCTATTGGGGAAGTACATATATATTGGGGAGATAATGGTAATTGTTGTGTGAAGGGTTGATTCCCATATTATCTTGATATCCCTCTTAATATTGTCCTCCCGATATAATTTAATCCATCCAACTCGTCTTTAATCCCTGTGATTCCACAGATATCAGTCTAATTAATCCCTAAATCACTGATATCCCCCAGCCACTTCGAAAATCTGGATTCGTGTTCAAATTTCTAAATGACCCGACCTGAGAATCGGACTATTTTTTTGACCCGAGAAAAATTTTGAAAATCCGACCCGACTTTTTTCTCGACCCGAAACATCCCTGCCATGTACTGATGAAATAATAAATCTTAAACAATTACTAATTCAAAATCATTTTTTTAATTAGAATTTATCGACAAAAAAAAAGTTATTTATAAAAAGGTCAATTTGATAAAACGCAAATTTTATTTAAAAAATTATTTTTTTTTTATTTTTTATTCACTCAAAAAACCCCAACAATTTATTTATTTAAGCTCCCCTCCCTCATTCTCAATATCAAATCGTTTCGATTTACAATTTTCCAAACCTGGAGGAGCTGTCATTTTATTAAATTCCATTTTTAAAGTTTCATAATGTTTCTAAATTTAATTTTAAAAAATTTTAAAAATAAAATGTTTAAAAAAATACTTTAAGTCCAGCCAAATAATTAGGCAAAACTTTTCCACTACTTGCATGTGTTGTTATATAATGTTGAATATCTTCAATCCAAGCTTCCACTTGAACACAAATTTCATCTCGTTTCATCCAAAAATGAGATTTGACAATTTCTGCAAAGGCTTTTGGAGGATTCTATAAAAATTATTATAATTATGAAAGTAAATTATTTAATTAGAGGGGCCCGCCCTAGTTAAGAGAAAAGATGTTGATGGTGATGTGTGTGGTGAATAGAATTGCCAGAGGTAGCGCAAGCGAGCGGGGTGAATGATTGGGCTCTTGTCCAGTTTAAGCGTCCAATCGCACCTTTATACGTCCAAACGATTTCCTATGCGTCCAATCACATTTTTTAAGTACCGGTTCTATGTGTGTACCCGGTTCTTTGCGTGTGTATTATAACTCTGAGTAAGTAGAGCTTTCTATTTCCATAGATTAACGGTAATTTAGTGTAGAACTGGGTACTTAAAAAATGTGATTGGACGCATAAAAGTTGAATGGACGCATAAACTTTTCATTGAACTTATAAAGGTTGTTTGGACGTATAAAAGTGCGATTGACGCTTAAACTGGACAAGAGCCCATGATTGTTGGTATACCACTTGGTCAGGCTCTAGGCCGACCGAACACTAGGTCATTGATTGATAGAGAACTAAGTTGGAATGAACATCAACTAAGCCGCTTTCCCTTATTTTCCTTTAGCTTATAAGCACCTTCTACCTAGACGGGGTTTTCAATAGTTTCTAAAGGATTACACCTTTAACCCTTAAATGAATAATTATTACCTTCTCCATTCTTAATGGCCAATAAAAGGCGAGCGAGAACCGGCCGCCTAAGTAAGCTCTCGTTTTTTAATACCGACAAAAAGTGGGCGCCGGTTCTCCCTCCCTTTTATTTTATAAATTAATTGGTGGATTCGGCTCACCCCAAAAGAGGGTTTTTTCAAACCTTGGAGCCCAAAACGCCGACTAACGGCTTTTAAAAAAGGGTTAGGAAATAATAAAAAAATTTTTTAACTTAAAAAAATACCCGAATTTGTTCAACCATTGCCCATCTAACACACATTTGCATAATATTAGCATCATATTCCCGCGATGCCTGTTGGCCAGCAGGGGAATTTCGCCATCTTTCATAACCAGGTTCATTGAAATACTTGAAAAATTCAAATTTTTTTTAAATAAAAACAAAAAAAACCCAACCGGTTCATTAACAAGAATTAAAGATTGAATGGAGACAAGTACTTGCAAAAGAGAGGAAGTGTCAGCATTCCAACGTTCTTCTGGCCGACCACGCCAAGTATTCAAAATTGATAGACAAACTTTTCCATCATCGTAAAGATTTGGATCTTTAAGGAGAAAAAAAATTTTTTCGGTACATTTCCGTTATCGTTACGGATTTTTGCGGACATTTTTTCTTCCTTTTGAAGAGAAAAAAAGGCAACATTCATTTTCGGGAGCAGGCCAATGTACCGCGATCCCAACGTACCTCAGAGAACTTCGTTCAAAATAGTCGAATCCGGGACGCCTTGGTTATGGTTCGATGCATCTCGACGAGCTGAATATAACCATATCAGGGCGTCCCGGACAGAGCTGCACGAAAATGAAATTTTGCCTCCAACGAAACGAAAACGAAAAAAATAAAATTATCAATGTACGAAACGAAAACGAAACGAAAAAATAAATTTCATTTTTACGAAACGAAAACGAAACGAAAACTATCAATTTTCCACGAAACGAAACGAAAACGAAACGAAAATGTTCTAAATTAGGAATCTTTAAATTTTAACGCTAGAAAATAAGTTTTTTGAGGTTGTACATGTCTAAATGCATCAAATATTTGGTTGAATCCAAATATTCCCTCAAAATCCTCTGATATCACTTCAAATACTTTGATATCCACTTGATCCATTATATTTTCTGATATTCTTTAGTAGGTAAAAAATATATCGAGTGATTTGGAGTAATTAAAAGGAAGTGTGTGGATATTATTAAGTGGATTAGGTGGAGATATTTAGAGGCCAAGGGATTTAGAGGCGATATTGATCTCCGATATCCGCAATAATCCGCAAAAATCCTCTAATGTTCTTTGAATCCGTGTATCCCTCTTAGTTTCTATCCCTATAGTCTAATAAATTTTCTGATTGCAGCGCGCGTGCAAATCTTTTATGAATTCCCCAAATATTTTATGAATTCATTTATTTTACATGTTTATTCACCATATAAAAAATATCAATGGGAATTTAAGCGATATCAGAGGAAAACAACTTAACTGATTCTTCTTTTTCAGCGCCGCAGGCAAAAATTTTGGGAATTTTGGAAGCCAAACAGCCAAAATTCTTCCGTTTTCAGCGCCGCAGGCAAAAATTTTATAAATTTTGGCTTAAAAATGCGATAGAAAAGCGAGAAAAAATGTCTAAAATATCAAAATATTTTCGTCAATTTTCGTCCAAAAATGGCATTTTACGAAACGAAAACGAAAGAAAATATTTTTTCAACGAAACACGAAACGAAAAAAAAGTAAAAAAAATTTTCAAACGAAAACGAAACGAAACGAAAATCATAAAAAATCCACGAAAATAACGAAAAACGAAACGAAACGAAAATTTTCGTGCAGCTCTGGTCCCGGATATGACCAGACTATTTTGAACGAAGTTATAGCTCTACGGTACGTTGGGATGTACCCTTATTTTTTCTTCAAACAATTAATGATAGAAAAAAGGGAAGAGAAATTATTGAAGCACCTGTACGTGGTGAGCTAAAGCGCCTAGCAATAACTGCCAGGAGGTCGCAGAATCGAAGCCTCTATTGGACAAGCGACCGACAGAAAAATTGAGTGAAATTGAGAGAAAGAGCGAGGTAAAAGTCTAATCCCGGGCAGGTAGGCTTCGATCCTGCGACCTCCTGGCAGTTATTGCTCCTGGGGGGTACACCCCAACTTACCCCGAGCCCAACTTACCGCAGAGCTACAGAATTGTTGATTCCGGGACGACCTGGTATGTTTCGATTCAGCTCGTCGAGGCGCATCGAACCATACCAAGGCTTCCCTGATTCGACAATTCTGAAAGAAGTTATAGCTTAAGTTGGGCTCGCGGTAAGTTGGCCTGCTCCCATCCTGCGACCTCCTGGCTTTCGCTCACCACGTGCGTGTGCTCTACCAACTGAGCTACCGGGACGCTGCTTCACCTTCTCTTTTAGTAGATCCTAAACCCGTGCCTAGTGAGCGTTTTAAATGCTCTAGCCAGCTGGATCTTTCTCTTCCTTACATGAGGAAGAAATCTTACCATTTTTACATCTTAAGGAAGACAACATCCGCAAAAAGAGTTCGAAAAAAATCCGTAGGGATAAAACGGAAAAGTATCAAATTTTCCCAAAAATTTAAAAACAAAAATTTAAATAAAAAAACAAACTAAATCGAACTGTCCGATTCCCTGTTGTCTCCAAATTCATTTGCATTGGAACATTTGGATAATCTGGAGGGAAGAAAACATCAAATTCAAAACATCCATTTGCATAAGGAGTATCTGATGGACCCGTTATTAAAACCTGGAAAAGATTTTTTGTTTTAATTTTTACAAGAAAAAAACCTTCATAGCATCCAATCTTTCTTCACAAGTTCGAACAAAAACACCGCTACTGAAAGAAAGTGGCAATGAACTGCTCAAAGAAACAATTTCTTGTGCTAATCGACGAGTTCTTTTGCCTAAAGCTGAACCTCCAGCACTAGCCATTGAATTTAAAGATGTTGCATAATGGAAAGGAATACACATAACTGGAGTTGTGTTGTTGTTACCCATAGGTTCGTAGAAGGGAATTGTTTCTTTAAAAAATTAAAAATAAAATTAATGGGTGGAGAGAGGTGTCTAAACTATCCCCAATACCTCCCATTTTTGTATAAAATTTTTAAATTTCAAGGGAATTGTTTAAATAAAATTTAAAAAATTATCCATATGGTGCAAAGGGAGGTCTATATAAAGGGTAAAATCAGCAATCAAGATTTCAAGTGAAGATTTCAAGCTGATTTTGGTGTCATTCGACTCAGCTCGAGGAGACTTTCGAATGAGCCATCAATCAAAAAATAGAATTTTCACCCCAGAATTAAGATTACTCCTTCCTATGGTTTTTGACCATTTCGAGCCCTATATCTCGGTCCACAGGTTTCGGGGAGGGGGGGGGGCTTTAGCCCCAAAAACTACCCTGACTACGCCCTAAACCCCCGATACCCATAATATTTTCAAAAATTACTCAAAACCTTTACATGAAAAATAAGGTCATTTTTGAATGCTTAACACGAATGTCTAATAAATATTTTTGGAAAAAAAAATAATTAAAAAAAACCCCCAACCAAATTGCAATCCTCTAAGTTTATCGCAATAGAAACGTTCAACAGTATCAGACACTTTAGGCAAAGCATTCGAGGAAGAAGCAACATTTTGATCGCTAATCATTACTTCCTCATTATTTTGTTCATCTTCGACTTCATCAAAGTCCATTTCGATACAAGAATGAATTCGTTTCTCTTAAAAATAAATTTAAAAAAAAAAAAATTTTCTAAAAGAATACTTTTATTAATAGCAGAACAAACACTGTGAACCAAATCTAAAAGTTTTCCAAGTTCTTCCTCTTCTTCCAAATCAGCCTGACTTTTTGAAGAATTTATAGCTGTTGTTTTTCGTCTAGAAAAATTTTTTATTATAAAAAAATAAAAATTTTCGGCGCTGTTCTAGTTTATGCGTCCATTGAACTTTTATGCGTCCGATTAAAAGAAGATTAGATTTTTCTTGATGTTGCAAAGTTTAGGTATGGTTCCGAAACATTCCTTCGTGTTCAGGACCTGCGCCCGTGTCTGGGCCCGTCCCTTACTCTATCCTTCGAAATTTTTGAAAGATACAGCCAATTTTTGAAAGTTACAGAAAAACTGTTTTCTTTCAGAAATAATGACGAAAGGGTAAGGAATGGTCCCAGACCCAGTGGGCGTAGGTCCCAAACACGAAGGAATGTTTCGGAACCATACCCCAACTTTGCAACATCAAGAAAAATCCAATTTTCTTTTGATTGGACGCATAAAAGTCCATTGGACGCATAAAAGTCCATTGGACGCATAAACTAGACCAGCGCCAAAAATTTTCTTACAAAGCTTTTCTTTTGGCATTTCGTTGCCAAAGACTTTCCCCTGTTGCTGTATTTGTTGTACGATGTCCAGTTTGTAGTTTACTCAAATAAATTTCAATATTTTTACCCAATTTATTTAAACGATCAAGCAATTCAGATTCAGCAACAGTTATTTGTTGTAATTTCTTTTTATGGCCAATTTGTTTTTGGATTTGTTTTTCACCACTCAAAAAAATAATATCAAAAATATCCTGATTTCCTTGTTGATCAAAAATGGCAGCATTTGGGAATTTTGATAAATTATTGATTGGGATTGGCAAAGCATTAGCGATTGTATCAACCAACAAAATAACTGACTCAAAGGCGTGTACACGTTTTGAAATGTCCAAAACTGAAAAATTTTTGTTGATTTTTAATTTTTAAAATAATATTATCACTTTTTAGTTGAACCTAGCTAAAAAAAGACTAGAGACTAGAGGTCGGCGCGGGACGGGATCCCGCGCGGGCTTTTGCGGGATCCGTCCCGCAATCCCGCACTTTTTTCGTTTTGCGGGATTTTGCGGGTGTGCGGGATTTATCCCGCGGGATCCCGTCCCGCAAAGATTTTTAGAAAAGTTTTATCCCGCGGGATCCCGCAAACACGATTTTGCCAACCTCTACTAGAGAAATGACTAGGAGGTCGTACGAGAATCGATATCTCGAAAAATATCGGTGTCGATAACCGGGATTTTTGTTCAAGATCTTGTCTAGTTGTAAGTCTCTAAATAAGACACCCCTTTTGGGCCGAAAAATAGTGTCCTATGAAGAAAAGTATTTTAATTGAGGTGTATCTACCTATTTTAAAAAATCTTTCAAAATTACCAGAATCATTCATCAAATAAGAATTGAGCGTAGAAAAGAGACAGGAGCGGAAAAGAAGTTCAACAAACTCTTCAGAAAGCTTAATACTCGGAATGTCCAATTCTTTTCTCTTCTCCTCTTCATTCTTATCAGTCCTTTTATTTGTCTTTTCATCTTCCTTTGAAGTTGTTAATTCCTCTATTGGCAAAACTAATTCTATTCCATCTCCAGAATTTGTTGTTTCTTGTTTCTCTTCTTCCTTTTTATTTGAAAATGTTGATTGATTTTCTTGTAATCGTTGTGATTGAGGACTAATAAAGGCGATAAGAATCTTTAAAAAATATTTTTTTATTTCAACTCCTAAACAAAAATTCATACATGTAACAATGCTGCAACATTATTTTCATCTTGCCTTCTTTTTGCAACATGCTGACTAAGACTCCATTGCTGTTGAGTAGTTCCACTACCAAAACCTGTGCCTTTTGCCCAATAATTTCCATCATTTTGGGTTTGTGTTGTTGCAGTAGTTGTCTGTTGAGGTATAGAAGTTGGAGGTGTTGCTGGAGTGAGAGCACTTGTTTGTGTCGGTGTTGTTTTGGTGGGTGGAATATTTGAAGGTCCTCCTCCTTCAGTAGTGGGTGTTTTTACAACTGGAGTTTTGCCTGTTTCTGTTGGTCCAGACAATTCAAGATCATCGCCCAAGGTGATAACAACTGGAGTTTTTTTATCCTCAGCTGTGGCTAACGAAGTACTAGATTGTGTTATTGATACTGGGACATGAGATTTCGTTGTTGTCGAATCTATTGTTGCTGAAGATAACGTTGTTGTAGGTATAGCACCGGCGGTATGGAAGCTGTTAGTTGAATTAATTGATGGATTTGCAATATAATCAGTTTGTCCACCACCAACACCTCCACTGCCTCCAATTAGTTGTAAATCCATTGTCTGTTGTTGCAATGTCCCAGCAAGTTGGAATAAACGTTCCATACGAAAGGCAGCATTCAAAACATAACTTATTAGTTCAACCTTTAAAAAATATTTTTAAAAAGCTAAAAACATTTGAATAAACCATTGGCTGTTCTTCAGCAATAGCAGGATGTAAAGGCTCCAATCGATTCGGTTGTCTAGAAAAATGAGCCAAACTTGTCAACAAAACATCAACAATTCCCATTTTTAAAGCTTTATCACGAATTGCTTGAGCACGTTCAATACCAACATCAGCAGGATCAAAAGTATTAAAAAGTCGAGCAAGTACAACAAAAGGGAATAGAAGAAGCTCTTCTTGATGAGCTTTGAAAAATTATAATTTTTTGAATTATTAGAAAAAAAACCTTGTTGTTCATGAGAAACATAACGACCCAAACGTTGTGATGACGATTTAATATTTGTATTATAGGAAGCAGGTAGAGATGTTGCTAATAAATTTGTTGAAGAAGTTGGTGGCTTTTGAGTGTAATAATGGTAATTGTAGTATGAAGGGTTGATATTCTTTTGTTGTTGTTGTAATACATTTTTGGGAGTTACAGAAGTTGATTTAACATTACTACGAATTTTTGAGTCACCACCTGTACGAGGACGTAAAAAGGCAACTCTAGAACTTGGAGCTAAAATGAACAAAAATTAGGTTATTTTTTAATAAATTGGCCTATAATCGACTCTTCACTTAACATAAACTCAATTTATGGTCGATATTTAATGGTTTATTGAATGTCCGCAAATTTCAGTCCGCAACTACCGATTACCAAAACATTATAAATCTGGCCTTTGGAACCCCGAAAATTTTTAAAACCCCCAAAACCGAAACGGAGAAACAATCCAACAAATCATCAGGGTTTTCGGTTTGATTCCGAACCGGCAATTCTAACGATTTAAAAAAATAAATTTGAAACTTTACATGTAATCGGTGAATGTATGTCCAAAATCATTCGAAGTAATTGTTTTGTCTTTTCCCGATCCATTTCAATAAGTAATTCTCCATATTGTTCTAAACGAAGAAATAGTCCAAGTAAAACAATAACATGAGCAGAATTATGGAAAAATTGATCAATTGGAGGCGAATTGGGCATTAAAGGTGGACGAGTATAGGTCTAACAATGGAAAGATTTTTTTTATTTAAAGTAGATAAAATTAAGTTTTACATTTTTTCCACTATTAATATTTCCAGAAACATTTGGAGTATTCCATCCTCCGCCTAAATTAGTTCCCAATCCAACAGGTTGAAGAGGAGGCCATTCATTATTATTGTTAAATAATTGAGTCATTGGAATATTAGAAATAAAACCAGGTGGTTGTGTTTGAGGAAATGGTAACTAAAAAATTATAAAAAAATATTTTTTGAAGTAGAAGTTAGGGTTTACAGTAGTGATGTTAGGGTATCTCGATCCCGAGGTCATTTCCCGAACCGACTCCCGTTTCCCGAGTTTTTTCTTCTCCCGAACATCACAAGTTTACAGGTTGTCTAGGCTATACCTTATATTCTAGAGGTTCCGGTCCTGTGAGAAGCTAGAGATGCTGGGGCTGGCGGGACCTATCGGGCCAATGGGTTAAAAAGGGAGAAAGGACGGTGACGCCGCCCAGGACTTCGATAGAGGTAAGGAGCTGCCAAGATCCACAGAGGTGCCAAAAAGCAGATAAAAAAAAAATTCAATCTACATATCAGAGACTTTTCAGTCAGTTCGTAAAGGGCTTTAAAGTCAATAATGCTCACACTCATTGGTCAGACCTAACAACCCTAATTAATATATGTAAATATACCTGGTTCATAAAGTCAACAAATTCGAAAGGAATAAAAGTAGTCGGAGTAAAGCCTGGAGGAGCAGATAAAGCTTGCAAAATTTGTGGAGGACCCTGAGCGGTGACAGCTGATGCGGTGGAAGCTGATGACTGTGGTGGAAACTGATGAGCAGCAGAAACAATAACGTTATTATTATTAGAGCAAACACGCTGTTGACGCTCAATCAAGTCAGAAGACAATCTTTCTTGACTAAAAAAATTTTTTTTAATTAAAAAGAAAAATTATTTAAAAATCAAATACCAGCTATGCAAACGAGTCAGACATCGTCGATAAAGATAAATATGTTTAGATAATTCAATCAGACCTCCTTCACGTGCAAAATGTTCCAGAGTGGAAACAGAAATTGAAGATTTTTCTTCAGTTTTCGATTTCTTAGCATTTTTAGAGGCTTTTTGTGAAGCTCTTCGCTTCGCTGCTAAAATTTTAAAAAGTATTATTTCTGCTTTAGAAAAATTAATTCGAAAATTTACCAGGCGTTGATTCTGGCACATATCTCATACTCAAACATAACATCATATGTTCGCCGCCATTTTCAGAATCTCCACTATTATTATTTTTACGTTGTTCAAACAACTCTCCCAATGTAATTCCTTCATCAAAAGGAAGTTGTGTGTTTGCATCAATTAATTGAATTTTTCGTTGATCAGAAGCATCGTTTTGAGTTGAAGAAGCAGCTGGCAATTTAGAAGCAAATTTTGGCATTGCGCAATGGCCGGTAATTGACGAAGAATGAGGTCCTGGAGGAGTCCATGGTGCGGTAGAATTGAATTCATCAGACCAGTCATCCTCCTAAAAATGAGAAAATTAAAAAAAAAGACTCAAAATTTTAACCATATCCCAATCCCAATCAGGCGGTGGTTCTTGAGGTTGCATTGATTGTTGTTGAAAGATAGACTGTTGTTGTTGCAATCCATCAATAGAAATTGGAGCCGCCGAAGAGTATGAAGGTGGCGGTACAAATCCATGATATTTTAACCAGTGATCTGCTGCCGAATATTTTGTATTCTTTAACGGAGGTTTTTCAGTGGAAGCAGCCGTCTTTGATGAAACTTTCGATGCATATGTTGAGGATTCTTCAATAGTATCAGCACCCGATTGAAGCGAAGAAGGAATTAGCTCAGAACATTTTGTATAAAGACCAAAATTGAGAACACAATCATCAGAGAGACAACCAAAAATTGGATGCACCATTCGTTTATGACTTTCATAAATTGGTAAAATTGTGTTGTGCAAAACAACCCCGTCAGGCAATTGTTCTACAACATCAGTGAAATGCACCTAAAATAAAAATTGTAAAAATTAAGCAAGATAGGGTAGCAACCCCACACACAAAACCCTGAAGGTTCTACCCCGGCAACCAGTAAGATGAAGGATCTGGTTGCTACCCTAAAACAAAAAAATACAAAAACCTTAATAATTTCATCATCCAAAATTAAACGATGAAGCATTTGTAAAATAAAATCATTTAAAGGTTTTGGTTGGAAAAAACTATTTGAAGAATTCTCATTTTTATCTCGCAATATTTTACAAAGATATTTTGCAATTCTTGCACGATGTTTACCACCAAAAGTTAAACATCTTTATAGAAAAAAATTATTTTTTAGACCTCAAAATAATTTTAAAAAAACCTTCGAGTTAAATTAATAAATGAAGAACGAATACGAGGAACAACTTCATTAACAACATTATTAATCACATCACTATGAAAATATTTCCTTTCACCTTGAGGAATTGCAGTAGAAATACGTTCAGTATTTTTTGTTGCATTAACGAGAAAATTCATAATATTTCGGAAGAAAGCTGGTCCATATTCACTTTGTTCGAGAAATTTACAAACATCGGTCATTATAGTTAATTCTTCAATACATTGAACAATTGCTTGAAGTTCACGCAAATCTTCCTCTTCTTTTTCTGAAAATTAGGTAAATAAATTGATTCTTGTTCAATTTAAGCGTCCAAACAACCTTTATATGTCCAAACAACCTTTATACGTCCAATGAAACGTTTATACATCCAAACGAATTTTTGTGCGTCCAATCAACTTTTATGCGTTCAATCACATTTTTTAGCACCCGGTTTTATGTGTTAAAACCTACGGTCTGGCAATATGCGTGTGTATTACAACTCTGGGGGTAAATAAAACTTTCTATTTCCATAGATTTTAAGGTAATTTAGTGTTGAACCGGGTACTTAAAAAAGTTGATTGGACGCATAAAAGTTGATTGGACGCAAAAATTTGTTTGGACGTATAAACTTCATTGGACGTATAAAGGTTGTTTGGACTTATAAAGGTGCGATCGGACGCCTGAACTGGACAAGAGCCAATAAATTTTAAGTTTTCGACACCGCTAATGAATTTTAAAAAGGAGGGGGTAAAGAGGAATAGCACAAAACCAACCAGAATATTTAAAAAAACCCTCATAATCCCCCAGCTAAAAATTTAAAAATTAAAACTAACGATCTTGCTCACAAATTTGCACAGTTTTTTGTATCCAAATCTCGAAACTACAACTATTAAGTAATCTATTAATTGCCGGTTTAGATTGGCAAATATGTGAGAGAGCAGCCAAAATCATCAGATTTTCTGGTATAGGAGATTCATCAAATCCATAAATGTCCAAAAGTTGATCCAAGAGTTCTGGTTGAGCACGGGCCAGCGAGCAAAGCAACCAACGGGAAGCTTTCCAAACATGCTCATAAATTGAATTATTAGAGATTGTTCCAAAATAATTAGTGTCACATAAACTTAAACGAGCTAATTGCCTAAAAAATATTTTCAAAAAAATATAAAATTAAAAAAAATACAAAATAATCTTTGGAGAAAGCTCAGAACACATTGCCAAAGTTTGTTTATATTGCGAGCAAGCTGGATCAGAATTACGCCAAATAACACAAGAACTTGACCACATTAGCAAAGAAAGGGCCATCTATTTTAGGGAAAAAATAAGCATTAAAAATTAAGAAAATCCTAAAAAAAAAACCCATTTTGCATCTCTTCTAGACCAATCTTCATTAGAATCAGCCATATAATCAGTTGAAGATTGTACAGTTAAATGTTGTAATAAATCGACAACTCCACGAAACAATTCTTCTTGACGAGAAAGTAATTGTGACATTCGTTCCTTAGGCAAAGTGCTTTTAGAAGAAGAAATTGGAGTTGAACAGAGAGTAAAAAGTAATTCAGCCAAATGCATATTTAATTTATCGGGAGATGCCATTTCGTGATTCGTTACTAAAAAAATATTTAACAAAAAAAAAATTATTAAAAACCCATACATAAATGGTCAATAATAATTTTGACAACAGAAATATTTGAAGGTTCATCTCCTAGCAAAACATCTCCTAGCAAAACTGTTTCAGTTTCAATATCAAGCATAATTTTATAAAGTAATTGCAAAACATCATCACCAGGCCATCCATGAATACACAAAAATAATTGAACTAATTGTTGTGCAAGTGAAGGTTCTAACAAAAATTTGTTGTTTGTAGATTTATCCTTTCCTCCTTCTTCTTTCGATAAAATAACAATTTGATGGAATAATGTTAACCAAAGATGTAAAAGTTCTAAATGTTGCTTTGTAGTGTTATTATGTTGTAATTCTGCAAGTTGAGTACTTCCATTCAATTGAATTTGCATTAAACCCAAACTATTCGATTCGAGAGGTTTTTTAAGGCGCAAACGAACCTTAAGAGTAACTAGAGTTCGAACCCGGGCCGGGCCCGGACCGGTTTTTTCCGGGCCCGGTGGCCCGGAACCGGGTATTTTTGAGAAAATCCGGTTTTTCCGGGCTAACCGGTTTACCCGGTTTTATCCGGAAAAACCGGCCCGGGTGCGACTTTGAGAAAAAAACCGGGTCCCGGGCCCGGTAATTTTTTGCCGGGCCCGGAGTTCGATTTCCGATTTTCGAATTTTTGAAAAAATTTGAATTTTTGGCGCCAAAATGGAGGATTTTTGGTTTATCGGCCATCATAAATTCAAAAAATTTTCGCCTGCGGCACTAATTGAATGAAGATTTGTGGCTTAAGGATCCTTCAAAATTCTCAAAATTTTCGCCTGCGGCGCTAATTGAAGGAGGCCCTGGACTATTAACAATATTATGCTTCGACTCTGGTATATTGGAGGATTTGGTTAAACTAAGGTGGATTTAGAAGCCCCTCCCAATGCTGGAACCCTATGCCTTGTACGCCCAACCTTATAAGTAAAGCGGCCTAGCTCTGCTTCACTATATCAGGGGATTTTACTCAAATCCTCCATTATCCCTCTTAATCCACACAGATCTCATGATGAAATGTTAATCTTTAACTTAACACCCGGAGTCTGGAGAAATAATAAGTCACTACCACAAATAAATTATAAATATTGATTATTGCAGTTTTTTAAATTGCAAATAATATGTATTTTTTGAATAAATAAATAATTTTTTATGTTTTTAATAAATTTAGAAAAAACCGGGTCCGGGCCCGGGTCTGAAAAAATCCGGTTTTTCCGGGCTAACCGGTTTTTCCGGTTTTATCCGGAAAAACCGGTCCGGGTGCGATTTTGAGAAAAAAAAACCGGGTCCCGGGCCCGGCATTTTGAAAAGTTCGAACTCTAAGAGTAACATCGTGAAATAAAAAAATTAAAAAATAAATACCGCTTTAACAGGGCTTTTGTAATTTGTAGTTGGAACAGTAATTCTAGAACACCCCAAAGTTTGAATTGGAGAACGTACAGCAACCCAATCAATACCAATAGGATCAGAAGAAAGTTCGGCTTGCACGGCAGAAGGTGCAGCTTAAAAAATAAATTTTTTAATAAAAATTAAAAAAATTAACAAACAAGCAAGTGAAGAAGCATGTGGTTTGATAACAATTTCATTAAGCATAATTGGATAAGGCAAAGTTAAAACAAGATCCAACCATTGCTGATAAATTGGAAAATGATAAGTCCAGTTAGGGTTACGTGAACGCCTATGAGTTGTTCCTGCGGCAACAAGCTGTTGGAGATGATTTGCCATTGCAGAAGAAGAATGAATTGAACCTATAAAATAGTAAAAAATAGAAAACATTCGGTTGAAAAAATCCCACAATTTGGAGCATAATTGTAAATCTGCGGCTCGCGTTGTTCGGGAGCTCCCAAACCACTAGAACCAATACATTTCGATGCAATCTGCTTTTTCGCTGTTCCTGTTGTATTTACACCTCCATTTGTATTTCCAAACGTAACATTTTTATAAATTCCAGCTCCGCCAAATTGTGCGGTTCCAAGCGGTTGTTGTTGATTTGTGGCTTGAGATGCAAGCCACGAATTTTGATGAAAAGTAGAGGAGGCAGCAGGTTTATCAAGAGTCGTACTTGGATTATTCACATTAGTATTTTGATACGGTCCAGAGCCACAAACCTTGATTTAAAAATTAAAAAGTCAAAAATTTTAATATTCAAACTATTCTATTTCCATCCAACAATTGGCTCTTTTGTCGATGTTGTTGAGAAATAACAGTTCCACTAATTTGAGATGCAATCATTCGCAATTGTCGCTGAACATCAGTAAAAGCAGCACTGCCTTGTGGCCACGCTGAACTTGACATTTCAGCAAAAGCACGGATGCTCTGCTGAAGTTGCTCCGAAATGAAAGCATGTCCACCTAATAAATTTGTGTTAATGAAGTATACAATGGTAAAGTAAAATTTACCCATTTCAGAAAAAAGTTGTCGTCCAGATGGAACTTTATTTATTTGAAGAAGAATAAGAGCTATCAAAGGAGAAAGTGTCAATGGTTGCTGATTTTTAGAAATTTGATTTCCGTTCCCGTCACTGTTTGTTGATGATGATGGCATGTCAGAATCAATTTGATTATTGTCTTGAGTGTTAGGATCATCAGTTGTCTCCATTCCTAAAATGTTGATATATTTATAGAGTTGAGGGTTCGATTTATCAATTTATAGTAAAACTAAATGGTAATACCAAGGTTGGTCCTCCCTTTTTTCCTTTCTATTCTTTTCGATTTTTTGAACTTTTTATGGCAAATCATTTATCATTTGAAAGAGCTCTTCGAGTAGAGTCGAACAGTACTAAATTCATCGAAATCCGACTTAAATAAACATAGTTCTGAGCATTTGTTTTAACCCCTTTCAATATCACAAAAAGCATGTCCATCGAGGATTTATCTTCGTAATTTTGTTCAGAATCGCCAAATCTGACCGATCATAGTATCACTCTACTCAGCTCGAACAGCTTTTTGAATGATATATTGTAAATTATATGTCAAACAAAAAAGCTCAGAATGGTCAGGGGAACAGAAAAAATGAGGGCCAGCTTTGGTTTTACCAACGAAATAACCAAAAGATGTCAATTACCGCGTGTCTGCATATTTGAACTTTGGCCTGATGCAGCGTTTGATACATTCGATTTAACCAAATTTTGAACCAAGAGTTGCATTAAACGACGTGATGACTCATCATCCGTGTCACTTGTAAACATATTAATTTCCATATGTTTAGTGATTGTCAAAACAGAAAAAAGAATAGCATCAGCAAGTGAAACAATCTTCCACCTGATTTACAAAAAAATAAAATTTTCTAAAATCAAAAAAAAAATACTTTTCAACTGAAATGCTATCCAATGTTTGTCCATTATTTAATACACAATATGACAAAAATTCAAAAGAATCGGACAAAAATACATTTAAATCGTCTTCAAGAAGCATTTGAGCTAAATTATGATTATCACGAGCAACAACACAAATCTTGAATAATTTTATTAAAAAAATAAAATAAGAAGACTAACTGATTTAAACAAATTACACAAAACAGTCTCAATTTTATTGGCATGCACAACCACAACAGATGGAGTTTCCATTCTTTTATTTCCTTTACGAGTTGAAGACGTTCCTAGGAAAAATAAAATGTATAATCAATAGAAAAAGAAGTCTATCATCGAAAACTGTATTAATAGAAAAATTAAATATGCCAATAACACAAAATGGAATGGAAAAATGTTCAAAAAATTTAACCTAGAAAAATGTTTTAACCAATCGAAAAACAAAAAATTTTCAATTTTAATGCTGGGACAAAAATAAATAGGTATTAAAAAAATAACAAACCAGTCCATGAATGAAATGGAACTCCATAATGATGAGGTGGTGGTGGTGGAGGCATCGAACCAGGCCCCACAGTTATCCAAGCAGTTGGGCACATTCCAAAATATGAAGTTGCTAAATCATTTTGATCTATTATCTCAAGATGTTCTTCATCAACAGGCATATTTGAAATAGATCCAATCCCAATCTGTTTTTGCACCATAGATTTTGTTGTTTTAGGCGTAACTTTTTTCTTAGAAAGTGATGAAGTAATTGGAATGCCGCTTGAAGAAAATGTTGAAGAAAATGGAGGAGTAGAAACACCCCAACAACTATTAAACCCTCCATCCATTTTTCCATCCATTTTTTCGTATGAAGACATTGCTGGACCTCCAATAAAATCAAGAGGATCATTAGTAATTCCAAAATGATTTTCAGAATCCATATTGCTGAAGCAAATATTTTTTGCTGGTGCATTAATTACAGAAAATGACTGTCCATTTCCATAATGGCTATATATTCCAAACATGTTTGAAGAAACAGAGGAAGTATTCCTTAAATAAAAAGATTTTTAGAAATATTTAACCAAATAATATTCATACTCATCCTCTCCTGGCAAAAATTGTCCGGGAGCATCTGGATCAACTGCACGTTGTACCATTTTCTTGGAATAAGCAAGTAATACACAATAGAGACGTGCAACTTTTGGAAGACTACAATTGTTGACATATTTTTGAGTAAATTGAGCTAGAACGCTAGATATTTTGAGAAGAGCGCCAAGTGAGAATTTGCTCAAAGTTATGAAATTTCTATTTAAAAAAATTATTTAGAATAAAAAAATTATTTGAGTAAACCTTTTAGAAAAAACAGAAATTAAAACATCAAGAAGAATGTCAACAACTAAGGTTACAAGCGAAGAATTACTTTTATTAATAAGTAAATGCACAAAATATTCAAAGACAGAATCCAATGATGGTCCAATTTCCTGAAAAAAATTAAAATTAGAAAAAATTAATTTTTTTACAGTATTAGGCGGCATATTTGGAACTCGGCAGCTTGGCCCAATAAAGCAAAAATATTGGAAAAATCCAAAAAGTTTGCCAGAACCAACAATTGATTCAATTAAATAAGGCTGAAAAAATTGAAAATAATTTTTTTAATAAAAAATTAAACCATTTTTTGAATTGAAGTATTCAAAGTTGTAAGTACTCGAGTCCAAACAAGTTCAGAAATAAAAGGGTTATCTGCAGCATATGAAATAAGAGAACATGCAGCATTATCGCTCAAAGCTGGGACAGTAAAAAGAGGCGATTTAGCAATAGATAAATTGCTTTTAGAATTGAGGAAGGCACCAATATTTGATTGATACTTTAAAGAGAAGAATAAAATTTTTAAAATAGGAAAACTCTTTTAATAACCTGCCAATAAAAATCTAACAAACGTTCAACAAATGCTGGTCTAACATTGCTATTTTTGTTGTCAACACGAAGATTAGCAAAAAGTTGATCAACTGCACCCATAATTGTTTGCATACATTGACCTATAGCTTCATCTCTCTTTTCTTCATTTATAACATTTTCATCATTTGAAGAATTACTTGGTGGAAGAGAACGAAGAAGTAAAAGACGACGAAAAGAATTTCTAAAAATATTTTTAAATATTAAGATATACTTCCAAACAACCTTATAAGTGTATCCTGTAAAAATACAGAATCATTACAATTTGTAATTGCTTGTTTTTCAGAAACACAAAAATCATATTGCAAATCAACAGAAAGAGCAACTGGTTGAATATTGATGTTATTCGCTAAATTCAAACGAGAAGCATTGAACATATGAAGAGCAATAGGATCAAATTGACAAATTTCAGAGGAAGAATTATTTGAAGTAGATTCTGTGGCTTTAACTAAAAATTAAATCAGAAAATTTTTTAAAAATCCAAAAACCATTTTGAGAAGTTAAAGTAGAGGAAGGAGCCAAATTAGCAGCCGCCATTGTTGTTGCTTCAGAAAGAGTCGTGTCAATTAAATTGTCAAAGAATTGATTATGACCCTCATCAACAATTGGTGCTGTATCATCTGGAATAACATCCTCAGCAATAATTTCATCATCATCATTAAACAAGGTTTCATTTATTGTTTTTTCAATTTGTTGAAGAATTTTCTCAGAAGTACCGTCAGATACTGGCAAATCATTTGTAGTTTGTTCTTCTTTCCGACGTTTTGCATCATCTAATAAAATAAGCATAAATTATCCCTTAATAACTTAAAAAAACAAACTCATTGAAGAAAAGGCACCAGCACAACAACCTTCTGTATCCATTTTCTCGTCGCGTTTTGCCGAATTTCCAGACGAATCCACATTTGTAATACGGCTTAATGAACGAATTTCTGCTTCACTTATATCCAAGAGCATGCTCAACAATGCATGACGTATCCACGGCTCGTCAAAATCATTAAATGCTTAAACAATTTATTTAATCAAAAAATCAGCCAGAAAAATTACCTAGACTAAAAAGTTGCTGTAAATGAGTATCAAAAGCAACAGAAACTGGAATTGGTTGAGCACTACCATGCACACAAATTTTTGCGATGACCTACAAATTTAAAGAAAATTTTTAAAAATTAATAAACCTTAAACACAAGCAACAAAGTTTGTATTTGAAGCTGAGTTGCATCAGTCGAATGTTCACATAAAAGCTGCAATAAGCTTTTAACAAAAAGACGACATAATTGTGGTGACAATCGAAGATGAATACTATATTGACGTGTTTTTGTAGATTTTGTATCAGGAATTACAGCAGAGGTACTAGCCGGTGATTTAGATGTTTTACCAGATTTATCAGGAAATTTGCCAGATTTTTCCTTATCTTCAGCACTCAACTGGTTGAAGTTTGAGTAGAGTGATTGTATATGCATTAGATGAACTTTAAGTTTTTCCAATTTGGCAAGTGAAATCTGTGAATATAAAAATTTTTTAAGATGATAAATTACAAATTAAATATTAAAAAAGAAAAATTATTAACCGTTTCGCTCTGCTTCATTTTCTCCAATTTATCAATCAATGTCTTGTAGTGATTCTTAACAGGAGTAATCATCTTTGACTGTGAACTGCTAGAGGGAGCGACATTTGGAACATTTACAAAGCTTGAAGGGCCCGCAAATTTTGCAGTTCCATATTTCTTTTTAATAGCATAGCCACGTTGAAGAGTTGGACAAGTTGTGGCATTAAATTGGTCTGCGGTGCCAGAATTTGCTGGTCCAAAATCTCCACCCAAAAATAACCAGCGATCATTTTGACGCTTTTCTGAAATTGAATTATAGAACAATATTTTTAAATATAAAAAACAAACTAGATATAATAATATCAAAAGCAGAAGAGATTAACATAAGCGTCCAAGAAAGAAGTATTTTAAAATTAACACTTCTTGGCTGTTTTAAAGTGCTAATATTGATGTCATTTTCAGAAGAAACACCCAATTGAGCAAGAACTGAGAGAACCAATTGCTCAATAATGTTAGTCTAAACAAAAAGTTTTTATGTGAACGAATAAAAGTTTAAAAGGAAAACCTGGAAACGTGGATATTTAACAGTCTCGCTGCACAAATACGACAAAATAATAAAAGCACTAGAAAATATTTAAACAATTATTGAAAAATATTCAATTAAATTCTATACCTATCCAAATTCTTTTGACACATTTTTGAAGCAAAATGTTGATTGAGCACTTCAACAAAAAATTTCCCCCACCAATTCGTATAAACACCATAATGAAAAAGCCAAGAAATACATTCGGCTCTAAGTCTAGGCAAAGAATCCATACAAAAGAGGCCAAAATGTAAAACAGCAGTGTCCAATGAAAGTAAATTATTTTGAGAAATAGAAACAGTTGGTATGGACTGATTTGTAGGTGGAAGCTAAAAAACTGGATTAATAACGAAGAAATTTGAACAAGGTTTGTGATTTGGATTCAAATCAGACCGGGTTGAGAAAAAACTAGGATCGAGTTTTCGAAATTCAATAAGGAAATATAAGGTTACATGTAGATCCAACCCAGACCCAGATCTATCAGTCCTGTTAAAGGATTACTAAAAACTAACCACAATCATTTTACGCGCGTCAGTAAATGCTGAGAATAAATTCAATAAAGCAATTAAACGATGTGCCATTACAGCTAACTGTTCCAAACCGATCATACTCCAACCAGATTGTTGTTGCTTTAATTCCTTCTTTTCATTTTCATCCAATACTTTATTGTCCATTTGAATTCGTGTGATAAGATTTCTCACAATATTATATTCAAGACGAAGAGCAAAGCATTCCCTGTATTGCTGACGAATTGAACGACGCCGAATTTGTTCAAAAGTTGGGTTTCCATCATCACGAAGTATGCCCTTAATAGCATTTGCAGAACACTCGTAAGCAACTTTTAACGAATCACTCAAAAAGATGAGTTCAGAAAGTATCTAAAAATTAAAAACAAATTAGAAAAATAATTTCATAAAAAACCGCACATTGTTCTCCTCCAAATCCTCCTCAAAATCAACCATTTTTGCTCCAAAAAACTGTCCCAAATTAACTGTACAAGGTTCATTATATAACTGACGAACCGTGTAAGTCAACTAAAATTAATTAAAAATGTAAATTTATTACACAAAAACCTTCAAAAATCTGCAAATAATCGGTGGAAGTAAATCACTGATCGTCAAAGATTTTGCCCCAATTTCTGAAGTGCTAGCAACAAAAATACTGTCTGTCTTTTCATCCTTCAACCATGCATCAATACGTAATGAAGACATATATTCTGAAGCAGGCACAATTAAATCACTCAACATAACTCTATATCCGAAATCCAAAACAATAAATTTTTGAGCTCCTGCTGTCATTCTATCAATACATAAAGAAATACGTGGAAGTTGAGTAAAGAAGGAAGAATGTGGAGAAAATTTCCGATTTAATTGTTTAAGTGTTTGAGTGACAGATCCGTTTTGTATTGGAAGAGACTAAAAAATATAAAAGAATAAAATATGGAAGGACAAAAATAGAAAACGAAATGCTCTAATCAAAAGCTAATAGGAAAATAAACGCAGTCTCTAATAAAAGGTCTATTTCTTTAAGCTTACTCAGTGGCCTATAAAAAATAGATGCCTATGACTTGAATTAGAGCATTCACGGTAACTTATCAAATATCCAGAAATTCTAAAGAACTTAAGGATAAGAAACCTCAGATTTTTGATGATTAATATCACTTTCACCAGTCAACATCACTAATTCTTCCAAATCAGCTTCACTACCACCAATTGGCGAAAGTGGAGTTGGTGTCAATTGGAAAGGTGTAGTTTTTGGGGTAGTTGGAACTCCAAAAGTACTCGCAGAGGAAAGTCCAAGAGTTGCTGGAGTATTCTCACCAGAAGGTAATTGTGAATTAACATTAACTTCCGATTGAGTATTTATAACATCTACAACTTCATTTGCAGTATCCAATTCTTTAGTTGATTCATTTTCCTTTTTATTGTCCAAAGTTGAATTTTCTGTAACCGAAGCTGCAGCAAATATATCCATTAAAGCATTATTAGAATTATTATCGTTTACAGAATTTGTAGAAAATTTTTGTTGTTGGCGATTCTTAAGACGATGTTGCTGATATTGAAGCTGGTGTTTGAGTGAATAAATATCAGCAACTTTATCCTGAAATTAGAAAATAATAAACCTCAATATAATGTGGGAAAGGATGATCCATTTAAAAACTAGACTTAAATGTCCCCCTTTTTACAGAATAATTTATGTTAACAAATAGGTTCTAATTATGTTAGGGTTTTAACTCCCTAAAATAAAACCAATATTCAATTAAAACTCAAAGCTCGAAAACCGGGTTTTCAGATTTGGATTAACCAAAAACCAGGCAATAACCGGCCGCTAAAATCCATAGCTTTAAGAAATAAAAAAATCTAAGACTAGAATATAAAAAAACCATTTGTTCTCTTCCATCATCACAAGTTTCACCCTTCTTGTTCAAATCAGAAGAAAACGTAGTAGGAAGATCAAAATTCTCATTTTCCTGTTCATTCAGAACTCGAATGTGGTCTGTACCATAAACACAAGAAAAAATTAAAGGCTCCGTTTCCAACAATCCTGTCAAGTGATTCATTAATAAATGATGGCGATGAAGAGATGAACTAGTGGAAGGATTTCCTGAATTTGTAAATGATGTTAAAACGATAATTTTTACAAACCATTTTTGTTTGTGTCGTTTGTATCCTTCCAAGCAGTTTGATAACCGCTAAGATCTCCATAAGTTGATGGAGGCATATTTCCTGACAGATTTTTAGGCCATTCAGAAGATAATCCAACACTTGAAGAATAAAAAAATTTTCAAATTAAAAAAGTAAAAAAACCTAGGAAAAATATTTTTGTGAGGATTTTTGGCATTATTAGAGCCCTGACCATTTTCGTTGTTAAGAATATCACCATAAAACCGAAGATTACAATCTGTACTGTCGTCAATAAAAAACATATCCATCCAATCCATTTCATCCTAGAAATATTTTTATTAAAAAATAAAAAATTATTAAAATTTACAATTGCAAAGTCGGAAAGAATCGAAGCTGTTGAGCAAAAAGTCAATGGAAACTTGTTATTTTCTGAATAAATTCTCGATGTATTGGCAGCTGATGACGTTTGATTTTCGACCTAGGTAAATGTGGATCAAAATGAAACTCAAAATTTCGAAGACCAAAAAATTAGAATTGAATCATGACTCCTTCCCTAGCCATTATTTCAACTTATCCGCACCCCGAAACAATTTTTGAAATCCCCGTACCCCAACAAAACACCCCATTCAGGATGTAATACCATTTTTAATTAAAAAATAAAATATTCTAAAAATTTCCAAACCATTTGACGACAAAGTTTAGACTGTTCAAGAGCTAATTTTGTCTGTTCAATTGCAAATTTCGAATCCTCAATTAAATCACTAATCAAATTAGAATTGCCAAAATCATAAATTGAGGAATTTGACCATTGCTGGAAAGTGTTTGCTGATGGAGTTGTTTTCCAAGGATCTAAAAATAAATAATAAAAAATTAAAATAAAATAACCTTGATCTACAGAAAAATTTCCGCCAGTAAAACTTGGAGGAGGAATATAAGGAGAACCTGAAAAAACAAATTTTGATAAAAAGATAGATAAAAAATACCCGGAGCAGCAAACCAAGACGAATTCTTAAAAAAAAAAGAAAATTTAATAAGTTTTACAATTTTAGGCCATCGAAAAAAACCTGTTGCTTGTCTTCAGTATAAATTTCATCAAATGATGGTTTCGCAGTAGCCCAAACAAGTTTTGGCTGTTGGGAAGTAGTAAACGAAGTTGCATTTTTGGAAGCTTTTTGTTTGCTGAGACATCCCTTCTTCAAATTCGATTGTTGTTGATCTAATTGTGCTGTAGAAGGAGGTTGAAGAACTCCAGAAACAGACGAAAGAACTTTTACAGGAAAATCGAACATTGTCTAAAATTGAAAAAAAAATAAAACAAAATCTCAATCAAAACCTCATCAAAAATAAATCCAGAAAGTCCATATTCTCTCGATAATTTGCTGTGTAAACTATTTGTCCATTGTTTAGACCAACATCGACCAATAAGTGTCAACACTTCAACGCATTTTAGCATAAATTTATCTGCAGAATCTGCCAACTGAGGAAATTTGGCAGAAAGAGGAGTGATTGTACAATCCTACAAATGAAAAAATTGAAAATTAAACATAGGAACCATATTTCATTTCTTCTCTATTTCCAACAATTTCAACTATGACAACAAATTTTAGGCGTATAAAAGATATAGGAGGTGTGAGAAGATATGAGAAGTATCTTATTCTCAAATTTATCGTAAAACAAGCCCAAATAACAATGATTTCAATAGCTCAAAAGACCCGAATTTGATTGAAAAATGAAGACTAAATGGTAATAGTCGGTTTCGTACCCGCTCTTTTTCTGACCATTTTTTCATTTTTCCTTCTCTATCTCACTTATTTTTCATGAGGAACACGTCGAGCTGAGTCGGATGAACCAAAATCAACGTGATATGACATTATGTAGACCTATCTGAGTTGCCGACTTTTGTCATAACTTTGTTAAAACTTGTCCAATTACGTTGATTTTTGTGTCACCCGACTCATTGTCAGCTCGATGAGTTTCTCATGAAAAATAAGGGAGATAGAGAAGAAAAATGAAAAAATGGCCAGAAAAAGAGGGGGTACGAAACCGACTATTACCGATTAAATTTCTAGGAAAATAGAGAAATGAAAATGAGACCTTTAAAATTCAAAATTCCTAACAAAATTTATTAAAAATAAAAAAACCTCAACAACACAACCAATTAGAACAAAAAGCCAATGCAGAGAACTGGCACGCTGAACTTTAAATAATTCCTCCAATAATTTAGTTAATCCAACAAATAAAGTGTTCATGAATTGAAAAGCTTTGTTTAAGGAAAGTCCAGCTGGTGGCCACTGAATTATCTGAATAAAGTCACATAAAAGAATAGTCCATTTATGAGAAATTGTTCGTGAAGACGAATTGACATAAGCACTTTGTAAAATAGAAGGAATTGAGTCTAACAACAAATCAGAGAAGAGATCGATAGCGTTTCTGAAAAGTGTCAAATTTTATATGGAAATTATTGGTAAAACATGGCACGAGTAGAGAGTGGTTTTTTGTGGTTTTTCCTCTATATATAAATTTTTAGACTCGTTTCAGGTAAATAGAACGATTTTGGTAAATAATTGAGGAGAGAAATTAGGCAATAAACATGAGATATGGCGAGAGGCCCTCAGCAAATTGCTTGGCCCTCCTAAGGTTTTTAGGTATTCAAGATCAGCAACTCGGTCCCTAATTGTAGACCGAGATTCCCCTGCTAATTTGACTCGGTTTTCAAGGATCTTTCGCATGATACAGGTCCGAAAACAGAAAAAATAACCCAATGTTACCAACAAAGCCTAAAAACAATTAAAATGAAGAACTAGTAGAAAGTTGGGAGAGACCAGACTGGGAGTGTCGTACGAAAATTGAGATAATAACCAAGGTTTCGACCGAGACCTCGCCTCGGTCCAGTCTCTAGTGGAAAGGCCAAACCAATAGTAGTACCCAAAAAGGTAATAGTAGTTTGGAGTTTGCCCCCCTTTTTTCGTTTCTATTTTTTTCCCTAGTTTTTTCTTATTTTATGGCAAATTATAGCTTTCTAATTTTTGTAAGAATCATCAGATCTAGCCAATCTTTGTATCATTCGACTAAGCTCGAAGAGCTGTTTCGAATGATATATAATAAACTATATATCATGCAGGAACACGCCCAAGTAGGCACGCGGCCATAAAGGCGCAAAGCCATAACTTGCTGGAAAATTGTCAATTTTGGTACCAATCTCTTTAGCTCGATGATCGGAATCGTTTAATACTAAATTTGGTAAGATTCGGAAATCTTGAAGCAAGTTATGGCTTTGCGCCGTTATGGCCGCACGCCTACTTGGTCTGTACCCTATCATTCAACAAAGCTCAAAATGGTCGGGAAAACGGGAAAAAAGGGGGGCGAATGACAAACTATTACCCCCAAATGTTTATATACCGGGTACTTATAGGGTTTGTATCCGCCGGAAAAAATTAATTGGTTTTTTGTAAAAATGGTCAGTGCAAAAATCATTTTTTCCTTCCAAAATTTTAAAAGATTTGCCTGTGGTCACTTTCATTCACTCACTCTTCCTTCAATTCGGCAATTTTTTTGTTTTTGATTGCCTGCCTCACACATTTTGCTCTTTTTATTTGTAAATGATTGAACAAATCGATGTTTATTTAAATATTTAAAGACGGTTACAAATGAAAAAATAGGATTGTTGAAGGAAGAGTGAGTGAATGAAAGTGACCACGGGCAAATCTTCTAAAATTATGGAAGGAAAAAATTTTTACACTGACCATTTTTACAAAAAATCAAATAATTTTTTTTTCGGCGGATACAAACCCTATAAGTACCATATACCGTGTAAGCTTTTGAAGCTCAGAAGAGTGCACATTAGACTTCCATTCCTCTAAAATCCAAATCAAAGTGTCCAAAGCTTTATGTTGACTGCCAATTCTCTGTCCTTCAGTTATTGGCTTCCCATCATCATCTTTAAGTCCATTTATTGCAATTCGAAGAAGTCCTTTATGAGCTCGAGTTTCAATAGTCAAAATTAAACGTTGAATATGAATCATCATTTTATCTCTAAATTTTATATTAAAGTCGAAACAAACTGCCCGAAAATAGGAGAATGGAAATAAGGGTAGGAAGGATTATAGCCGATCTAAACTACGGAGGATTCAGAATTCGGAAAATCTTTTAACTTGAAAAAGCTCCTTTTCTTGTTATTATTTACTTTCCACGTTCTGAAGAAAATTTAAAAATTTAGCAATCTCTGACTCGAGAAATGTTTTTTAAATCCTAAGAGCTAGGGATCGAGCTGGGTCTGGACAAACTCAATCAAAACAAACATAAGTAAAAAACAAAAAATATAAAGAATTACTCATCAAAAATTTTATTTTTTTCTATAATCTACACAATATTTCGCTTATATCTTTTAAAACAAACGCCAAAATCGCGACAATTTAAAAGATAATGGAAAAAACGGTACAACTCAATTGAGTCCTGACTCAATTGAGTCCCGGACCCTACAACTTATGAAGGGATGGTCACTGTTTGTTACTCTTGGTACCATTGGATAGGGCATTAAATAGGCTACAATATACCAAAAAATCAAAATTCCTGATCGACTGGTAAAAAAGTTATGATCGATAAAGTGCCGAAAAATCCGATTTTTTTGAAAAAGTTAGTTTTTAAATCATAACTTTTTTATCAATCGGTCAAAAATTCTGAATTTGGATAAGCTCAAAATAAATATATAATTATCTTCAAATACAGGGTGTTTCAACTAAGAAATACTATTTGAAAAATCATTAACTTTTTACTGCGTTGACAGATTTAAATTGACAGATTTAAAGAGAACGATAGAGTACGGAATTATCTCGGGTTAGGGTTCTAATTTGAAAATAATTTTATGTCAAAAAATGCCATAAAATTTAGATAAAAATACCAAAAATCTTAACATCTGTCAACGTAGTAAAAAGTTATAGATTTTTCAAATATTATTTCTTAGTTGAAACACCCTGTATAATACAAACAATAATGGTCGATGGGGGCATGGGGCGTCGATAAGGAGGCCAACTAGGAGATCTCACTAAGGAATTCTCTCGATAAGTCAAAAATACGGAAATAAGTTGGGAAATAAGTTGGGGTTTAACAAAAACCCTCCAAAATCAATTCACATTTTTTTCTCTAAATTTTTTTTTCAAAATTTATTTTCGTGTAAAGTGTCACATTGAAAAACTCTATCAAATCTTAACAAATTTATCAGAATTTTATTCCCTCAAAAAAACTTTACTTCTGAGGAGAAGTAGCTGTGGACGTCGAATTAATAGTTGATGGCTCTTCCTTCGTTCCTTGCTCCCCTCCATCCTTCTTTGCCTCACCAACGACCTCTTCCTTCTTCTCATCCTCTCCCTTAGTGGAAGTATTAGTGGCGCTCTTGGATTTGTCTGCAACTGGATGACGGTAGTAGCGACGATGGAAACGTTTCTTGTTGGAACGCTAAAAATAGAATTTGAATTATTTTATAAAGGAAAAAAGGGCGGGAGAGAGGGGGAAGAGAAAGGAACCATCGAATTAATACAAATTTTCCCCAAAAACCGTCCATTTGCTAAAAAGGAAATTTCGAACCTTAATGGGCCTCATTTTCCCTTTCTTATTTGTCCATCGTTTCAGCTGTTATTCTACAACTAAATCAATCAAAGGGATTAAATTTGAACCTTAGACAAATACGAGAATTGAAAAAAGATCTCATTTTAATTAGGGAATGGACGATTTTCAAATCTCTTCACAAAAAACTCCGTTTGAATAACAAAAGATTAGAAGGGTGACAGAATGGACATGAGGTAAAAATAACATGTCAGAAATGTGGAATTGAACAATCACCCTGTCGGAATAATTACACAAAATTAATCCGTTTTGATTGATTCAAAAATTGTACAAGGTAAAACAAGGGAAAATAGGGAAGAAATGAAAATTACACCAACTATTGCTTGATGACACTACCTGGAAGGTCCAAAAAATCCTAGAGAACTCCCCAAAATAAAAATTATAAAAAAATTAAACCGTTTTTCCTTCAGTAGTCTTTTCATCATGAACGACCGCCTTTCCTTCACCTTCAATAGCCTTTTGATGACGGTTCCCATTCTTTTCACCACCAGCATCCACCTTCTTCCCCATATTGCTATTTTGTTTATGCTCTACAGTGTTGTTGTCATTTCGGCGCTGACCAGCAGGATAACGACCAGGCATCATTGGAAGTTGGCGGAAACGCGGATATGTATGGTAGAAAGTACCTTTATACATATAACCAATAGTCTTGCCAACACGAACACCACCGGGACCAGAAACGCAGACAGCTTCAGGACCTTTCAGTCCCTCAATTATATCAAACTCGACCTAAAATTGAGAGAAAACAATGTTTCTGGAGTCGTTAAAGTTAAAACCTGTTGATTCTCAATCAAAGCAAGAGGCACATTAACTGTACGAAGAATGGCGGAGGCGTGAACGAAGCAGTCCTTTTCCGAACCATCAACACGAATGAAACCATATCCTTAAATTAAGAGAGTTATGAAGAGTAAAACAAATTGAAAATCTAAACGAGGAACTTTAGGGAATTTATGCTTACTATTAAACAGGAATAGGACGAGATTAGAGGTTTTGTTTGAACCAAGGTTTCGTTAACGATAAGACAAGTTAAGAAAACTCTCGTTCGCCCCACACCCCTTGGTTAAAGGCTTGATACACGGCGTAAAAAAATTTCAAAAAGAGTTCAGAAAATAGGCTTCGTGGAAGGTATCAAAATCCAAATCGGAACTAGGTTTCTGGCATGAGTCAGTTCACAGGAATGGAGTCAAGAAAAACTCTCAGCAAGTTCAAAACCAAGAACCAAACTCTAAGCTCACCAAAAACAACGTCCTGGCCTACCCCACCCCGTTCTATTCTCGAAGCTCATCCAAAAGAAATCAAACCTTTGGCCACACTAAACCATTTAACAATTCCATGTTGAGCACGCCCAATAACAATCGGACCACGCAACTGACGAACACGCTTCTCCAAACTTTCGCCATTCATAGAGTCAGTAGAAAGTTTTTTGTCCATTTTCTCCGCTACTCCATCCACTCGTTTTTCCAAATTAAGTTCGCCAACTCGCTTAGCCAGATCAGTTTCAACAGTCATTTGTTTTTAACGTCAATAAATTTTTATGAAAATCTTAATAAAAATAAAAAGAAAATGATTAAGGGTTCTTGTCTAGTTTATGAGTCCAAGACACATTTATCCGTCGAATCGATCTTTACGTTTACAGGATAAGTTGACAACTTTATTTGTACTAGAGATCGACACGGGAGGGATCCCGGACGGGATTTTACGAGATCCCGCCCCGAAATCCCGGGTTTTTGCTCCGAGCGGGATTACCGGGATTCCAGGCATTAATCCCGCGGGATCCCCCGTTCAATATTTTCAAACTCAATCAAGTTACGGGATCCCGGAAATGCGATTTTTCCGATCTCTAATTTGTAACATGAGAGTGTCAAAGGTCTGTTTTTAAGAGAACACCTTCCTTCATTAACTGGTTACTAACAACCTATAAATCATGTTAAAGAAGAGCAAAAACCCCGACCATCCTGCTAAATTCTCAAAATTGATGGACGCATAGAAATTCGATTGGACATAAACTAGACAGAAGCCCAAACAAATTCAAGAATAAAAGAAATCAGTAAATGAATGAACTAAAACCCAAATAAAAAACAAAAAAAAGTTACCAAATCTTTTTAGGTCAAGTGATTTAAAAATTCGAAAAAATTTCAAAATATCTAGAAATTATTTGGTCAAACGGGCATTTTATGAAATTTCGTCGAATGGAAATTTTGTTATCGATTTTTGGGCGCTATTTTTTAATTTAAATTCGATTTGTGTGCATTTAGAGTCCAAACGTTTTACCTTTTTAATTTTTTTCAATACTCGCGAGTTTAGTTGACTGTTAAATGTCGTGAATAGATTGAGGTTTTTAGGAAATTAAAAAAAAGCCGATCCTTAACCTTTGTGTCCCTCTTACCGACCGTGACAAGATTTTTGACTTCATTTCGGAGAAAAATTTAAAATAAAACTTTCCAATGTCTTTGCGCGCTTAACTCTGGATTCAACAAAAATCGAGAATTCTTGGATCACAACAAAAACCGATTTTTAGTTTAAGAAATTTTTCTCTCAATTCCTTCAATCGTTTTAAATTTTATTTTACAAATTTTTTCTGCCAACCTGTCAATTAAAGATCGGCCTGGATTTAAGACCAAGGTTTTTCCTGTACCCAGAGTTCAGGCTCAGGCGTTTTTTTGACCTTCCTAGGTTTTTCCTAGGCCTCAGTTTTTCCTTGCCTACAGGCCCAGAATCCGGCCCAGGTCCATAAATCAAACCCCCAGGAATATGCCCAGACTTTTCAAAAATACTTATCTCTGCTATCAATAATCATCTGACATTTCTAATTTATTTTTTATCCTTCCCAGAGATTTCCTTTTTTAATTTTTTCTTCAATTTTCAGTTTAAATAGAGCACCAAAAATGGCATATAGATATCAATATTATAGCAACTTTCAACAATCTCCACAACCTCTCTACAAACAGCAAAGCTTTCGAATGCAGCCTGATCATCTTATTCGAACTGTTACGACATCAAAAATTTTGCAGGAACAGCGAGCGGCTGAGGAAAAGGCTAAAGCAGCAATGCCGCCTTACGGGTTTTTTTTTTATTTTTTTTCTGAGTTTACTTGAGAAACTCACTTGTTAGTTTCTTTTTTTGAACCCTTTACCTTACTCCAATTGATGGAAAATTTAAACTATTTCAGGGGTTTTCTGCAAAAAACACGGTTTTTCTGTACTGCCCCTTTGTGTCCATTAAGAAATTTATTGGTGAATTCCGAGGGTTTTAATGCGTTAATGTAGGGTAGCACCCCGTCCACAGAAACCCGATGAATTTTTAGCCAAAAACCCCGACTCGAACCACGAAGGCTCTACCCCGACAAACTCCGATCCCCGACAATCCCGTCCACGAAGGCTCGGGGTGCTACCCCACTTTAATATGTCGATGGGTCTTCTTAACTTTGAGGAGACTTCAAGGGGCAGGAGCTTCTATTAGGGATAGGCTTCTATTGAAATATTTACGTTATTTTTTTGACTACCAAAATCTCGTATTTTCTAGAGCTAATATAGGGGAATCGTTTTTAAAAGTTTACGAGAGTAACTCCTCCTGGTTTAGTTTTTTTCCAGCCTAAAAATTAGGGTTGCGTCTCGAATCCTGAGGGCACGTTTTTCGCGGTGCGTTGGAAGATGACTGACAGAAACACAATTTATTGTCAGTCATACTCCAAAGCACCTCGAAAAACGCACCCTCAGGATTCGGGCGCAACCCTACTGAAAATGTGGGATTTGAGTGGGGTCTTTCAAAACCTCAATTCCTTTTTTGGATTAATTTTAAATTTTTTTAGAAGTGTTCGTATGCGTCCTGAGATTCTAATTCAAGCGGTCACAGAATCAAAATTGGCTCGAAAGCGTGCTGTCACTGCTGCCAGACTTGAGGCGAAAAGAGCTGTTGATTCGGAAAAATTGATGGTCCGTAGGGCTATTACTCCACCAGATTTTGGGTCATTAAAGGATAATTCGATGTTGAAACTTGCTGATTTTGTGCCGGTTTGTTTTTTATTATTTTTAAAAATTTTTTGGGTTCTCCAAACAGTCTATAGCTTTTTGTGTTTAAAAAAGTCCTCTCCATCCAATATAGGAAATTAGGCTAGCAATAGAAATTCATTAACTAATGAGCTTTGAATTTATAAAATTTTATCATTATAACGGTTGAAAACATTTTGCCAATATTTGGGCCTTTTTTTTTGCTAATTATTCTCCTAATTTTTCTCCCCTTTCTCCCATTTCGGAGGGGGGGGGCTTTAGCCCCCAGAAGCCCCCCCTTGACTACGCCCTTGGTGTTTACGGATGCGGTTAATATCCACATACCGGATATCCTAACAATAAGACTGGCCGGATATAATTATGAAGGTTGATGGTGTTTACGAGGATAACTCCTGTTTTAGTCTCGCTACTGCCAACTTGAGGCGAAAAAAGCTGTTGATTTGGAAAAACGTGTTGACGGGGAAGAGTTCCCAAAATTTCCGAAATTTCCGACAGCTCAATAATCACCAAATTATTTCTTTTGTAGGGAGTACCGCCTAGCTATGAAAAAGAATTTAGCTATAGAGAGTTGACTATGCCTGTTCCGTTGCCATCTGATGGGCTTTATTCGAAAGAGCAAATTCTGATTATTGGAGCACAGGTTTGATTTTTAGGAAAAAAATTTTTTTAGAAAATTTAAAAATTTTTTAAAGGTTGTTATTAATGCACAGAAAGCTGGGGCTTAATTTGGAAGTGACTGACCTTCAACACAAAAAGGAAAATATTTATTTTAGATAATTAAAAGGTATATAAAAGGTGAATTGCTAAAAAAATGTGTAGTCGAATCTCACTATAAGATATACCCTTTGGGTTAAAAATTGTCTCTTATAATGAGCGTATGTTAAATAGAGGGTATCGCTTTGTAGCTCCCCACCCATTGATTAATATGAAGGGTATCTTAAATAGAGGTTTTCCTTGTTTTGGAGGAGTTCCTTATACCGAGGTGTCCCTTAAATAGAGGTACTTTGTGGGGTATCTTAAATAGAGGGTATCTCTTAGACAGCTATCCCCCACACAGTTTTAACCAAATTTATCTTAATTTGAGGTTCTCTGAATTCTGTAGAGGTTCTCCTTGTTTTGGGGGTACCTTATATCGAGGTGTACCTTAAATAGAGGTACTTTGTGGGGGTCCCTTAAATACAGTGTATCTCTTAGACAGCTATTCTCCACACCGTTTAAACTAAATTGTACCTTACATGGAGGTTCTATATATTTTTGGGGGAATCTTATAGTGAGGCTGGATTGCTATATATTTTATGTTTTTCTCTCAATTTCTCTCCTTTACTATTTAAATTTTACTCTTCTCCAAAATATGGATATTTTTTACTAAATATTTAAATTTTTTCTTCCTTTTTTGTCCATTTATTTTTAAAATAAAAATTAATTTGTTGTAAATTGCCAACATGGCTAGTCTCGGTCCGAACATCAAATTAGGTCCTCCGAAAGAGGTTTGGTTGGCTCGACTCGAAAATAGCAACACTTTTAAGTATTTTGATGGATTTTAAAAGATTAGAGCAGAGGTGGGTCGGAACAGTCAGAGGTGTCGGAAATCGGAAGAGCCGAAATCGGAACTGGCTCAAAAGTCGGAAATCGGAACCCAAATTTTTTTTCGGAAATCGGAAGGAAAAGTCGGAAATCGGAATTCCGACCCGCCTCTGATTGGAAGCAGGGCTGTGGGGATGTGAATAAACTCGAAAATTGTCCCAGCCGCTGATTAACCTTTTGCACTAACTAAAAGAGAGAATTAGTTCATTTTTTGTAACCTAAAAATCCTTTTAAAACAATTTTTATAACAAAGAAAGTGGTAGCGACGTTTAATCAATAAATTAATATTAAACAATTTTTGTTGCTGCGCGAATTGAGCATTTTTGCTTTTTATTTTATTTTTTTTAAAATAAATTTTTATTTTTAATATTTTTGGGAGTAAATTGTATTTTTATTGCGTCTTATATCTTGGAAATTTTTGTACTTTCAAATTAAACTTTTTATACTTAATATTTTCTCGATCGGAAAACTTTTTACATAACATTATTTTACGCTAGGCCCGTTTCTATTATATTAGTGTTTCACCGGAACCGAATTTTTGACCGGAACCGGAACTAATTTGAGTTCCGGAATTGGAACTTTTTCTTGGTTCCGGCCCGGAACTTTAGGTGAAACTCTACAATTTATGGCATTTTTATAAATAATAAACCCTTCCCCAACTTCGGAGGAGGGGGGAATTCCCTCTTCCCCTGGCTACGGATCGTTCGGATATGATTATGAACTTCATATCCTCAACTAGGCACGTCTAATAGAACCACCAAATTAATTATTAATTAATCACATTTTTAACAATCTACTCAAAAATCAAAATATTACAGGGTATTTCAACTAAGAAATACAATATAACACAACACACCCTGTGTAATACAAATAATAATGGTCGATAGGGGCAAGGGCTAGGATAAGGTCGATAAGGAGGCCAACTAGGAGGTCTCACTAAGGAATTCTCTCGATAAGTCTTTATATACAAGAGAAAAAGGGTTGGAATGTGGAATAGAAAATGATGAAAAGCAATAGGTCAATGTCGGAAATTTAAATACATTAAAGGAAATATGAAAGATGGGAAAATAATATAAAATGATTATAAAATGATGAGTGGTAAAAACAAAGGATATATTTGAGGAAAAATTACGTCATATATCCCAGAACCAGATTCGGACAAAAGATATGTAGTTCGAAAGAGCTCCTCGAGCTGAGTCGAATGACACCAAAATTAGCTTCGGGACTCACAAATGAGCCAAGATATAGGTTCCTCGAAAATCGAAAACCCATAGGGAAAATCAAAGAACCATCGATTTTGCAATGATAGCTCATTCAAAAGAGCTCCTCGAGCTGAGTCGAATGACACCAAAATCAGCTAGAGATCTTGATTCTGAGCCAAGATAAACAGGTTCAAAATGGTTAACCTAAACCTATGGAGCTTGTGCCTCGCGGGGTCTACGGCCGCTGGGTTCTTAACATAAGGCTGTACTTTAGCCGGTGGCCGGTTCGAAATATTTGGGAGCAGGCCAACGTACCGCGAGCCCAACGTACCGCAGAGCTATAACTTCGTTCAAAATGGTCGAATCCGGGACGCCCTGATATGTTTCGATTCAGCTCGTCGAGATGCATCGACCCATACCAAGGCGTCCCGGATTCGACCATTTTGAAAGAAGTTATAGCTCTGCGGTACGTTGGGCTCGCGGTACGTTGGGGTGTACCCGAAATATTTACCATTAGATTCGACTCAGCGAGCTGAGTCGAATGGTACCACTCCCAGGGTGCGGCCTGTGGACCGATATGTCTCCGAAAACCGAGAAACCATAGGGGGTGAGGAGTCCGCCTAACCTTATCAGGCAATCTAACAAAAACTAATTTAAATATAAAAATCACATTTTTAGATTTTATCCCGAACATTTTATCTTTAAAAAAATAACCTTTTTTTATTCAAGAAAAAAAAGAAATGAATTGAAAATTTAACAAAAACCCCCCAAAATCAATTCACATTTTTTTTTCTCTAATTTTTTTTTCAGAATTTATTTTCGTGTAAAGTGTCACATTGAAAAACTCTATCAAATCTTAACAAATTTATCAGAATTTTATTTTCCCTCAAAAAAAAAACTTTATTTCTGAGGAGAAGTAGCTGTGGACGTCGAATTAACAGTTGATGGCTCTTCCTTCGTTCCTTGCCCCTCTCCATCCTTCTTTGCCTCACCACCGACGACCTCCTCCTTCTTCTCATCCTCTCCCTTGGTGGAAGTATTAGTGGCGCTCTTGGATTTGTCTGCAACTGGATGACGGTAGTAGCGACGATGGAAACGCTTCTTGTTGGAACGCTAAAAATGGAATTTGAATTTTTTATAAAGGAAAAAAGAAGGAAGAAAGAAAATGGGGAAAAGGGTAAACTTAAATTATAAATTTTCCCCCGAAAAAGACACCAAGATATATTTGTTAAAAAGGAAATTCTGAACCTTAAGGGCCTTGTCTCATCCCTTATTTGTTGGAACGCTAAAAATAAATTTTGAATTCCTTTTTATAAAGGAAAAAAAAAGGAGGGGGAAGAGAAACTCAAAATTACTACAAATTTTCCCGAAAAAATCGTCCAAAATATTTTCGTTAATAAGGAAATTTCGAACCTTTAGGGCCTCGTTTTCATTTCTTATTTGTCCTGTGTTTCAGTTGTGACAACTAAATCAATCAAAAGGATCAAGTTTGAACCTTATAGACAAATATGAGAAATGAAAAAAATTCTCATTCTGATTAGGCAAGGAACAATCTCAAATCTCTTCATGAAAAACTACTTTAGTATAACAAAAGATTAGAAGGGTGCCCCGAGAGAATGGACATGAGCATGTCAAGAATGTGGAATCGAACAATCTCCTTGACGGAATAATTACACAAAATCAATCCATTTTGATTGATTCAAAAAATGTCAAAGGTTGAGAAAAAGGTAAAATAGGCAAGAGATTGAAAGACCCAACTATTGCTTAATAAAATGCTTGGAAGGTCCCAAAAACCCATGACACTGTTTAAAAAGTCCCAAAAACCCTAGAGAACTCCCCAAAATAAAAATTACAAAAAATTAAACCGTTTTTCCTTCAGTAGTCTTTTCATCATGAACGACCGCCTTTCCTTCACCTTCAATAGCCTTTTGATGACGGTTCCCATTCTTTTCACCACCAGCATCCACCTTCTTCTCCATATTGCTATTTTGTTTATGCTGTACAGTGTTGTTGTCATTTCGGCGCTGACCAGCAGGATAACGACCAGGCATCATTGGAAGTTGGCGGAAACGCGGATATGTATGGTAAAAAGTACCTTTATACATATAACCAATAGTCTTGCCAACACGAACACCACCGGGGCCAGAAACGCAAACAGCTTCAGGACCTTTCAGTCCTTCAATTATATCAAACTCGACCTAAAATTGAGAGAAATAATGTTTCTGGAGTCGTTAAAGTAAAAACCTGTTGATTCTCAATCAAAGCAAGAGGCACATTAACTGTACGAAGAATGGCGGAGGCGTGAACGAAACAGTCCTTTTCCGAACCATCAACACGAATAAAACCATATCCTTAAATTATGAAAGTTGAGAAGCGTAAACCAAAATGAAAACTAAACGAGGACCTTTAGTGAAATTTATGCTTACTATTGACCAGGAATTGGACGAATTAGAGGTTTTGTTTGAACCAAGGTCTTGGTCTAGATAAGACGAGTTAAGAAAGCTCTTGTTCGCCCCACACCCCTTGGTTAAGGGCTTGATACACGGCGTAAAAAAATTTCAAAAAGAGTTCAGAAAATAGGCTTCGTGGAAGGTATCAAAATCCAAATCGGAACTAGGTTTCTGGCATGAGTCAGTTCACAGGAATGGAGTCAAGAAAAACTCTCAGCAAGTTCAAAACCAAGAACCAAACTCTAAGCTCACCAAAAACAACGTCCTGGCCTACCCCACCCCGTTCTATTCTCGAAGCTCATCCAAAAGAAATCAAACCTTTGGCCACACTAAACCATTTAACAATTCCATGTTGAGCACGCCCAATAACAATCGGACCACGCAACTGACGAACACGCTTCTCCAAACTTTCGCCATTCATAGAGTCAGTAGAAAGTTTTTTGTCCATTTTCTCCGCTACTCCATCCACTCGTTTTTCCAAATTAAGTTCGCCAACTCGCTTAGCCAGATCAGTTTCAACAGTCATTGTTTTTAAACGTCAATAAATTTTTATGAAAATACTGAAAAACAAACAGAAAATGATTAAAAGCTCTTGTCCAGTTTATGAGTCCAATGACACCTTTATACGTCCAATCGATCCCTACGTTTACAGGTAACATTGACAACTTTATTCATAAGATGAAGGTGTCAAAGGTCTGTTTTAAAAGCTCACCTTCCTTGCTTCATTAACAGATATAAAATTTATGGCCCTATCGCAAATGAGGTGCGTAATCATATTTTTTCTCCTTCCTTCCTCAAGTTAAAAATGGGGAACTTTTTCCTTAGTATTTTGGGGAACTTTTTCCTTGGGGAACTTTTTCAATGGGGAACTTTTTCCTTAGTACAATTAGTAAGGAGAAATAATGTAAGAGGAGTAATTGTTTTCATTTTCTTTTCTATCCGTGTTTTGACTGACCGTGTCTCAAAACTGTCCGTGTTTTGACTGTTTTTCAGACTAAACGGTTTTTCAGTCAGTTTCAGTCGTGTTTTGGCTGTTTTTCAGACAAAATTGCCCCTGTTTTGACTGTGAAAATACGGTCAGTCAAAACATGAACAAAAAACAAAATGTAAAAAATTAATCCTCTTGCATCATTTTTCCTTACGGCGAAATCAGCATACATTAAAAACTAAGGAAAAAGTTCCCCATTTTTAACTTGAGGAAGAAAGGAGAAAAATATGATTACGCACCTCATTTGCGATAGAGCCAAATTTATTTTGCCCCATTAAAATTTGCTGGTTTCAGTAAAAGAATCGAACTTTATTAATAGGCTTTTGTCGACGACGAGTATTTTTTGAAATTTCGTCATGTTAAAGAAGACCAAAAACCCCGACCAATCTTGCCTCAACTAAATTCTCAAAATTTATCGACGCCTAAAAGTACATAAACTAGACAGAAGCCCAAACAAATTCCAGAATAAAAGAAATCAGTAAATGAATGAACAAAACTCCAAATAAAAAACAAAAAAAGGTGACGAAATCTTTTTAGGTCAAGTGATTTAGAAATTCGAAAAAATTTCAAAATATCTAAAAATCATCTGGTCACGATGGGTATTTTATGAAATTTCGTCGAATGGGAATTTTGTTATCGATTTTTTGGGCGCTATTTTTTTATTTAAATTTATGTGCACTTAGAGTCTCAACGTTTTACCTTCTTAATACTCGCGGTTTTATTGACTGTTAAATGTAGTGAATAGATTGAGGTTTTTAACCAATTAAAAATTAGTCGATCCTTGACCTTTGTGTCCCTCTTACCGGCCGAGACCAGATTTTTGCCCTTACTTCAGGAAAAATTTAAAATAAAACTTTCAAATGTCTTTACGCGTTTAACTCTGGATTCAACAAAAATCAAGAATTCTTGGATCCACACCAAAAACCGATTTCTAGTTTAAGAAATTTTTCCAATTCCTTAGAAATTTTTAAATTTTGTTTTACATTTTTTGCCACCCTTTCTTTAGAGATCGGCCTGGATCTTAGACCAAGGCCTGGGTTTTTCTGTACCCAGAGTCCAGGCTCAGGCATTTTTTTACCTTCCTAGGTTTTTCCTAGGCCTCAGTTTTTCCTTGCCTACAGGCCCAGAATCCGGCCCAGGTCCATAAATCAAACCCCCAGGAATATGCCCAGACTTTTCAAAAATACTTATCTCTGCTATCAATAATCATCTGACATTTCTAATTTATTTTTTATCCTTCCCAGAGATTTCCTTTTTTAATTTTTTCTTCAATTTTCAGTTTAAATAGAGCACCAAAAATGGCATATAGATATCAATATTATAGCAACTTTCAACAATCTCCACAACCTCTCTACAAACAGCAAAGCTTTCGAATGCAGCCTGATCATCTTATTCGAACTGTTACGACATCAAAAATTTTGCAGGAACAGCGAGCGGCTGAGGAAAAGGCTAAAGCAGCAATGCCGCCTTACGGGTTTTTTTTTTATTTTTTTTCTGAGTTTACTTGAGAAACTCTCTTGATATTTTCTTTTTTTGAGCCCTTTTAACTTACTCCAATTGCTGGAAAATTTAAACTTTTTAGGGGTTTTCTACAAAAACACGTTTTTTTCTGGACTGCCCCTTTGTGTCCATTAAGAAATTTATTGGTGAATTCCGAGGGTTTTAATGCGTTAATGTAGGGTAGCACCCCATCCCTCGAAACCCGATGAATTTTTAGCCAAAAACCCCGACTCGAATCACGAAGGCTCTACCCCGACAAACTCCGATCCCCGACATTCCCGCCTCCGAAGGCTCGGGGTGCTACCCCACTTTAATATGTCGATGGGTCTTTTTAACTTTGAGGAGACTTCAAGGGGCATAAGCTTCTATTAGGGATAGTCTTCTATCAGAATATTTACGCTATCCTTGTGACTACCAAAATCTCTATTTTATAGAGCTAATATAGGGGAATCGTTTTTAAAAGTTTACGAGAGTAACTCCTCCTGGTTTAGTTTTTTTCCAGCCTAAAAATTAGGGTTGCGTCTCGAATCCTGAGGGCACGTTTTTCGCGGTGCGTTGGAAGATGACTGACAGAAACACAATTTATTGTCAGTCATACTCCAAAGCACCTCGAAAAACGCACCCTCAGGATTCGGGCGCAACCCTACTGAAAATGTGGGATTTGAGTGGGGTCTTTCAAAACCTTGATTCCTTTTTTGGATTAATTAAAAAAATTTTTTAGAAGTGTTCGTATGCGTCCTGAAATTTTAATTAAAGCGGTTACAGAATCAAAATTGGCTCGACAGCGTGCTGTAACTGCTGCCAGACTTGAGGCGAAGAGAGCTGTTGATTCGGAAAAATTGATGGTGCGTAGGGCTATTACTCCACCAGATTTTGGGTCATTAAATGATAATTCGATGTTGAAACTTGCTGATTTTGTGCCGGTTTGTTTTTTGTTATTTTTTAAAATTTTTTGGTTTCTCCAAACAGTCCCTAGCTTTCTGATTTTGAAAAAAGTCCTCTCCATCCAACATAGGAAATTAAGTTAGCAATAGAAATTCATTAACTGAATGAGCTTTGTAATTTTTAAAATTCTATCATTAGAACGGTTGAAAAAATTTTACCAATATTTGGGCCTTTGAATATTCAGAACTAGTTGTGCTCACGGATGCGGTTAATATCCACATACCGGATATCCTAACAATAAGACTGGTCGGATACGATTATGAAGGTTGATGGTGTTTACGAGGATAACTCCTGGTTTAATCTCGCTACTCCCAACTTGAGGCGAAAAAGCTGTTGATTCGGAAAAGCGTGTTGACGGGGAAGAGTTCCCAAAATTTCCGAAATTTCCGACAGCTTACTAACCACCAAATTATTTCTTTTGTAGGGAGTACCGCCTAGCTATGAAAAAGAATTTAGCTATAGAGAGTTGACTATGCCTGTTCCGTTGCCATCTGATGGGCTTTATTCGAAAGAGCAAATTCTGATTATTGGAGCACAGGTTTGATTTTTAGGAAAAAAATTTTTTTAGAAAATTTAAAAATTTTTTAAAGGTTGTTATTAATGCACAGAAAGCTGGGGCTTAATTTGGAAGTGACTGACCTTCAACACAAAAAGGAAAATATTTATTTTAGATAATTAAAAGGTATATAAAAGGTGAATTGCTAAAAAAATGTGTAGTCGAATCTCACTATAGGATATACCCTTTGGGTTGAAAAATTGTCTCTTATAATGAGCGTATGTTAAATAGAAGGTTCGCTTTTGTAGCTCCCCACCCATTGATTAATATGAAGGGTATCTTAAATAGAGGTTTTCCTTGTTTTGGAGGAGTTCCTTATACCGAGGTGTCCCTTAAATAGAGGTACTTTGTGGGGTATCTTAAATAGAGGGTATCTCTTAGACAGCTATCCCCCACACAGTTTTAACCAAATTTATCTTAATTTGAGGTTCTCTGAATTCTGTAGAGGTTCTCCTTGTTTTGGGGGTACCTTATATCGAGGTGTACCTTAAATAGAGGTACTTTGTGGGGGTCCCTTAAATACAGTGTATCTCTTAGACAGCTATTCTCCACACCGTTTAAACTAAATTGTACCTTACATGGAGGTTCTATATATTTTTGGGGGAATCTTATAGTGAGGCTGGATTGCTATATATTTTATGTTTTTCTCTCAATTTCTCTCCTTTACTATTTAAATTTTACTCTTCTCCAAAATATGGATATTTTTTACTAAATATTTAAATTTTTTCTTCCTTTTTTGTCCATTTATTTTTAAAATAAAAATTAATTTGTTGTAAATTGCCAACATGGCTAGTCTCGGTCCGAACATCAAATTAGGTCCTCCGAAAGAGGTTTGGTTGGCTCGACTCGAAAATAGCAACACTTTTAAGTATTTTGATGGATTTTAAAAGATTAGAGCAGAGGTGGGTCGGAACAGTCAGAGGTGTCGGAAATCGGAAGAGCCGAAATCGGAACTGGCTCAAAAGTCGGAAATCGGAACCCAAATTTTTTTTCGGAAATCGGAAGGAAAAGTCGGAAATCGGAATTCCGACCCGCCTCTGATTGGAAGCAGGGCTGTGGGGATGTGAATAAACTCGAAAATTGTCCCAGCCGCTGATTAACCTTTTGCACTAACTAAAAGAGAGAATTAGTTCATTTTTTGTAACCTAAAAATCCTTTTAAAACAATTTTTATAACAAAGAAAGTGGTAGCGACGTTTAATCAATAAATTAATATTAAACAATTTTTGTTGCTGCGCGAATTGAGCATTTTTGCTTTTTATTTTATTTTTTTTAAAATAAATTTTTATTTTTAATATTTTTGGGAGTAAATTGTATTTTTATTGCGTCTTATATCTTGGAAATTTTTGTACTTTCAAATTAAACTTTTTATACTTAATATTTTCTCGATCGGAAAACTTTTTACATAACATTATTTTACGCTAGGCCCGTTTCTATTATATTAGTGTTTCACCGGAACCGAATTTTTGACCGGAACCGGAACTAATTTGAGTTCCGGAATTGGAACTTTTTCTTGGTTCCGGCCCGGAACTTTAGGTGAAACTCTACAATTTATGGCATTTTTATAAATAATAAACCCTTCCCCAACTTCGGAGGAGGGGGGAATTCCCTCTTCCCCTGGCTACGGATCGTTCGGATATGATTATGAACTTCATATCCTCAACTAGGCACGTCTAATAGAACCACCAAATTAATTATTAATTAATCACATTTTTAACAATGATACTATAAATTAGCCTTCCCTCATGTTGTAGTATATTTTTCTTATTTTTTAGTAAAATTTCCTAAAAAAGTTATTTTTAGAAATATTTAAATGGTAGCTACTTTAATTGTTATATTTTATATCCTTTTTTTAATGAGTTATAGTGGATCTATGTTTGTACAAATTGGTTATTGGTTATTAGAAACATACTTTATCGATGGAATAAATAATATAATGTTTGTAGATTCCCAATTAAATTTAATTAGAAGAAGACAAATAGAAGGGGAAGAATACAGAATAAATTAATTTTTAAAAAGAAATTAAACTTATGTTTAAATAATTAATTTAAAATGATTAAATATTTTTTAAAAATTATTTTAAATTAGGGCTCTGATATGTAGGAAAAATGTTAAGTTTATCTAAGTTAAGTACAATTCAAAATATCACAATAATAAATTTTGGAAAGCATACATATAATTTTTTAACCAAAAAGTCCATTTGTAAGTACGTATTCGCAAAAAAAATTTTTGTCAGTATGGAGGCCGCTTTGCAAGTAAATCAGTCAGCATGCAGTCAGATAAATTATGTTAATAATAATTTTTATAACATAGCTTGTTGCAATTACTTTTATAGCATAATAACCATTGTTTAACGTTGCTATAAATGGATCGTATATGTTTGTAGATCAGTCCCTGATCTCCTTTCGTCTGTTCCAGTCCAACTTCACTTACATTGTACAGGGTGTTTCTTTGCTTTAGATAAACGTTATTCCAGAGCTTGTTGATTTTGGCAAATTTAAAATATTAGAGATCTCAACCTTAGGTATAATCATGAAAATTTGAGGCCTCTGGAAGGAGGATGTCTACTAACAAAGTGATACCCTCTTTTTAAGATACACCTCATTATAAGGAACGAATTTTATTTACAGGGGTTAATCTTATGAGGTCTTTAAATTGCGCATTCATCTATTTTGTTATAAAAGGGTTTAATTTAATCACAGATTCTGTATTTTGACAATGAGCACAATTGAGAATCTGTGGACAATTAAATTGTGATTTTTTGAAGATCCCCCAGATCAATTCTCAAGTTTAACTAAACGATTAAATAAACAGAATAAATTGATTGTAAAAAGTATGAGGGGTGTCAGTTGTTGTCGTTTTTAATAGATCTATAAAATAATTAAAGAAGAAAGCAAGGGAAATTGGGCTGAATTAAGCCAAAAATATTTAAAGCAAGGTCCATTGTTTCGAGAATAATTATAAATATTTTTATTTCCAAATAAATGCTACAGAATAATAGACGAATTAAGAAGGCTGAGGTTTTTTTAAATTTTAAAATTCTCCTCATAGTTTTGGGACAGAGTGTACTAAGGAAGGAAAATCTTTGTAGGCTTCAAGGCCTTGCAGGCAAAAAGCTTCAAACTTTTTGTATAAAGGACTCGCATCTCTATTTAAGACTATTCATTTTTTAATTTTATTGGTGATTGGGTTTGGGAGCTATCTAAGTACGCCTGATATGAAATGAATTTTCTGTCTTAAGGGAGTATTTAATAGTTAGGCCTTGTAAAATTACCCCAAACAAATTCTTATAACAATTTAAATTAATTAGAATCAACAGCAGCACTTATTTGATGACAACAGCCATTTGAGTTTAAATCGTCGATGGAGTGAACAATTAGCTAATTGTGAAAATACAAATAATTTTGTTCAGCCAGAAAATGTTAATTAATTTTAAATTTTTTAAACAAAAAATTTATTTTGGAAGGGATACTTGTAAGGAAAAGAGTAGAAGCTATTGAGAATTTTTGAAAAGCCTCGGCCTGTTCTGGCTTCTGGGGTTTGATTTATTTGCCTGGGCCTGTAGTCCATGAAACCCCCAAGAAGGTCAAAAATGCCTGGGCCTGGACTCTAGGTACAGGAAAATTCAGGCCTTGGTCCAGGCCGAGCTCGATCTCTAATTTGTATAATACTCGGTTAGGATAATAGTATAAAATCTGATCTCAGTTGTACGTCATCCTCCCTGACAGAAAAATCTGTCATTCAAGTGTGAGTAACGTACATAAAATGGAATGGCGTACAACTGAATTCCGATTATAATTACAGACTGAGGAAGAAAAAGAAGTAGCCAAACCAATAGCCATAGTTGGAGGTATTGGAAGAGGTGAAATAAACAAAGAAGAGATGTCGACAACAACAAATAATTTATTGAACGAACAATTATTTGTTTCTTCATTTGTTAGAGCTATAATTATACCGAACAGTCAAAATACAGAATGGACAGATTTGAGAGAATTTCGTGTAAAAGAAATGAATGAAGTAAGTTACCGATAAAAGATGTAAATTTTTTTTGGAAATATTTTGAGGAAAAAAATATTTTCAGAAATTACTTCAACAATCACCCTTCCTCTATTTCACTCGATTCTTCATGTAAATTTTTAATGTAAAGCTAGAATTCTCGTAGTGCCGATCGGTAATTCGGTGAACATTGTTAAGTGGTTTTTTCAAGTAGTTAAGCTTTTTCAAACAAAGTTTTTGATCTGGGATGGAGATTTTAGAATTTCTTATATTCCGAAATGCCCTGAGTCTCTCTATTACATTATCTATTACGTCACCTCTCATGCCGAAAAAAAGAAACACATAGAAAAGGATGTAATTTCAGACAGAAAACATCCGCTGGGACCGAAATAATCACTCGTAAGAGGGAAAGTAACGTGGGAGAGGGCGACGTTGTATAGTGGAACTCTAGAATATAATCGCACCTCACTATAAAATATCCTCCTTGAGGCTGAAAAAATTAAATCCAACTAAATATAAGTCTTAAAGAATCGCCAAAGAGCCGCACATATGGAGAATACAATGCGTTGGTGGTTACTTTCGGCAGAACAATGGCGTCAGAAATGGCTAAATGTTCGAAATGAACGTAACAGATTAAAGGAAGAGAATGTTCGTTTAAAAAAAGAATTGATGGAAATTAAAAATAAAATTAAAGAAACTTAAAAATATTTATTTGAATAAATTAAGATCTTGTAAAATTGGAGGAGAAAAATTTTTGGGGTAGATACACAAGCAGGCGGAAATTCTGACAATTTTGGAAGGCCATAGTAGATGGTTTTTGGGTTTTTGGTTCTCGATTATGGAAGTATATTAGAACTCAGTTTCTTTTGTAATTTCAACTGACACCACTAGATATGATTACCGAAATTTTTTTTCGAACATCTCCTAATAACGAAATTTAAGAGGTGCTTATAATTATCTGACAGTCGATTTGGTAGAATTTTATTTATTTTCCCTACAAGCTAATTTTTGAATTGTTTGTTTTTTTCCTTTGAATATGAATTAAAAAGTCAAAAAACTGGAGGTCTTGAACTACCTATATTTAGATTTTTATAAAAATATCATTGATGATTAAAAATAGGGGAATTTTTGGATCTTGCCAAGATTATATGTTTAATCACCTATAAATTTATTTTTTACATATGTATTTAACAATATATAAAAAAATTATTTATCTAAACATTTTTGTAAAATAAATGTATGCAATTGTTTTGTGTATATATTATTTAAGTTTTCTTGTGGTGTTAGGCGGTGGTTTACAATAAAATTTTTTTGTTAAGTGTTTTTTAAAATGAATTTAAGGAGAGAAAATAAACAAAAAATAATAAGTAGAATATAATTGAATAAATCGGGGATAATATTTTTTGTGTAAAGAATCAGACAAAATTAAAATATCTTTAAATCGCACCGAGTTGATAAAATTCACTTTTTAGATAATTATTTGGAGTGGAGTGGATATTTTTTAAATATTTTCTTTTTTGAGTTTAAGTCTAGAATAAAGGGAGAGCCGTCTAGAATAAAGGGAAAGCCAGGGAGAGCCGTCTAGAATAAAGGGAAAGCCAGGGAGAGCCGTCTAGAATAAAGGGAAAGCCAGGGAGAGCCGTCTAGAATAAAGGGAAAGCCAGGGAGAGCCGTCTAGAATAAAGGGAAAGCCAGGGAGAGCCGTCTAGAATAAAGGGAAAGCCAGGGAGAGCCGTCTAGAATAAAGGGAAAGCCAGGGAGAGCCGTCTAGAATAAAGGGAAAGCCAGGGAGAGCCGTCTAGAATAAAGGGAAAGCCAGGGAGAGCCGTCTAGAATAAAGGGAAAGCCAGGGAGAGCCGTCTAGAATAAAGGGAAAGCCAGGGAGAGCCGTCTAGAATAAAGGGAAAGCCAGGGAAAGCCGTCTAGAATAAAGGGAGAGCGCGATTGACCAGAGTGATACCTTGTCAATCATGGCACTATAAGCTGCAGCTCGACGAAGATACGTCGAGCATATCAAAATTGACTAGACCAGTCTTTTATAAATGTATTTCTTTTATAAATCTGGTCATCTTGTATGGAATTAGAAGGGGTAAATCAGGGGATGCATAATTTTAAATACAATTTAATGCTAAAATATAGGCCAAAATATCGCGTCGGAAATTCTAGCTTTTCAAAGGAATGCCAAAAGATACTCATTTAAACTCAAAAATTAAATATTTAAATTAATTTTGTAATATACTTTGACTGGAACAATTTGTTTTAACTAATAAAATGCTCTAAAATGAGGGAAGAAAAGAATTTTTACAAATTCGATACATTTGGAGATTATTGTAAATAAAGGTAAAATATGTAAGTAAAATGCATAATATTGACATTGTAATTTATTTTAAAATTCTTTTGATTTTAAAAGTCCAAAAAATATGTATATTTAATTTAAAAAAATAGCAAATAATTACAATGTCAAAACACTAGATAAAATTATTGCGGAAATAAAAGGTGTGTATTTTTGATGTGGATAAAATAAGTAGCATACAATCGGACCTCATTTGTACATTATATACACGCGATACAAAATAATTTAAATAAAATTAGGTTAGCACGCGGAAAGGAAGATGTCAAGCTAAGCAATAATAATTACGATAAAAAAAATTTCTGCCCAACTGTCAAAAAGGTCATTAATATAAAAAAAACCAGTTACCGAAAAATTCTTAACTGTAATAATCATTTATTCGAATAGATAGCTAATGATTGATACTTGTAAAAAGTCAAACTTTTCTGCGTCGTTGTATAGGTACTGACCACATCAAGAAATTTAAAGCAAATACATTCCAGAAGGAATGTCTAAATATGAAATTAACTACCCTATAAGTATGCATGTTTGAAAAAAATTAATTGATAAATTTTTTGGGTGGTAAAAAATTTTTTGTTGCTTTATAAATTACTTAAAATTCCATTTAAATATAAACTATTGAAACCCCATTAAAATTCAAATTTTTCAAGAATATGCAAAAAATTTAAACAAAAATTTTCAACAAAATCTCATCTTTTGATTAACATTTTTAACATCCCTTCATTTGATAACATCACTTCATTTTTTCCCTTCTTTGCAACATTTTTGGCAAAAGCATTTAAATTTAAAAAAGTTTTTTGTTTTACAAAAGAAATTTTACTTGAAGGCGGCATAGCATTACCTTGAACCGTTTGAGCTGCCCGATTTAAGGCAGCATTCTCCGCTTTGAGTTTGACGTTTTCAGCACGTAACTCCTCAACCAATCCCACAACGTACTCTGAGGCCACTGGACTTGCAGTCGACTGGCCTTTCGGTGAAGCTTTTTTAGGCGAATTCATCTTCGCAATAATACTAGGATTGTCGTAGATCTCGTTTGGCATTTTTAAATCTAAAAAAGAAAGGTTCAAAGAAACTTTAGATAAAATAGAAATCATATTTCGAGTCTTTGAACCTTTCTTTTTTAGATTTAAAAATGCCAAACGAGATCTACGACAATCCTAGTATTATTGCAAAGATGAATTCGCCTAAAAAAGCTTCACCGAAAGGCCAGTCGACTGCAAGTCCAGTGGCCTCAGAGTACGTTGTGGGATTGGTTGAGGAGTTACGTGCTGAAAACGTCAAACTCAAAGCGGAGAATGCTGCCTTAAATCGGGCAGCTCAAACGGTTCAAGGTAATGCTATGCCGCCTTCAAGTAAAATTTCTTTTGTAAAACAAAAAACTTTTTTAAATTTAAATGCTTTTGCCAAAAATGTTGCAAAGAAGGGAAAAAATGAAGTGATGTTATCAAATGAAGGGATGTTAAAAATGTTAATCAAAAGATGAGATTTTGTTGAAAATTTTTGTTTAAATTTTTTGCATATTCTTGAAAAATTTGAATTTTAATGGGGTTTCAATAGTTTATATTTAAATGGAATTTTAAGTAATTTATAAAGCCATAAAAACGCCGCAGAAAAGTTTGACTTTTTACAATTATCAATCATTAGCTAACTATTCGAATATTCCCAGCTCTCTGGTTCATTCTAGGTTCCTAAAGGATCTATGCCAGACTTCAAAAAAACTATTCAGTATTCATACCAGCCATCGATAGGCGAAAATTAACTGTAGTTATACTTTTCATTATCTCAATAGCCCTTTTCTTACATTAGTTAAAAAAGCGTGAAAAGTATCTACACTTGAGGTCCGACTATTTTATGTCAAAATAAATTAAAAATATTTTTTAAATGCCAATTTTTAAAAATCACGTTTAAATAAAAAATCGAAAAAAAATAATATTTTTAAATAAATTTTGACATAAAACAAAAATTTCAAAAAAAGTGCCAATAATTTTGTAAATAAATTTAAAGATACCAAAAAAATAAAATAAATTTTAAAATTTTTTCATACCATCAGATTTGTTGTTGTTGCTCAATTTCCATATTTTGAGGATAAATTTCACTTTCATTTCCAACATTATATTCACTAAAATCTTGAGAGTTTGTTGTAGAATCGAGAAGAGAATTGTTGCTGCTGTTGTTAGTCCAAGCACAGCTGTTGTTTAAAATATCATGAATTCGATAACGTTCACGGATACGTGGACGGACATCTTGACCCTAAAGAAAATAAAAAGAATAATTTAGTCTGGTTTAGCAAAAAGTTAGTTTAGCACCCCTATTATATTTTCCCAATTTTAGAGGCTAAATCTGTGTTTTAAAAAAGTTGTCACCTTTAAGCCCACTAGAAATAAATTATTCGGTTATTTTTCCCTATTTTTAATATTCTCCGTATTTTAGAAATTTGTTGATTAAAATATTACACTTTGTCAAAAAATCTTTTTGAAAATAATTTTTGCTAAGAGCCAAAATCTAAACCAGAGATTTTTTAAGATTTTTTTTCTGGAAAAATAAGCCTAGTAAATCTTTTTTTCCAAAAATTCAGTCCATTTTTATGCAATTAAAATGCCACACTTAAATTTTTGATTTTATCCCTATCGTTGCTCCCTTGTCATAAAGTTACCCCCTTTTATGATTTATAAAAGAGCAGTGATTGTGCCGAAACAAAAATAGATTCCCGATTTCAGGAAGGATTGGGACTACTCCCTCTAAAGGAGTATGAGGGGGGTGAACTCTTTGTAAAGGAATACTCCCTGTAACGGAGTATGAGACTTCCTATTAAGAATTAATTTTAAACAAACCTCTCTACTTAAAGACTCCAAAAAAGGTATCAACTTCAACAATTCAGTATCATTCCTTTCAACAAACCAACTCTCAATTGGAATTCCATTGTCAATTTGATAGGCAAATGATTGAAGGCAATTGTCGATAATTACAGTTTTTGAAAGATCTCTTCCAAGGATACTCAAATCTTTGATGTAATTGCCAGCAACAAATACGCAGTGTTCACGGTAGAGACGATGACGAATAAATCGTTTCCCAGGATCAAGTAAATTCTGAAGAAATAATTTTAAAAATTAGTAGAAAAGAAAAAATTCAAACCAAAAGTTTCTCTGCATAAACTCTCTTACTCGCAGTAAAAAGAACAATTTCAAAATGATTTGACAAACGTTCAAGAAATTCGTGAAGATGAGGACGAACTCTGACAAAAACCTTAAAAACGATATTTAAAAAAATTTATTTAAAAGGTTACAAAATTATTTTGCCCAATGAGTAGGCTTGTCGGTTTTTAGAAAAGCTGTGGATATCTGAAACCGAACCAAAAGACCTAACCGAGAAAATACTCTAATCTTCGATTCGGTGCCGAAACGAGGATACCCTCCAACTACTACTATGTATAAGAATCAGCAGTGTATCAGAGGTGGGTCGGAACAGTCAGAGGTGTCGGAAATCGGAAGAGTCGGAAATCGAAACTGGCTCAAAAGACGAAACTTGAAAATGAAAATTTTTTCGGAAATCGGACGGAAAAATACGTCGGAAATCGGAATTCCGACCCACCTCTAGTGTATGGCGACTTTCCAAAAGGCCCAGGTTCGAAATCACCCAAGAATATCCCCTCTTATTCTGTATAATTATCTAAATAAAATTAAAAACCTGGAAAACTTGATCTTGAAATTCAACTTCAAAAGTCATTGCAGCATCAGGCAATTCTTCAATACTACAATGAACCAATGTCTCATCCAAATCCAAAACTAGCGAATAAAGAGGCGTAGATCTTGTCCTTATAGGAAGTGCTGGACTTCGATAACGCATTTCTTCTGTTGGAGGAGGCAAACTTTGAAGTAAAGCAATGCTAGAAAAATAAAGAAAATAAGGAATTGGTAAAAGACTATATAGCATTCTAATTTTAAATTATTTTGGAAATAATGAGTTGATTGAGATTTTTTAACAGACATTTTTTTAAATTTTCTTAAAAATTTTTTTAAACCTTTCCTTACCCAAAAATACAAAAAAATTCTAAAAGTCCCCGAAAATTAGATTTATTTGTTTGTTTCATAAAATAATATTTAAAGTAAAAATAAGTCATCGACCAGCGGACTTGAACCAGAGACATCCGATTTGTTACATAAACAATCAGATCTAAAGTTGTCAGTTCAGAATCAAACAAAAACCCGATGATTTTTCGGTTCGTTTCTGGACATCCGAAAATTCCCCAAAACCGATAACTCTAGTAGCTCACATTTTTAGTCAAATCCCACTGGCTGGTTAACTCCAATGGGAACCCTTCCACAATTATAAATATACAAAAAAAAATTTACGATTGATTATCGATTTGTGGAGCAAATGAAGTATCATCAGAACCATCATGAGGCAATTGAATTTCTTGAAGAACAGAAGTAATTAAAGAAGAATCGTTGTTGTTATTTAATTGTTGGGCGTTTGTTGTGTAAATTGGTGAAGTAGAATTGCTAGTTCCTTCAATCGATCCATCATTATCACTAAAATTTTAGAATGTTAAAAGTTATTGCGGACAATTTTTGCGGACAAATTTAAAAAAACATGCTCATGTCAGTTCACCCAAAATTCCCCAAAGTTTTGAAAGGTATTTCCATTCCCTATTAAATCAAAAAAATGGGTGAGTTGTTGATGTGAGACATAAAACTGAAAGCCCCAACTATGTTTGTTAGTTTCAAACCGAACCGAACACCTAGAAGAAAACAAATATGTTAAACCCCAACTATTGGAAGGGTTTTTCTAATCGATTGAAAGCCAAAAAATAAATAAAGAAAATCCAAGGTATGTGAAGGAAAGTGTGCAGAAATAATCCGCACAATTTTATTCCGATTTTTAAGTTTTCTGATTTAAGGCCCGAATAATCCAAAAAAATTTTAAAACCTAAAATTCTTATTGTCCACTTCATCAAAATCAACAACACCGTCGCCATCATCCTTTGCATTTTTCTGTTGTACCTGTTGACAATTAGACCTACGTGCTCTTGTTGTAAATGAAGTTGAAGGTGTAGATTTTTTAGTGGAATTAGTGATGTTATTTCTTCCTTAAAAATTTTATAAAATTAAATTAAAAAAAATCAAAGCGAAATTCAGTAAAGTGTGGACACCGGTCAGGCATCGAACCTGTCTCTTCTTGACAGTTATTGTTAGGCATATCACTCACAATTAGGGTTGTCGAATCGGAACTGACTCCAAGAACCGATGGTTTTTTTATTCGGTTCGGTTACCCAAAAATCTTAAAATAACCGACAACCCTCCTCCTTATAAAATCGTGCTTTAACGACTGAGAGGTATCTGATGATTTACACTAATTACTCTTTTAGAAATGTTAAACATCTACAAAGTGGTTTAAATACTCCCAAACTGAACCCTTCCTTCCTCACCACTAAAAATTACTTAAAAGTTCGTTTGTGCTAAACTTTTTGGTTAGAAGCGAATCTGTTATTGAACACAATTCCAAAAATCGAAAATTAGAAAGTTCAAAAAAAGCCAAATCCGAAATATCTAAACAACCCAGGGTATAAATTCTAGAGACTGCGCTGGGTATGAACCAAGCCATGGGTTTTTCCTGTACCCAGAGTCCAGGCCTAGGCATTTGACCTTCCTGGATTTTTCCTGGGCATGGGTCCTTTCCTGGACTACAGGCACAGGATCCGGACCAGGCCAATAAAACAAACCCAGAGTCCAGGAACAGGCCCAGGCTTTTCAAAAATCCCGATCTCTCATAAATTCGCCTTTAAATAAATTTATTAATTTACCACTATTCCTCCTTCGCCTCTCCATTGGTGTTTGTCCATTAGCCAAACCACTAGCCTGTTGTTGTTGTTTCTCAAAATGACTGTTGTTCAAATCCTTCCTCATTTCAAAAGAGCAATATTCAGGTTTTCTAACTTCTACTTGTAAAGACGCCATTCTATTTTTATTGGGAATTTTGTCAGTTTTTAAACAATTTTTCTCAGGAGATTCAAATTTCAGCCGCCAAATTTTTGATGTTTTTTGTTGTTAATTAAAATAATTTATTTTTATTTTTCCTTATTATCATCTGAAAAAATCGTTTTTAGTACCCTCTCCTTTTTTCCTTCCTCAAAGTATGAAAATGGTCAGATTTGCTTACTTCCCCTAACTTTAATTTAGTCTGTGCCGTGAGTGACCATCTTTGCTTTTTAAGAGTTTAAGGTCCTCTGAAGTTCGAGGAAGGAAAAGGAGGGTCCTCGGGGTCAATAGGTCTTAAGGGTGTAGGTCTTCCGTGTTGACCCTCCTGAAGACCTACATATCTGCAGTTCGAGGAAGGAAAGGAGGGTCTAAAGGGGCAATAGGTCTCAAGGGTGTAGGTCTTCCGTGTTGACCCTAAGAAGTTAGAACTTACATATGTCTTGAGTGTATGTTTACAATAGGCGCAACCTATTCCAAAACCTTTTATGGGGAAATAGAGCCCTCCTTACTCACTAGAGATCGAGATTTTTTGAAAACCCTGGGCTTGTTCCTAGGTTTGATTTATTGATCTGGGCCGGATCCTGGGCCTGTAGTCCAGGAAAAGCCCAGGCCTAGGAAAACCTCAGGAATGTCAAAAAATGCCTGGGCATGAAATTTGGGTACAGGAAAGATCCAGGCCTTGGTCCAGACCCAGCTCGATCTCTATTACTCGCCCAGAGATATGGTACACAAGCGAATTACAAGACCATAGGTTCTAGAAAGAAGAGCTGGGTACTTATCCACCCCCCCCCCATAAAGCTAGCCTTACCATTCCCTGTACTTCGAGGAAAAATAAAAAAATGAGAGCATGAAATTGAATATTACCAAATAAACAAATTACTTTTTCCTACCTTCAACACTCTCGTGTTGTTTTTTCAATTAATAAAATGTTACAAAAATAATTTTTTAAACTCGCTTAAAGCAGCGCAAAAATAGGAAAATAACAAAAAAAAAGAAAATTAAAAATAAAAGAAAAATAAAAGAAGAGAGATAACAGGTTAGAGAAAAATACAAAAGAAAAGTTAGTGTAAAGAGGAAAGAAGCCATTTTCTTTTTGTTATAAAAGGGGAGTTAAAAAACAAGCAAAAGAAAGAACAAAATTTAGCGGATGTTTTAGCGGAGGTGCAAATGGAAATAATATTAACTTGCAAAAATAAAAATAATAAAGGGGGGAAGGTTGAAATTTTTTTGTAGAAAAGAGGAGGAAGTGTAGAAATTTTAATTTATGTACAGGGGAACCCAATTTTTAAATAGTACCTAGTAGAGATCGAGCTGGGCTTGGACCAAGGCCTGGGTCTTTTCCTGTACACAGAGTTCAGGCCCAGGCATTTTTTGACCTTCCTGGTGTTTTCCTTGGTCTGGGTTTTTCCTGGGTCTGAGTTTTTCCTGGGTCTGAGTTTTTCCTCGACTACAGGCCCAGGATCCTGCCCAGGTAAATAAATCAAATTCAGGAACAGGCCTAGGCTTTCAAAAATCTCGGTCTCTAGTACCCTAGGGGCTGAAGAAAGCTAGTTTTATATACTCTCTCGAAGCTGGTACCTAATAATGAATTGGGGGTGTAGTTTAGGCATCTCCCCTACCTAATGGTCAGCCAACACTTTAAAGACTGTTTCTCTTAAATAGATGGGGGGGGGGGTATTTTACAAGTGAGGGTTTACTGTATTCACTAAATTCTAATATTTTTTGATTGCCAAGTGCCCAACTTGCCAACAATTTTTCTTTTATTGACATGTTTTCCTTTCCGTATTATTACATTTATTTTGGCTATATTTAAAGAGAGAGAGTTCCTGCGGGTAGAATTAACGGTTATTTTTCCTTTAGTATTTGTGGCCAGTTTAAGGTTAAAAACAATGGATTAAATGTCGAGTAAAGGCTTTTACCTCTTTTAAAAGAGTGAAATTTTTGTTTTACCCCATTTTTAGATACCCCCAATATTAGAAACACCTCTATTTAAGATACTTTTTAAAAATTTAATTGGCCACTGGGTAACAGGGATGTCACAGGGGTTACTCGAAACTATCACGGGTTACTCGAAACCCGACACCTGAAACCCGAACTTTTTTCTACTCGAAACCAGATCCGAAGAAAATTTGAAAACCGGTCCGAGACCCGATCAACTTTTCTCTCAACCCGTGACACCTTTTGGGTGGAATAGCTTTTAAGGCAATAACTTCCTCTTAAGGTAATCTTCATCAGACTTGATAATGGACATGGATTTTCGTATCCGTATCCGGATATTTACGGCGAATACAGACGGATATCCGCAGGCATTTTGAACTTATCTGTATCCGTATCCATTACCAAGCCTGGTCTTCATCATGTACCCAAAGGATCTAAACGGGGATGAGGGTTATTGAGATAATTAGAATAATCCAAAAACGGATTCCTTCCAGGTACAAAATGCGCATTAAATTGCCGCTATGAGTAGGTAATTTGGCTGTGACATTAAAAAAATAAAAAGAAAATATTTTAAATGCGGCTGCCAAAAAGAAACATAAAATAAAAATGTGGGTGGAAAGGAGAAAAATGATAATACTAACATGAAGAAAAAAAAACTCTAGGATCCACCGCCAGCCTGAAAGGAACCATTGCACTAAAGGAGATCTCCTTCCTTCTTTCTACTATCGTCCCCCCATCTCCGCAGTATTTTTATTTTTTTTGTTGGCGGCTGGCCCGCCTGAGAAAGAAGAAAAAAGAACGCATTTTTCAGCACTCCATTTTGCCCCCTTCATTTTTCCCCTTTCCTCCATCATAAAATCGACATTTCAACGTCCACCGCCCAAAAACTCTTTTTTAGAAGGATGAAAAGAAGAAAATATGAGCAGATGATGGTAGGCAAATAGGAAAGGATTGACAAGAAAAATAAAAAGAAAAATACATAGTATTTTTATATGTATTGAAGAAGACGAAAAAATGACTTTAAAGTTGCTGGAAGAAAAAATTGGGAATATAAAGGTACACAACAATAAGCATGCATTTTGGGGGGTTTTAGGTTAAAATAGAAGAAGAAGAATGGCTTAGTATTGTGACGGAAATGAGTTATAGAAGAGGGGAAAAATAATAAGGGTTGGGTTTTTTGATTTTCAGCGCAAATTTGAGAATTTTGGAAGGGCAAGAGGCCTTCACATATTAAAATTAGATTTTCAACATTTTGTATTTTGATTTTATTGAACAGGATTTTTAACAGTTTAGATTTTCTAATTAACCATGAGAGAAAATATATATGCTCAAAATTCAATAAATAGCATTTTGGAAATTTCTATTTACTCGGCCCAAGTTAAGATCGGGGGTTGATTTTGGTGTCATTCGACATAGCTCGACGGATTCTATAATTTTAACAGACTGACCATTTTTAACATATTTAACAAAGAAATCGATTAAGGGAACCAAATAAGTATCCCCAAGTTTTCTGAGACTAACGTCATTTGATTCAGTCTGACGAGTCAAACCGAATAAGCCACTGCGTATTTTCTCTAACAGAGTAACAGTCTCTAATCGAAACGACAGCTTTCTGAGAGGTGATTGAAAAATAGAAGAACTGGCCGTTCAATTAGAGAAATTGGACTGTAGGGGAAACGATAATGCGCTCTCAGTTGCCGGCACTCAATCGACCTTTACCGATTAACTTTTTTGGCGGGCGAATTTTCCAAAAAAAAATTTTTTTTAAGATTTTTAATAGCAAGACTAGTGATCGGTAAGATCGTAATTTCTAGAGCCGATACTTTTTTGGCGGGAGAATTTTCCAAAAAAAATTTTAAGGATTTTCAATGAGAAGGCTAGTGATCGTCAAAAATTGAATTTCTGAGATCCTGTAACGGGTTTGAGTTTCAAAAGTTCGAACGGGAGGGATTCCGCAGAATTAATCCTTTAAATCCTGGGTATTTATTGCTTAAAAGCGGGATTCCGGAAGGATCCTGCAAAATCCCATACGAAATCTCTCCCGTGCCTCATTTTAGTTCAAACTTTCTAAATTTTTTTTTGCAGATTAAGAATTGCTTTAATTATTTAAATATTTTTGACTTTCTTTTAAAAAATGGATTCCTCACAACCTAAATTATCTCATTGTTTCTTCCAGGTTTATTTAAATTATATTTTAATTCCCATAATTGGTAAAAGTGTTTATGTGACGCCATTTTTTCATCTACATTTTTCATTTACCATTTTACATTTTTCCCTCTACAGTTGGCACAAAGTCAGCCAAAAAAGATCGGGGAAAGATAGGGTTTCGGGTCTTTTTCTGATCCAGAAAAATGAGTAGAAGTGCTTTTTCTATGTTTTTGAGGGGTACACCCCAAGGTACCGCAAGGCCAAGGTACCGCCGAGCTATAACTTTGTTCAAAATTGTCGAATCCGGGACGCCGTGATATGGTTCGATGCGTCTCGACGAGCTGAATCGAACCATACCAGAGCGTCCCAGATTCGACAATTTTGAAGAAAGTTATAGCTCGGCGGTACCTTGGGCTCGCGGTACCTTGGCCTGCTCCCGTTTTGAGGTTTGCCGATAGGTGATTAAGTTCGAATATAAGTTCATTTATTTCGACTCCGGGACCCAAATTCGACCCATTCAAATTTTATTTCCACTGGGTGTCCCATACTTTTAGTATTTACGTTTCGGACTTTTAACTTTGGGCGAGTAGTTGGGGTTAGGCCCGAAGCCAGGGGGGTTAGTAAAATTCTTAAAATTTTAATAAAAAATTTTCCCCCTTGGCCCCCTCCCCCGAAAAAAATCCTGGCTACGGGCTTGATTGGTGTCCTTTCGGAGAGATGAAAAATTCGTCACATAAACGCAACATCAACTCTCTTTAATCCTAACATTTTTTCTAGTATTTTTTCGACGACAAAGTGCCTAATGGTTATCAGCCAATACTTCAAGTTTTACAAATTCGCCCACTTCAGGGACAGAACCAATTAAGGGCTAGACTTTCTGATGGGATTTTTGCTTATGCTGGTTGTGTTGTTACAAATCTTATTTCGGCAAGATTTCAAGCTGATCAACTCTCTACAAATAATGGAATTATTCAAGTTACAAAGTGGAAGAGAACTTTTACATCGTAAATTTTATTTTTTTTTTGTTTACAGTTTGGTCAAGAATTATATTTTTCGAGGTTTTAAAATTCGAGTCCGACTTTTGCGGACTTTTTTTGCGGATTTTCCCATTTTTTCTCTTTAGTGCGGTTTACGTGTTTATTTTAGGGCTGGACGCAATTGAAAAAAATTTTCTGCAGCCCTAATCCGCAACTTGCAATTTTTATTTGAAAATCCGCAAGTGCAATTTTATGCAATCCGCAACTGTTAGCCCTGTCGACGTCACATTTTTGATATGGCGCCTCCATTCCAATACCCATTTCTATTTATTAGTCAGATAAAATGTTGAGAGAAATATGTCGAGGAAAGTCTTTTGATTTGCCCTTTTTAATACTTTTTGAGGATAACGTGAAGATCATCTTTATTTTTTAGAGGGAAGATTGTCTTCAACATGCTTGATTACAATTTAATCTCTTTGGAATTTCCTGTCATTGGTAATCCTCAAGCACATTCTGGCAATCCTGAAGAATATCGAAATTACATGCAGGTACTAAATACTTTTTAAATTTATCAAGGGCCTAGACAGGGGCGGGGCTTCTGGGGCTAAAACCCCTCCGAACTGGGGAAAATGGAAAAATTTGAGGAGCCTCTGAAAATCGACCCCAGCCCCCCTGAAATCGACCCACTAGCTACGCCCTTGAATTTTATACTTTAAGCCGCTTCATTGTATGCATGGGATGGATTATCCCAAACCCTAGACTTCCTTAAAAGATTCTCTTGATCCTGAGAAAATTTAAAATTCGATCCTACCTCAATCCAACTTTTTCTCAACCCTTTCTGTCTTTGTTGTATACTCAAAGTCAATCGTTTTATTAAGTTTTTGTGGTAAAACAAGATAAAAATAGACGAAAATGAAAAAATTGGGCCTCAAAGTAGCGTTGTTGCCAGGCTAGGGTGGAAGGGGGTTGTGGAGGAAATTGCTTTACTATGGGTGATTCGGAAATTTTTTACAGTGAAATTTCTGGTATTTTTTACCTTGAAATATTTTTATTTATTTCCCTACCCATTTCCTCTTTTTATTTTTTTAATTTTATAATATGTTCATTTTTAAGAACCAATCCGATTTTTTACAACACACGCCAACAAAAACAGAACCAGAAAATGCATGGGGAACATCTTCAGCAAAAAGAGGACGTAATAACTCTTCTCCAGAACGTCAGCCTTTGACTAAACGTCAACCAAATGCTTCTGCTATGCCGGGAATTGTTCCAATTGGATTAATTACTCCTTATTGCAACAAGTCTGTTTAAAATTAATTTTTTTTTAATTTGGTAAAAAATTTTTTAGATGGCGAATTTGTGGAATTGTCAGTTCAAAGGATCCTCAAATTAAAGAATTTACCAACGCTAAAGGAAAATTTCGAGTTTTTGGTTTTGTTTTAACTGACCAAAGTTCGAGTTCAATTCGAATTTCTGCTTTTTCTGAGGTTGCTGATAAATATTTTCCAATGTTGGAAAATGGACAGGTTTAAATTTTTTTATTATGTTTTTAATTGTTAATAGGGTTGAATCCCGCTAGTAACTTAAAATTTCAAATTCCATTAAAAGTACTAGTTTTTTTTATCTATGTTCGATCACTAATTTGGATACGGATTTTTTTATGGCAGAATCTCAATATAGTAACCATTGCTGGGTATAGATCCGGAAGTTGGCTTCGAAGCCGTGGTTTGAACTAACACAAAGTTTAAAAATGCTGGGGCCAAGATCTGAAAAAGGTCCAAGCTGAAATCACAAAATGCCTAGCACTGATAGTGACCCATCGATTTAACGGACCTTCTACCAGCCCCTGATTTTAATTTTTTCTTGTGTTATTTTTTTGTGACTTCATGTTCGTTGTTTCGAAAACGATGATTGACTTATCGAAGACCCTTTTCCTATGTCATTCAAGTTGTAAAGTACTGACCTGAAAGAATTTGTTTTTACAATTTTTTCCTTTTTTATAGGCTTATTATGTTAGTGGTGGTGCTCGTGCTGGTTCTGTCAAAGCAGCAAATAAGCAATTCAACAACACTGGGCATGATTATGAAATTGTTTTGGATCGAGATTCTGAGGTTCTTTAAGCTTTTTAACTTTAAAAATTTATTTTTTAAAGATTGTTTACTGTAATGATAAATTTGAGCCTCCAAAACTTCGTTTGAAACCCGTCCATTTGGTTAACATTCCACAACATGCTAATGAATGTGTTGATGTTCAAGCAGTTGTTGAGCGTGTAGGTGAACCTACTCAAGTTATGAGCCGAAAAGATCAACGTCTTTTGGATAAACGAGAAGTTTTTTTGGTTGATAAATCTGGAACAGAAATTTGCCTTACTCTTTGGAATGAAATGGTTCAAAGTTTTGAAGTTGAGCCTGGGAAAGTTATTGGAATTAAGGGCGCTGTTGTAAGAGAATTTAACGGTTAGCTTATAATTTTTCAAAAATATGTATGTCAACTTTCTATTGCAAAATCTTATCTGTTTTCTTGAAAAATGACTTTGGGCCATGTTATGGCCTGTCAAAGTTTCGGTTTTCGGGAGCGTTTGTGTATAAGGATAAAATTAAGTGTGCTTTTTCTTTTTTTTCACTTTGCTTTCCGGAACCGTTTTTATCTTATGTTCATCCTATTTTGATTATGATTTGTTTCCTTAAATTTTTTTATTTTTCAGGCGGCTTTTCACTTTCGAATACTACAGGAACTCAAATAATTGAAGACCCAGAGGGCGATTTTACCCGACAACTCTATCAATGGTATCGTGATCAGAAGCCTTTGCAGGAAATCAAATCTTTAACTATCAAAACTGATTTTGCTACAGTTATTGGTAAAAATCTTTTTTTTAATCAGAGCTTTGCACAAAATTTTTAGAGCGTGATCTCCGTTTGATTGGTCCTCTTTTGCAACACGGAATCGACCGAGACAGTGAAAAGGGTCAATATCTTTATATTAAAGGAATGGTGAATGCTGTAAAGACTGAACAAGCTATTTATCAGGTTTTTTTTTATTTTTTGTGAACTGATTTTTATATTTTCTTTCCATTTTTAAAGGCCTGTCCTGTAAAAGGATGCCGCAAAAAATTGCAAATGGAAGGTAATCAATATCGTTGTGAAAAATGCAATCAAACATTTGATAACTATTCGAATATTCTTATGCTTCAACTTGAAGTTGCTGACTTTACTGGGACTGTTTGGATGACTATGTTTGATGAATTGGCGACATGTTTATTTTTTGAAATTTTTTTAAATCTAAAAATTATTTTTGTAGCTTTGCTTGAGACGTCCGCCGATGAATTGGCTCAATTGCAGAGAGATGATGTAATTTTAAGTTTTTTTGTTAGAAGGGTTGGCAGATTATAGGTGACTGAATTTTGAATCCGGCTTTCCTCCACGATCCTCCAATCGTTTGAAGTGACTTTTGTTTTAATGTTTTACGAGTAATGATGGCAGATAGGGTTATCATTTGAAGAAAATACGGATATCTGACTCTTGTTTGGATTTTATCCGGATTTCCCACATGACACGCAAATCAGATTCCAACACTCATTTGTCAAATCAGTCTTTTTTAAGTCACTGACATGAGTTTATTTTTTAATGGGTCAGTGATCCTGGTCGCTCTTTTATCCTCAATTATTTCTAATTTAATAATTAATACTTTTAAATTAATTTTGCAGCATTATCGTTTTGATGCGATTTTCAACAAGATACGATTTCACGATTTTGTTTTTCGCATTCGTGCAAAATATGAAATTTATAATTTAAGTTTTTTATAATTTAATTTTTTTATCAAGGGTACCTAAGGGTTGCTTTTCGAAGGGTTATTCTTTGTCATTTTCCTTTAAATATTTTTTCTTTTTCGGGATGAGGGTTTCCAAATTCTCTTCCTCACCACCTCTCTTATGTACGTCCCTTATAATTTAAAAAAAATTTTTTTTCAATTTGGCGCCGACGGCGTAAAAAATTTTCCCCCCTTGCCCCCCTTCCCTCCGAAAAAAAAATCCTGGCTACGGGCCTGCTCTAAACATTTTTTCTTTTTTGGGATGAGGGTTTCCTCATCCTCTTCCCCACCACCTCTTTGTACGTCCCTTATAATTTTCTATATTTTTTTTCCAATTTTAGGACCAAGAGAATCTCAAATTGTCTGTTTTTGATGTTAAACCAGTCCAATACGAAAAGCTTAAAACTATTTATTCAAATGCTTTGAAGAATCTCCCATTAGAGGAAGAAATGTCGCATGTTGACGATGACTTTTGAGTTTTTTTGATTTTTAATTTATTCGATTACATAAATAACTGTCACATTTTTTTTTGAATTTTCAATAATACGACAGACAGTTTTTATGTATTTTTATTATTATTTGCGTTTCTTGCAGTAATAAAAATTGATAAAGAACGAGATTTTAATGTTTGATTCAATAATTGTTTTATTACAATTTTATTTATTTTTTGACTTTTTTGTCTAATATTTTTTATCAGGAATTTCTCAGATAATTCAAAAATGTTGATTGGACGTGAAAAAGAATTTGAGTTAATCGAATCATTGATCTCAACAGCTTTAAAGGACAAATCTTCACTTTGTGTGTATATTAGTGGTCCTCCGGGGACAGGAAAAACTGCGACAGTCAAGGAGGTGGTTAATCATTTACAATGGAAGATTGATAAAAATGGACGTCATAAAGAGGTTTAATATTAACTAGAGGGGTGGGGTTTGGGAGGTCTCATATTTTTGGGGTTTTTGAATAATAATATTGTAAATTTTCCGAGACGATTCTGACATGAGTTTATTTTTAATTTGATGAGGAAAATTCTATTAGTCTGGGACTTGAATAACATTATTCGTGTGATTTCTTATTAAAATATTTTGTGTGATCCCGCAGGACAATTTCGAAAAATCTCATTAAATGCGGGATTGAAAAAGCAAGATTACGCACAATCTAATGCTTGATCTCGTCTCTTGCCGATCACATGTTTTGATAGAAAATCTCTGTAAATATTCGAGCTTTATTCTGTCAACTTATTAGCAATGTCATCAAATTTTTAAAATTAATATAAGCTCTTGTCACATGCCCATAGACTGCTTATTTTCTCCTAATTTATTTTTCAGTTTCATTTTGTTTCAATTGATTGTTTTGCATCATCTACAACTACTTCTCTTGCTCAACATATTTTGCTTCGACTTGAAACTCAAACAAAAATATCAAATGGCAAACAAGTTTTGCAAGCTTTGGAAAACAAAATTTCTAAATGCAAAATTCCGATGTTTATTCATTTTTTTAAGCTAATTAAAAAAGATTTTTTTGTAGTTTAATTCTGCTTGATGAAGTTGACAACTTAGTTTCTCGCAAAGATGAAATAATCTATGACGCTTTTAATTGGCCTAATAAATTTCCGGGACGTGTTATTGTTATAGGTATATTTTTTATTTAAGATTTTTTTATTCATTTCATAAAATCCCATGCCTTTTATTTTTTAAGTCTAAAGTTTTTGGGCATGCTTTTTAAAATCAATCTTTTTTGCATTTTCACTCTCATATTGACTTGAGGTAAATCTAAACCAAAATTTTTATCTTGTAGTTATCAGATGCTCTACCGATTGAGTTCGCATCTCCGCTTACGGACTTTGTCTTCCTTTATAAACACCCTCCAATCTGGGGTTTATTTAAAAAGAAATCTCTTTTGTATCGTTATCTTTGAGCAGGAATCTATCCGGCTCGATTTTCAGAATCGGGAATCCCTGACGTCTTTTCTATGGTTAAGAATCCTAATTCCTGAAATCGTGTGAATTTATTTTTTTCTCTAGGCCAGAACTCTACTTTTAATACTTTTTTCTTTCTACGTTTAATCTAAACGAGCTAAAAGTTAGAAAATGGATTCCTTAAAAACCGTGTTTATAAATAAGTTCTTCTCTTGAAAAATATTTTTATATATTTTACTTATTTTTATACAAATTTAGGCATTTCAAACTCATTGGATCTCACAGAAAGGCAATTATCAAAAATTAAATTTGCTCATCCTCCAAAATCAATCGTTTTTCCTCCTTATACAAGTCAAATGTTAATTTCCATTTTAACTTCATATCTAAATAATATTGGAAGCAAATCAAGCATTGATACAAAAGCAATAGAATTGTGTGCAAGGAAGGTAGCTTCAATGACTGGGGATGTTAGAAGAGCTTTGGATATTGCCTCACAAATGATAGTTAATTTTGAGTAAGTTGAGATTTTGTAAAAAAAATTTTTAGGAAAAGTTTTTTTGGGTTCCATTAGTCTTTGGCGTTCCGTACTAAAAAAAAGAAATTTTATTCGTATTTTTTTCAGGGGAGAAAGTGAAATATCACCAGCAGGGATGTCACGAGTTGAGAAAATTAGGTTTAGGTTTCAAATTTCTGATAAAGAAAAGTTTGGATATCAGGTGATTTCCCTGGTCACCTAAATCTTTCAAAGGCTTTGAGACATAAATTTTTTATACAAACGAGAGATCTATTAAATTTTGCTAAACCTAAAAGTTTTTCCCAAAAAATTTTTTCGTTCTACTTTAAAATTTTAAGTGAGGAATTGGAAGAGCAAGATTCTCCAAAAAAAGATGATAAACTGAAGGAAGTTAACAATAAAATTGTTGATGTGGATAACAATGAGTTTAAACTTCAACGCAGAAATTCATTAAAAACGCCTTTAAAAGAAGAAAGCAAAGAAAATGTCCCATCTTTGAAACGGCGTCTTCCACAATCTTTGCAAAAAGGAGATGTGACACCAAAAAAGAATGCTTGCCGTGAAGTTTTGAATGCAATTAATAAGGTTTTTGTTTTATTTGGGAGGAATTGAACAAATAAAAAATAGGGGTTAATTTGGGGGAATTGGTGAATGTGCAAATTTATTTTTATTTTTGAGCATTAGTGACTCAAAAATAACATTTTTTTCTTTTTTTGGGAGGAATTAATTATACGTATCCCACTCATTGTCAGTGCTCTGCCTGTCTGTTCCTATCGTAGTAATTGTCCCTGTCGAAAATTTCTTGAATTTTCGTCGAAGGATGAAATTAATAAAATTATTAATTTTTCCGTTCCTATTTTTGTATGACATCACTTGTTAGTGATCGTTATCGCCTACTTTGCTCTTTCTCTCATTTTTCCATAAATGGATAAAATTATCCATTTTATCTTAAATTCCAATCTAAAAAATTATTAATAATTTTATCCAACAGGGAAAAAAGGGAGAAAGTGCATTTCCGCCCAACTTTATTAAAAACATGATTTTTTCTATGTTTTCCACTTTTGCTATTGCCCCACATTTTTTACCACACACATTGAAAATGTTCTATTTAAGCCAATTTTTTCCCCTTACACCAACATTCGTTCATTCAGTATAGCTTTTCCTTGAATCATTCCTTATCCTTACCAATTCCAACCACCTTTTCCATACACACAAATAATTGTAAAATTGTATTAAATTAAATAAATATTATTAAAATATTCTTTGTTCTTTTGTTAATATTCTTTGGGAATATTCGCCTAACTTTCGTCTACGTCTAAACTTGGCCGTCTAAAACCCTTTGCCTCCTCGTTTGAATTGCCCTGTCTTAATCTTTGGGATTAAGACATACCTCATCAAGACCCTTAACCCCAACTTCTTATTTTAGCGGCGAACGACCTAGTTCCCTTTTGGGAATCCCGACCTAGGAAGTTCCCGTTAAAATTGGTGCCACGACCCGGGACCTGCCGTCGACATTCATCAGTCAACATCTTCTATTTTCGGCAGCATCGTCTATTTAACTCGTCTAAATCCTAAATTCGTCTATTGGTTTAATTCGTCAATTGGTTTAATTTTTTCTTCCGTCAACGTATTAACGACACTTAACCTTTCAACATGTCACGAATACTTCGTCAAGAGCTCGGTGTAGCGGTGACGTCACTCGTAGAACGTCTAAAGAATGCCGATTCGTATATCGACAAAATCAAATCGACACCCACGGAAGAGGAGGAACGCGAAATTCTAATCGAAGTTGAGATGGAACTCGTACATCTATCTCAGAGGACCGAGAAGCTCCAATCAGTTATTCGTCACTATCATCAGTATATGGAAGGTTTAAGCGAAGCGAAGCAAGATGAGGAAGAAAACTTTTTAGTCAACTACCTGACTGACGACGAGAAATCAGACAGAAATCAAATCCAACATCATTGGCCAATTACCAGTTTGGTCAACCGGGCAGAAGAGGCAATCAACCGTCTAAAGGCTTATCGAGTCATGCGTCAGATGACAGAAAGCAACAGTAATAATTCACCAAGTGCGCAAGGATCTATCAACCTCAACGAATCGCAACAGACACATATTATTCGGCCAAACCAAGAAAGACGTCAGTTATATTCGGACGACGAAGAAGAACGAGAATGGACACGACAGCGACGAAACGTACGACAAAACGACAGAGATACTTACGAACCAGAAGTAAGAATTCGACAAGAACCGTCACAAACGACCATTTCATCATTGAATGCTCTTAAAGTCGACAGTGTGCGTCTACCTACGTTTGGAGGCGACATTAGAGAGTGGCGTACATTTTGGGCAGCATTCGAACATGCCGTCGATCGACAACCATACCCTCTTTTCCAGAAACATCTTTTGCTCTTGCAAAACCTCAGAGAAGGATCGGCAGCTCGTGAAGCTATTATTGGATACCCACCATCAGACACCAATTACCCAATCGTCAAAGAAATTTTGAAGGATAAATATGGAAACGACGACCAACTTAGCGACCAATTAGAAGCACAACTCTTGAAACTACAGCCGATTCGAAACAACCTTCGAGAATTGTCACAATTTCAGAAAGAAGTGGAACGAATTTGTTTGCAGCTTGAAAGCCTAGGAGGCCCAAAACAACGTTTCGTCTGCAACATCATCAAATCCAAACTACCTCAAGCAATTCTTCAACAGCTCATCACAGAGGAACTGCATTCTAAAAGAAAATGGGATGATAAGGACCTTCGCAAAGCCTTAGCAGATATCGTCAAAATTCGTCAATCGACAGAAGAATGTATGACAGCATTTAAAGATGAACCAAGAAGAGATCAACCCCGAGAACAAAATAATTCTGAAGCGTATAGAAGAGAAAGATTTGAAGCACGACCAATACGTAAAGAAATACGACCAGCACCACGTCCAATAGAACAAACAAGAGCATTCCCGGTATTTAATGCAAACAACAATGGGAGAAGCAATGAACCATTCTGTTCGTTGTGTTGCAATAATGGTCACAAACCAAGCCAATGCTCGACTTATTCAACACCTCAAGAACGCAAAACTCGTCTATTGGAGCAAGGCCGATGTTTGAAATGCCTGCAGCAAAGCCATACGACCGAACAATGTCAACGTTCATTCAAATGCCAGAAGTGTGGAAGCACTGACCATCATTTCATTTTGTGTGCACCACGGCAGGCAGCAATCGACTATCAGACACCTCAGGCCGTTCAGTCGCCAACACCACCGGCAAGAGCATTTCAACAGACATCTTCAAGGACGTCTCGACGACAAACACCACCACGTCGAAATGAACGACCAACGCCAAAGAAAACTGGTGGAAATGCTACGACGCTCAACAATCAAAGAGCTACGACGACAATGAGTTCGACTAAAGATGCAACAGACACGGAAAGAGAAGTCAAAGAAGTTACACAAAGAGTAAACGAAGTTCAAGAAGAATTAAGGGAGCCTGAAGAAGTTAAAGAAGTGGAAGATGAAGCTCCCGACTCATCGACTTATCTCAATGCACGACAAAATGACAACAAAACTCATTTAATGACCATCATCATCAACGTCTCGTGCTCGGGAGGTCCAAGAGAAGGATTACCAGCAATGGTCTTCTTCGACTCAGGAAGCCAAACAAGTTACATCGCCAAAGAACTCGTCAATCGCCTTCAACCGCCAAAACTATCAGAAGAAGTTCTACGCATACACACCTTTGCGAATCAAAATCCGAAGACAGTTCACTCACCACTCGTCTCAATTCGTCTAAAACGTCAAGATGGCGACTGGGAATCAATGCAGCTTAACACCATCGACGAAATTTCAACACCAATGGAAACCTTTCAATTCATTGGAAAAGACGACTACGTCGAACCAGTTAAAGGAACTCCGTCAATCTTAATTGGTATCCGAGAATTTTGGAAATTCGTCACCGGCTTTCAACAACTTGGCCCCAAGCTCTACAAAATTCAAACTGTTTTTGGAGATGTTTTAGGAGGGGAATCGTGCTTCAACTCGACTAACTCGCCTAAAACCTTCATGGCACTTAACGACGACGACAAAGAAAGCATTATTGGACAAAATGACGTCGAGAACTTTTGGGCACTCGAGACTATTGGAATCAAGGAGAACCCGGCTGAGAAAGACGACGACACAGCCATGCGACTATTTGAACAATCAATACGTCAAAAACCCAATGGTACCTACACTGTTCGTCTACCTTGGAGGGAACCTCGACCGACTATCAACTCCAATTGGAATATGGCCTATAGCCGCCTTCAAGCCAACATCAAACGCCTAACTCAATCGCCTGAACTTCTCGCCAAATACGACAAAAATCTGCGCGACCAAGAAGAGAAAGGAATAATCGAAGAAACCGGCCGCGACAAAGAAGAATTTTTTATGCCTCACCACGCCGTCATCAATCCGAAGAAGTTAAGAATCGTCTTAGATGCCAGTGCTCATCCAAATGGAGCAGCAAGCCTCAACCAAGCGTTGTACCGAGGACCTGTTCTACTACCAACACTCGTCGGAATGCTTATACGTTGGAGAACATGCGTTATCCCAATTCTATCGGATGTTCAAGCTGCCTTCCACACAATCGAAATGCTTCCGGAAGATCGACAATTTTGCAAAATTCTTTGGCTGCGCGACGTCAACAAGCCAATCACCACGGACAACTTAGTCGTCAAACGCTACACAAAAATGGTATTTGGTGTGATCTCGTCACCTTTTGTATTAGCAGCAGTGTTATTACACCATTACGCCAAATTCGACAACGAATTATCGAAAGAAATGGCGAAGAATACGTACGTCGACAACATTCTATTTCAATGTTCAACGGAAGAAGAGGCCCTCGACAAGATGAGAACGGCTAAAGAAATATTCAAGAAGGCAGCGATGAATCTTCGAGAATTTCTCAGCCATCGACAAACGATCATGGAGCAAATACCAGAAGAAGACCGACTCGACAAAGCAAAGGCTCAAGTCTTGGGCATCAAATGGGACACAGACAACGATTCAATAACCCTCAAATTTCCGAAGGAAGACGTCAACATCGTCACTCGTCGAACAGTACTTAGTGCATTGGCCAGCATATACGACCCGTTGGGACTGATCAACCCATGTCTCCTTCAAGTCAAATTGTTCTTCCAACGACTATGGGACAACGAAAGAACATGGGACACACCAATAAATGCAGAAGAAACGACAGAATGGCAGAACATCAAGCAATCTTGGAACGACCAAACCATCACTCTTCAACGACAAGCAATTGTAAACAACCCAACCGAGTGGCATCTACATGTGTTCAGTGATGCATCCGAAAATGCCTATGCCGCCTGCGTCTATCTTAGATCGTCAAATGGTCCAAACGTCAAATCGACACTTATTTTCGCCAGAAATCGTCTGCGCCCAAAGAAAGCCAAGTCAAGCCTCACCATCCCAAGAATGGAACTACTTGGTGCACTGATAGCCGTCCGAGCGAAGATACACGTCGAAACCGAGCTACATCGACCAATCAGTGCCGTCCATTTCTGGTTGGACTCTCGTATCGTCTTGGCATGGATTCAATCCGTCGAACCGAAACCGCAATTTGAGCAACGACGACTAGCAGAAATTCGAAACGGAGCAAGAGGAACATTTCAT